TAAGCAATTATCTACATATGTAAACCGAGTGCAATATACGGTCGTAAAAGCAATTTTATTCTAACCTTCCTCCTTGAAGGGTGCCTTGCGTATCAAATATATCAAGTTCAGTACCACCAGAGTCATAAGCCGGGCTTTTGGGGCTACAAAATAATAAAATAATCAACGAGTTATTCCAAGCCAATTAATCGAGAGTCAATTAAGTATAGTTTCCTTGAATCGTATGGGAAGTTTAAAATGTGCTTCACTTGTGCTACATATACAGATTTATCATTCTTAACTACTGGTGAGATTCCGAGAGTGTGACCCAATAATTCAAAAGAAAATATCCAAGCAGGTTACAGAAATGATTTACGAATTGTAAACTGACACAGTGTCATGCAATATTGTATTCCAAATGAACTTCCTGTTGCATAGAGAACAGCTTAATACACTACTTGTATTGTTATGCTACCACACTTCAGTAGGAAAAGCAAGTAAAGTTTGTGAAATGTTTATGACGGCGATGCCTGCGTGTCCCGGGGTGCTTGTTGCAAATTCAATACCCTACAGCACTTAAGAGGCACTTAAAAAATTGGCCTGGCACGTACTGTTTGCGTTTTCTTACCTGGATATGTTGTCCGATATAACGCCATTCATTACATTTTTACACCGGCACTCCACTAGACGTTTCAAGCCGGCAGCCTGTATGGGTAGTTAAGCCGCCATTGTGGATATCCTCAGCGACCACGCATTATTGGCCCCTCCTCTCCCCTCCCCCTTAACCTACCGTTATGTTTGAGTGCTTGGGTGGGGAAGACAGAGTTAGGATGTTTCAAGGCTGAGTGCTGTAATATTTGCATTGTGTCGTTCCCTCAGACGTTGAAAATCGTGTCAGTGACTTTTAAGTATACCCTTTTTAGAGGCATAGAATTGTACGTCAGCGTACTTGTTCGACTCTTACTGATTTTATTTTTATGTTTTTAAAAATCTGACCACCGGTAGGCCATATGCATATGGTAGGCCATAGGGTAGGCCACAGGGTAGACCATGGCCTACCCCACGTTTTGTCCATACCAGTTGGTGTCTCTGTCCCCCCACGTCTCTGCAAAAGGTATATCCAGACAACCTGCATGTAAAAACTGACTACAGCTATCGCACCAAATTTTTAAATAAAATATTTACAACTAAACTGGTGAGCAGCACTCTGCGAACAGCAGTTATAAAATTTCTTTATTCTCCGACGCTTTTCGTCTAACTGTCGTAGACTTCTTCGGGGAGTTTTACAACACCTGTATTTATAAGCCATAGTTAGCGGCTATACGGGGGCCAATGACCATACAGGCTTGGCCGGATCTACGAATAGGAACAGTTGAAGTTGCGAAAAATTTGAAAATTGTTGGGGCAAGGTGGGAGAATTCATTTGGGGACCAAGGTTTTTTCGTCACGCAGCAAGTTACAAAACGTAACCACTTTCCCACTGACCACTCGTATTTTGGTCTTTTCTTCTATCCCCAATCGTCGCCCGTGATGTAGTAACTCCCTCTAAAATGGCGGCTTCACGATCCATACAGGCTGCTAGCTGGTAGCATATAGTGGAGTGTTAGTGTAAAAGCGTAATGAATGGCGTTATATCGGACAACATATCCAGGTAAGAAAACGCAAACAGTACGTGCCTGGCCAATTTTTTAAGTGCCTCTTTGGTGCTGTAGAGAACTGAATTTGCAACAAGCACCCCGGGACACGCAGGCATCGCCGTCATAAACATTTCACAAATTTTACATGCTTTTCCTACTGAAGTGTGGTAGCATAACAATACAAGTGATGTATTAAGCTGTTCTCTATGCAACAGGAAGTTCATTTGGAATACAATATTGCATGACATTGTGCCAAAAAGATATAACACTCAGAGTAATTGACACATTTAATAATCTGTTTAATATTTCTTATTTTCTTTTTATATCTCAGAACAAACGTCTTAAAGTTAGTTAATTAATTAATTATTCGACTCTTACTAATTATATAAAATCTGATCACCGGTAGGCCATAGGATAAGCCATAAGGTTGGCCACATGGTAGGCCATGGCCTACCCCACGTTTTGTCCACACCCGCTTGTGAGCTCAAATTGCCAGGACCCCGTTTAAATACACGATGACTACTCGGACGCTTCTTGTAAAATGTGATCACTATCAATTTCAGAGATTGATTCTTCATCATGACCCGAGCAGTAAGTACGCCTCGAGATGTTGAGCGAAGAGGAAGTGGCTCCATGTTTTGTGAGACAAACTATTTCCTGAAAATCGAACGAATCGAGTAGAAAGTATGAAAACATAGCGCTGAAAAGTACCATGATTAAACAATGAAATTCGCTCATCCCGCAGGAGGACTAACTCCATTTAACCCGTGAGTTTGTCGGCACCACACATTTGCGGTCCGTAATTTAATCTCAGATGTTTGACAGGTTCTCACATGACAATATTGTCAAAATCACATTACTGCGTCAGACTTGATGTAAACATGGTGTTAGTTTCGGAACGCTTAGTTAATATACACTTTATTATAGTTTTGTTTTGGTTCATTTTTATCTAGAAGTCTTTCGTGAGTTAATGATTATTACAGTAAGTTTATTATCTCGAATCAAATTCCCACTTAAGTGCACGTGTAAAGATTCTATTTCAATCGTCGCTACTTGTCATCTCTGCTAAACCATCACTGCTAATCGTCGCTGCTAGATAATTGCTACAAGCTATTTGCTACCGTTCGCTACAAGCTATTTCCTACCTTTAGGAGCTAGACCAAAGTGAGTTTTTATTTCTTTTACATTTATGTTGTTTACCTTTTGTATGTTTTATTGGTATAGCTCACGTATTCAGTTTCCGTGCGATCAATTCAATTTAAGTTAGGTAAATGTTACGTTTCGCAACGCATTTTTCTTAGATTAGTTTCTGTTGCATTTTCTTTTAGTTCGAACCACACACACGCACGCAACCCCTACCGCTATTCTCATTCAGCAAATTTCGTCTTAACGCTATCATCTGAAAACAATAAAGATCATTGTGTGCGTTCGAATTGTCCGCTCATTCTCTTTGGTAACCTTTCGAGGTTACACATGGACATCGCTGACTCAATCTCATTTATTTCAATTTTGGGAAAGGCTACTACATCGTTCTTAGGGTAAAACAACACTTCGACAAAGTGCGATTTCTTCAAATAAATAGAGTAAAATCTTGCGATAGTTAACTGAAGAGAGAAAGAGGTAGAAACTTGTGTTAGCCGTTCGCTATCATTGAAAACTTTCCAGGCATAACAGATTCCGTAAGATAACTTCTCTTTCCTCAATACCACGATTGTATTAAACATTCCAAACGACAGGACAAGAAATACCTTGAAGAATACGAACACTTTGAAATGCTATTCGAGCGATGAGCCGGCACGAGGGTTTTCGGGCGATGAATGTTTACCGAAACGTGATTATAATTATGACCTAAAGCTAGTATCAAACGACGATTGGTAAGAAAGGTTTGCATTTTTCTGGACCTTAGCGTAAGGGGAAACCCAGATAAGGTACGACTTACCTCCTCTTCTTTCTCGGATCCTTTGTGGTTCGCTTCTCTTTGTTGATGACCTCTTTTCAGTCTGTTTTCAGGAGCGTCTTTGTATTTCCTTCTCGCGTTGCTCTTCGTTAGATATTCACCTTTAGACTTAAGTCTTTTCTTGTTCTCTTTCGCGTTCCTCTCGCCGTATTCTGCCTATTTTGGTGTCCCCTAACTTTGGTGTCCCCCTTTTGGTGTCCCCTCTAACTTTCTTCCTCTCTCTCCACGAACTTGAATTATAACAATTTCCTCCCGTTGACAAAGCTTTAGCTCTGCCAGTATTGTTGCTTTGCGAGTTTATTAGAAATTACGAAATACTGAGAATTACAGTTTAATTTCCCGCTCAAAACGCGGGTTGCGAATTATTTGCTTGCGCGGCTTCACATCTACTAGCCCCACGTGAAACTCTTGTGCAATGCTTAACCTTGTGCCCGCGATACGCTGCCCTGATACTCATCACACAAGTATGCGCACTTCATTGTTATTTATTGCTGTCTCCTGGCGCACACTAATGGGGTATCCAAGTTACGCACGCACAATCGCGCATGCGCATTACCTTCTCCCTCGCCCTTTCCTTACTTAATGGCTAAAATAATACCCGTGGTACAGTTGGCCGCGCATGCTAAAAGTAGCACTTTGTATGGTCGGTCGTACGGTCACAAGTCCAAATGTTTTCGGCTTGATGGGTTACTAGCTCCCCTACGAGCTCCGCTATCACTTCTCCAATTACAAAGAAGCTAGTAAGAATTGTAAGGACCCCTCTATACGCTAACCAGGTGTTAAAAACGTCAGGTGAATTCAGATAGAGAATATGTAGAGCTACCCAAGCATAAGAGGAGACAATTCAAACACTGGTAGGTAGTGTAAATGGACAAGCAACACTGACAGGTTGTGTTAAGCATCAGGCAAACCATGTAACAGAACTTATGCTCCGAGGGAAAGCTATGCTTAAATTAGATATGCAGGGCAGACAGGGACACAAGCAAATAGAAAGCAGACAAGCAGAACGTTAGTACATAAAACAGTTGGTAATGTTACTTAATATAGAGTATAGCCACAGTCATTTACAGAGGAGAGAGAGTGTTTGACAGCAGACAGTTCGACTGTGAGTAACGAATATGAACCTGCAGCTCAATAGGGTTTAATACAAATCATTGCATGTATGCATGCATACACGTAATACATAACCACAGTGTTCTGTTCTGGCAAGAGATACTGCAACAAAGCAGCTTCGGGGTTAAGAATTAACACTAAGTGGTCTAGGTACAGAGTAATACATCGGTAACTAAATGCGAGAAATAATGGTGATGCTACGTAGGAGATGCTAGTAGTTAGATACTTAAACCCTAGGTGTTAGACATCTATAATTTTTTTCCTAAAGTATTAAATTGTTGAAAATCATGGGGGAATTTTCTTTATAGTCGCTGATGATACCTTTTTTCTTATTAGCAAACAATGACGACGATGGATTTGATTTGATTAAGCCATCTTTGATCCAGCAATTAAGAACCATCCTAGATCAGTATCCAGATGATGGACAGATATTGAAGGTATGAAGAAAAGAGGGCCACCAAAACCAGTCCTCTGAAATGTAGGGGGGTGGGTTAGTGTTACTTTTAGACATCCATCCCCACGATTAGTGTTGTGTTAGGGTTAAGCATTCATGCAAGTGTCACCAGGTCTTTTCATTTAGGTGTGCTTACTGCAAATATTTTTTCTGGTGTATTTTACATCTTGAAATGTGTTTTATTGTATCAGGAGCTCATCCAAAATGCAGAGGATGCACACGCATGTCATGTAAAATTCCTTCATGACAAACACAGCCATGGCACAGCCAAACTTCATCACCAGGATCTTGCTCAATTTCAGGTAAATTGTTTTTCTGATATGCACTCCTTTAATTTCTTCTCACCATTACGGTAAAAAATAACTTGTTAAATGCAGTTCAATGCAATATAACGGAGTTAAAAACAAAAAATGTCAGCGTTCTCTAATAGTCAGCGGTTTTTGCATATGCGCATGCGTTGGGATTCCATGTGCTCTTTGCCTAATGCGTTCTTGCCTGTACTTTGAGCGTGTACTTGCAGCGTTGTGAGGAGTGACAGCTCTTCGTCCAGGCCGTTTTCGTCTTCCCCGTTGGTTTTTTCATCTCGAAAGGCTCAAGTGCTGTTATCTCTCGTTTGTTTTTTTCTGGCGGTCAACTGCTTTCGTTCGTATAGATCAGCTTTCGGGGCGTCCAACAAATAACAGTGCTGTCGCCATGCTGGATTTATCGGAATTAATTTTTTCGGCCCCTTTCTCGGCGGATTCCTCTCCTCCCTTAACAGAAACCTTGGTTGTCTCAGCCCCTGCTGCCACCCCTCCTTCTTTTGTAATCTCCGCCTAGGATCTCACTCAAGCTTTTTCTAGAGCGTTAGGTGAGTCGTTACCCCACATTTTGGCGACGATGCAAAGCCACTCCAAGAATACATGTTCTTCGGTGTCGCGTTTCACTTCGGCGGGAAACATGCTCTCGAACTCAAATTTTTCGGGCTTCTCTGCCATCAACTCTCCCCCACCCTCTGCAGGATTATCGTCAGGTAATTTTGATGTGCCTGCATTCATTTCCACATATTGCACGTTAGGCAATTCGCCTTTAAGCTCGCCATCTTTGTTTGGCCCTCGGGATGTCGCGAACGTAGCGTTTCCCGCCATCGGCCACTCTTCTGCACCGGCGTTCTCTATCGGTTCTGTTCACGCATCTACCATTTTGCCGGGGATCCTGTCTTCTCTGAACAGGCCTTTTGTGGTTGGCGTAGGTTATTCTCCCTTTTCAGAGAAGCTGGTCACTAAGATCAGGTAGGACTATTTGTTGATATCGCCGACCGTCTAGGCGGCAACGTGAAGGCACTAAAAGCGGAGCCACAAACATATCATGACAGCAAACTTTTGGTGGGTTCATCAAAGAAACGAAAACAAGAGATCACCGACATTATCACATGGGCGGAGGCATTCACAGTCTACATGTGGATTTTCTGCTGCGCACATCCTTCTAGATGGCAGGAAATGACGCAGCACAAACTCCCGATTCTGAAGACCTCACGCCAGTTTCCCGGCAAGGCCTTGGCTTCACTACAACACTGCCTTTCGGAAGTACGCAGCTGCATCAGGCCTGGCAGACTGGTCTCGTATGAACCTCGACCTTTACAATTTCCATACTCGTTTGGCGCCACAGTCCCAGTCATCAGCCGTATCTTCTCCATTCCTTAACTCAGGCGGCTTGTAATCCAACTTTTGCAGATCATGGAATGACGGCATCTGTCGCTGGCTCTTTGGTCAATGTCGGTACCGCCACTGCTGTGATAGATGTGAACGGAACTACCCTCACGTCAACTGCCCCTTTCGTCCTTCCAAATCGTATGAACAGCGCTCCCGAGCAACTACTCCATCTCGGTACAAATGCTAGCGGCGTTGAGGCGGTCTCTAGATCGCCCAAGGCCCCTTACCTTAAGAATGATGTAAATAGTGTACAGTTATTTCGTTTAGTTTTACGCAGATCCTATTCGGTTCTAGTTAATGTTGTTGTTTCTTTGGCATCGGATATATTTTATTGCGGCCAATTTCGTGTAAATGAGCCTCCTATCTCCTCCAACACAGGGAATTCCATTACTGGTGCTGTTCGGCAAGATTTGGTCCCCCCTTTTAGAATAACCCCGCTTATTGCAGACAAACTGCAGCGGAAAATTTGTTTTCACCCTGATCAAAGAAAACTGGATTTCGTGATTTCTGGTATTACCATTAGTTTTCGTCTTAGCTTTGATCCTTCGGCGGTATCGTTGAGGTCTGCGAACCAGAATATGCCATCCGCGTCTCTTTACCCTTCTGTGATTGATCAGAATATCCTCACAGAACTTGAGAAAGGTCGCGTAGCTGGCCCCTACTCTATATCTCGAATTCCAAGCCTTCAGTCGCTTTGGGGTGGTCCCAAAGACATATCAACCTGGAAAGTGGCGGGTTATTTTAGATTTATCTAGCCCATTGGGCCGTGGCGTCAACGACCGCATTCTTAGAGAGCCTTTCTCTTTACAATACATGAAAGTAGACGATGTCATCAAGGATCATGTCTTATGGCCAAGGAACACTGATGGCGATGAAGTTTGATGTGGAAAGTGCGTACCGCGATGTCCATTCCGATGATCGTTATTTGCTCGGCATGAAGTGGCGAGGCAATTATTTCATCGATTTGGCTCTTCCCTTCGGATTACGCTCTGCCCCGTTCATCTTCTATTCTATTGCGGACCTGTTAGAGTGGATTCTCAAACACAATTATGGCATGAAGTTTCTCTTACACTACCTGGATGACACATTGGGTCCCCCCAACTCATCTGTCTGGCCAGAACAACCTGGATTTGTGTATTCGGCTTTTTGAGGACTAGGGTATCCCCCTTCATCCAGATAAACTAGAGGGACCATCCACTTGCCTAACAGTGCTCGGTTTTGAGCTGGATTCACTTCACTTTAGGCTTGTCTTCCAAGGGACAATTTTGAGCGCTTCATTGACTTGTTGGATACTTGGTCTTCCAAACAGTACTGTATGAGAAAACAGCTGGAATCTCCCATCGGCAATCTCCAACACACTTGTACGATCATTCTTCCGGGGCATACCTTTTTACGGCGTATGATTAACTTATTATCAGCGTTCCAGCGGGATGACCACCCCATAGGGCTTAATCAGGAACTCCGTTTAGACCTTTCTCGGTGGCGTGAATTCTTCCATTCATGGTATGGCCTCAGTGTTCTGCTCTTCCCCAAGTGGGCACCACTACCTTATTTTTCTTTTTCCTCAGATGCAGCCCGAGCCCTGGGTTACTGCGCACTCTTTTACCCTGAGTGGTTTGTGGGGAAATTGTCTGCCTCTCAGCTGCCGTTACAGGCAGCAGGCATTCCCGGAAAGTTCACTAGTCAAAGCTTTAGAATTGGAGCTGCAACTACAGCTGCCCAGCGGGGCATTCTCGATCATCTCGTTAAGACCACGGGACGCTGGTCAAGTGAAACGTAATTATTGTATGTGCGCACATCCTTGAATAGCATCCTCTCAGTAGCGGAACGAATTTCATAGCAGGTATGATGCCCATAATCTCTCACTTCCACCACGCAGCAGGTGCCGTCGGATTGAGCAGTTTTTCTTGGGGCCATGACCTGCCGTTGCCATGAGCCCCATTTCTCCGAGCTGATTGCGCTCAGTTTGGAGGTCCTCCGGCTTGGCGTGGGGGCTCATGGCTGGGTTGCCAGAATTTGCCAGCCATTAGAGAAGTCTCCATCTAGGAGCCTACTGCCAATAGTGGAAGCTCCTGGATGTTTCAGGCACCCAACCTGCAATTAGCGATACAGTTGATAAATGCAGTTAAATGCAATTTAACGGAGTTAACATTAAAGAAAGTCAATGTTCTCTAGTAGTCAGCGGTTTTTTGCATATCACATGCGTCGGAATTCCATGTGCTCTTCGTTTGAGGCGTTCTTGCGTGTACTTTGAGCGTGTTCTTTGAGCGTGTACTTGCAGCGTTGTGAGGAGTGGCAGCTCTTCGTCCTTGCAGCTTTCCCCACCCATTCCCTTCCTTTTCCCACTGTTTATTCAGTTTGACGGGTGCCTGTTTCGAATTCCCGTGTTGGGGCTAATGGATGGGTTGCCAGAATTTTCCAGCCATGAGAGAAATCTCCATCAAGGAGCTGGCTGCCAAAAGTGGAAGCTCCTTGATGTTTCAGGCACCCAACCTCCAATTAGCGATGCAGTTGTTAACTTGAATCAATCGACTTCATATTTACTTATTTCAGCATTAAGCCACGATTTATTTGTTGTTAAAAGCTCCATATGGATTAGACCCATATGGATTAGCGTGGTAAATACAAACTGGTCTTTTTATTTTGAATAACGCACCCACTCATTAATTGTTCGTTTTATAAGGGGAATCTGATCGTTTTTATGTAACAGGGCCCAGCACTTTATGCATACAATGACGCTCAGTTTACAAAAGATGACTGGAAGGGCATACGGATGTTGTGTGATAGTATTAAAGTCAAAGACCCAATGAAAGTTGGCCGTTTTGGTCTTGGCTTCAAGTCTGTTTTTCATATGACAGGTGAGTCTCTTGAATTGCTATGTCCTCAGACCCTAACGTGAATGTTTCCCAGGCGTTTTTTCCATTATAATGACCGTTCGGAAAAAAGGGTTTACCGGAGCTTTTTCTATTTGGTTGATTGGCGACTTTGTATGTTTTCCAGGAACAAACTTTTCCGGTTAGAGATCACTGAAATTATTACTTATTTCTCATTTTCTGTCACAGCAGTATAACAAAACAAGGAATAATTCTTGAAATTGTGTAATCCTCTTTCTTTTAGAGTTACATGTAGGGAAGCTACGCGGAAGAATAGTCGTAGATATCCATAGATGAATACTCTGTACGAATCATTTAAACTGGTTTTAATTTAGATTATTTTCTTATCATGTAATACTTGTTTACATATTTTATGCCATCGCTTCTTACGTTTTGACAAAAGTTAACAAAAGTTACCAATTCATAATTTTCATGTGGAATACTAAGAATACAAAATGACAACAGATTCAGTAGAGAAGCCTATCATTCGACGGGAGGCAGCAATGTTAGCGGCGCTTTAAATTGTGAGATATTTAAGGCGAGTGCTTTTTCTTAGCTGTTGAATGGCAAATCGAAAAATTAACCGGAGTGAATACCTGGAAAATTTTCATACTTAAAGGTAAAATCGTGCATGTTCTATCCTTGCATATACAGTTTTAACCTTTGTGCATTTTTATCTCTGCCATGGTTGCCATAATTTTTCTCCGACATTGCAAAGATGTTTTCAGACATTTTATTGTTGGAAGGCGACAAAGTTATCTGTGTTCGTTTTCAGATCTACCAAGTATCGTAAGTGGTTCGCGGATCGGAGTGATTGATCCGCACGAAAAGTACTTTAGGGACGAAAATGGCATACGAACCGGGCACAGGTGGCTATTGAAAGAAGACGGAAACATCATAAACAGCATCCCAGACCAGTTTCAGCCGTATAAAGGAATATTCGATTGTACAGAGGACACCTTCAAACAGGGGTCCTATAATGGGACACTGTTTCGTTTCCCTCTAAGGACAAAACCATCCAAGCTATCGCCGACGTTATACACTACCCAAAAGGTGCACACGTTGTTTGAAAGTTTTGAGGCTGATGCTCATTTGATCCTTCTCTTTCTTCAGTATCTGGAATCCATAGAGCTTTTTGACCGAGAGGAAACAGACAATGACGCCAGAAAAACCTTTCAAGTCCGAATCACAAATGATACTTTACAATTAGTGCGAGAAAAGAGGAGTGAGTTTCGAAGAAAGATCTCATCAGGTGAACTATTGCCAGAAGCTGTTTGGGTAACTTATCCTATCACAATCGAGGCAATTACTTATTCCAAAGGCACGCAAAGTGCGTCAGAGCGACATTCGTTTTTAGTTACTAACTACTTTTGTGGAGGAGAAATCTCGTCAGAATTTAGAACCTTGGCTTCAGATCAAGATCTCAGCTATCTGCCTTTGGTAGGTGTCGCCATGGAGTTGCCAGAACGTCCCGTGAAAGAAACGCCAGACATGAAAGGCCACGTGTTTTGTTTCTTACCATTACCAGTACAGAAGACAAGTTTAACAGGATTGCCAGTGCATATCAACGGCTTCTTTGCTTTGAGTCAGAACAGGCGATACATTAAGACGCCTACAGCTGAACAAGAAGATCTGGCTGAGAAGGAAGGCCAGCCCCTGACTGACAAGTCATTGTTATGGAACCAGTGTCTTCTGCAAGAGGCCATCCCTAAAGCGTATGCTTCTCTGCTACTGGATGCTATGGACGAGCAGAACTACAACGTGCAAAGCGAAGCCGTGTACAAGTAAGCGTGTGTGCCCCTATAATATAATTACCTCTTTTTGCTCAGACTATATGTAGCAAAGAGCTCAAGAATACGAGTTGACGGAAACAGCTAAAATAGATTGAGACATGTGCTTGGTCTGCTTTAAGACTGATTGTGTCTCTATGGTTGATAAAAGTTCCGTTAATCTCATGCTTAAACAGTTTATGGATCTAAAAGTCCTTCCTTAGTTTTAACAGTTTTCCATAATTTCTCCTTTGAATAGAGCATGGCCTGATACAACTAACATAGACCAGAAATGGAAAAGAGTGGAGAAACCCCTATTTGAGTTGCTTCTCGACAAAAGCATCATCTACACTCCGGCTCAAGGAGGAAAATGGATAAAATTGGCAGACGCGATCGTTGAAAGACTTGCAGGAAGTGATCCTAAAGAATTGCTGGTGAACGTTTTTCTTGCAGCGAATGCAAACGTCGCCTGTTTACCCGAACACGCCCTAAAAGCCATTTGCTTGTACTCAACGTTGAGTGCAGAAGTAACACCTTCGTTGACGCGAAGAGTCCTAAAGAATGTCCCCTCTAGCTACTCAAACTTACCACGGTCAGAAAAACTTTTGCTGCTTGATTTTGTCCTCAAAGACGGTTGCTTTTCTGACCTACTTGGATTGGAGCTGTTACCGATTTCTAACAAGCAGTTCATGTCGTTTTCCAATACGGGCGAGGCTGTTTACATTTCGTCGCCAGCACATCCCCGTGAACTCTTACCATGTCCACAACAAAAGTTCGTTGATGAAAGCATCGACAAAGATTTGTCGCGAAAACTGAATGCAGTCGCAAAACAAGGTATGCAAATTGGAAGTAGTTGTTACAACAACGAAAAGAGCCATACGAAGAATTAAGCTGATGCTCTGCGTCTGAAAAAATGTTATACTTAATCTTTTTAGTTTATTAGGTCTAGAACCTTTAATTTCGCGGTGCCAAATTGTAAAGAACATGGTATATTATCCCACGGAGGAACTCGAGACAATTGAGATCTCTGAGTTACTTTTTACTATCACAATTAATTCACAATTATTTTACTTATTATTTACCTTAATGATTTTATTTGGTAACGTATTCCATTTAGGCGAGACCTGTTTTCAAAATAGTACCGCATTTAGAGCGAGTATGTCTGACTTTTTGCACTTATAAGAGCAAACTAAGATTAGCTAAGGATTCACCTTACTTTCCGAACAGGGTGCACTCAGTTACGGCATTTCACCAAAGATGACATTGCTAAACTTCTCCCGACTTCACTACCACCTGGATGGCTTTGGGGAAAAATTATTTTGTGGCGTCCTGGCGTCAGAGGCCAACCGTCCAATGACTGGCTGGGAAACTTGTGGACATACTTGGGAAAGAACTTCCCCTCAGTAGACGAGCTCTGCAGTTTTGAAAACCTGCCACTACTTCCAGTAAATATGTCGAAAGTTCCGATTACCCTCGTGAGACTTAAACAGTTATCTGATGTTGTCGTGAGAAGACTTCATGGCAATTCTTTAGACGACGCTATTGTTGGAGCTTTGGAAGAGCTTGGTGTTACAGTAATGCAAAGGTATCCGGGGTTCCTAGGCCTGCACCCTGCCGTTTCGGAAACGTTTGTTCATCCGCCATCAGTTCAAGGCGTCTTAAAAGCTGTGGCAGCTTTCCTTTCCTTAAAGCCCAATGCCGTGAAAAACATAACAGACGATGGTAAACGATATTTTAGGCAGTTTGTCGCCAAAGCCTCTTCGCTCAGTCCAGATGAGAAGAAAGTCTTGAACTGCATACCACTGTTTGAGACTTTGTCCGGAGTCTTTGTTTCTAAAAGTGATGGCCTTTGCGCTGCACCTGATGATGCGTTTCCAGTGAAAACCTTCAGAGATCTCATCGACATTAGAGAGAACGATGCAAAGAGATTGGCAGGTTTGTTAGACATCCAAGTCTTGACAGGTTCTGAGGTTCTGCTTGAGGTGATATTTCCGGATGTAGTGGGTCAGCGTTACTCCACTGAAGAAATTGACAGACTCATGGAATTCGTGATGGATAGATATCACGTTTACACCGCAGAGGATGAGAGATTTCAGAATCAGTTAAAAGACGTACCCTTTGTTTCAACTAAAAATGACAGAGTGAGACCTAAGGAGGTATTTGATCCCAGAGAAGACTTCCTGAAAAGAATTTTCGTGGAAGAAGATGTGTTTCCTGTTGGAAAGTACGATCAACCTACAGCTCTAGTAATCTTAAAATACCTTGGCATGAAAGACGAAGGAGAAATCACGGGACAAAATGTGTACGAAAGCGCAAAAGCAGTGAATAGCATTGTTAACTTTGCTGCGGCAGAAACGAAGTCATCAGCGATCATGTCATTCTTAACTAGCAATCCGGCAAAACTTGAAGAAATTGTTTCTGGAACATTAGGTTTAGGAGAGCTCGGGATGCATCTTAAAAGTATTCCATGGGTCTCTGTGCTCAGACGAAAACCCGATGGCTACCCCGAAAGTCTTCCGTTCTGGGGAGAAACGCACTCAGAACCTTATTTCCTAAAGCCTTCAGATGTCAAGTACAAACAAGCAGCAAACATCATTGGATCAGTAAAACCACTTGTCAAAGCTGAGCCATGTAGCAAATTAACCTGCTTCTTTTCATGGGACGCAGACCCGGCTGTTGTGGACGTCGTGCAGCACTTGCAGAATGTATTAAGTTGCTACAGTCCACTAGACAAGCCACGTTATATTATCATCGCCCAGGAAATTTACGCCTTCCTCAGTGGTGCAGATCATAACGAAGTACTTTCTGCTTTGGAGAATGTCAAGAACCTTTCGTGGATTTGGAACGGAGATGGATTTTCTTCCCCTAGGTTCCTGATATCTCAGAAACCTCCGATTGATCTGACGCCATATATCCGTTCTCTTCCCTCAGAAGTGGCAAGATTCTACGAGCTGTTTGCAAAATTTGGCCTGCAAGAGAAGTGCGATGACGCATTTTTGCTAGAGGTTCTTCACTTAGTAAAAGAGAAGTACGAAAATCACCCTCTGCCTCCTACGGCAGAGGTACGGAAGGACCTGCAGTTGTCTGTGGACATTTTGAATGAAATTAAGCCAAACGTTGGAGATCAGTTACCGCCCGCACTTCAAAAAAAGGTGCTCATTCCGACACATGTGGAAAACGATGCGTATGTTAAGCTTGCACCAGTTGAGAGATGCATGTACTGCGAGCATGAGTGGTTGGAAAGAAGTAACCACGATGGAGAAGAAGATGAAGAGATGGAATATTTCTATGTACATCCAAACATTCCAAACAGCACAGCTGAACTTTTGCGCGTTCCAACGTTGATGAATCGAATGTTGGAACCAGACGAACTGGGTATTGGAGAGGAATTCGGACAAGAAGAAAAACTCACCTGTAGACTTAGCAGACTTTTAGAGGATTACACTGATGGTTTTGCAGTACCCAAAGAGCTTGTTCAAAATGCAGACGATGCAGGTGCCACTGAAGTGAGATTTTTATATGACGAACGAACGAACCAGGATGCCATGACCTGTCTGATTGACGAAGAAATGAAACACTGCCAGGGTCCTGCTCTGTGGGTCTACAACGATGCCGAATTCAGAGACGAGGATTTTACAAACATCACAAAATTAAACGGTGCCACAAAAGAACAAGAAACTGAGAAGATTGGCAAGTTTGGACTTGGTTTCAATGCAGTATACAATCTGACAGATGTTCCAATGATTTTGAGCAGAAATTATTTTGTGATTTTCGACCCGAACACGTTCTATCTCGGAAAGGCAATAACAAACAAGAACAAACCTGGAATAAAGATTGATATCAACAAAAACACAAAGAGACTTAGGAATCTCGGCAATCAGTTTAAACCGTTCAATGGAATATTTGATTGCGATCTTCACCTGAGCAAAGACGACAACTCTTACCCTGGAACTCTGTTTCGTTTTCCATTACGTACCAAAGAGCAGGCTATAAAAAGTGAAATCAAGCAAATTCATTACGACAACAAACAAATGAAAGAGCTCCTGAAGCTTTTCGCCTCTGGTGCTAAGACTCTCCTTCTCTTCACGCAAAATGTACGTCGTGTCAGCATTTTTCACCTGCCGGAAGATTCGAACTCCTCCAAGTCGCCTATGTTACTGCTTGAAGTAAACAAATCCTTTTATCGTGACGGAATGATAAGGGAACTGTCTGTTCCAGTTACACTTCCACCAGCTGCGAGGAGCCTCAGTGGAGAAGAGCAGTACCTTTTGCAACAGTGCAATTTTTTACGTGCGTCGTCCGAAGTCACCAAGAATTTTAAACATTCCATTACCTCCAATTCAGTTTCACTCAGTTCTGGGCTCACGATTACCATCCGGAGTACCACTACTGAGGCTGGAATAGCATTTGTCGAAGGCAAGGACCGTTCACGAGATGAGTTGGAGATTTGGTGTGTTGCCTCTTCCATGGGTAAAGGACAAGCAATGCAATTTGCAAAGGTTGATAAGAGTCTACTCCCATCAGCGGGGGTAGCAGCCAAGTTGATCCCCGACAAGCGTGGAAAACTCTTACCCGTGCCTGTCGGCCATTCGATCACAGAGAAGGTGCAACAACCCAAGGGAAGATTGTTCTGCTACCTTCCGCTCCCAATAGTTAGTGGTTTTCCAGTACATGTAAATGGGGCATTTGCTGTAGCGTCTAACAGACGAAGCTTGAAAGAGAAGACATTTGACGACAAGAATTCAATGGGAGTTGAGTGGAACAATCATCTTATGCAAGATTCAATTTGTGAGGCATATCTTGACCTTCTCCAAGACGTAAAGAAGATGGCCGCTGATTCGTATCTTTATCACTTGCTGTGGCCTAGAGCTTGTAAGGTAGATCCGAATTGTGAGCCTCTCGCACGTTCATTTTACCAACGTTTGACTAGTGGAAGCTATGGTCTCTTTTCTGATGGGAGGCAGTGGGTCGACCTTAGCCAGGTGGTCTTTCTTGATCCAAATTTTCGCCAAATTCCGATAATTGGGGAATTGTCCTTCGAAGTTCTAAGGAGATTGAAAAAAGAAAATGAGGTCATCATTGACCTACCAGCTGAAGTCCACCAGTCTTTTCTTAAGTATGGCCTTGCAGAAGAAATCCAGAATAAAGGCTACGACAAGTCAAGGTTCTTTCAAGAATTATTCTTCCCAAACATCGCCTCTATAGCAACAGACCTGAGGGAAAAGTTGGTTTTATACACTCTTGATGACAAAAATGGAGAGTTTGACAGTCTGATTAAGAAATACGCTTGCATTCCCGCCTCACCGGATGGCCAAACTCTAAAGTGTCCAGCTCAGCTTATCAACCCCCATAAGGGAGCCGCCTTGCTCTTTAGTCCCGACGATAAAAGATTTCCGTTTGGCACAAAGGATACTTTTTTGAATGGCGTACGACTTGTCAAGCTTGAACAACTTGGGATGTTGACAGACAGCCTTACATGGGAAGAAGTTGTAGAGAGGGCGGAGAGCATTACCGTTCTAAATAGGTTCTCTAGTACATCTGCATTAAAGCGCGCTGAAGCATTGATGGCTTATCTAAAAAGAAAATTGATATATGAAAAGGAAAACTCTGTACCCGATGATGTTCGAAACAAACTGAAAAAAGCCAGCTTTCTTCCTGTGCTTCAAAAACCGGAAAAATTCCCTCTTCCTTGGAAAGGAGATCAGCTACGTAGCGCTAAAGCAAGATTATTTGTTTCACCCGAAGAGTCCTATCTTGAGAGCGAGAAGCATTTAGTTTGTTGCAGTGAACCGATAGTCGACATGCAGATCCCAGAAAGTGTGAAAACGTTCTTGGATTTCGACAAACGGCAAGCCACCGTTGTTCATGTTCGAAGGCAACTCGAGTTTGCCTCAACAGTGAACATGGATATATTGGGTTCTCCAGAAATTGATCACGTCGAAAGGCTGTGTTTAGAATCTTACGGGTATTTTCAGCGATCACTCAGCAACGAAACAATCCAGGAGAAGGAAGTAAAAGGGATGTTTGAAGGACAAAAATACATTTTCTGTGGAAGGAATTTCTTTTACCCTGAACAACTAGCTTTCAGCAAGTTGGAGCACGATTGTTCTCCATACTTACATCAGCTTCCGCATCACTTAGCAAGATCATTTAAAAATTTAATGAAAAGTGCAGGTGTGAAAGATGTTTTTGATGCCGAAGATTACGTCACCTGTTTGACGCGACTGAAGGAAGCGTTTAAGGAAGAAAAGCTTGATCAGATGGGTCTTCGACTAGCGGTTAACCTGGCTCTTGAACTCGGAGAAAGCTCAAAACACCCTCAAGAAAAGCTCTTTCTTCCTGATTCTAAAGGTGTAATGCGACCTGCCAATGAACTTTGCATGAGAGACTGCCCTTGGATGCCCGACGAAATCGACGTTTTTTTCGTCAATGACATGATTCCCCCTGCAGTAGGTTCCAGACTGGGTGTCAAGACACGACGCGAGGAAGCATTAAAGCATTTCTCCAGTGGCATTCCTTTTGGACAGAAGGAAAAACTTACAAATCGACTACAGCGAATTCTTACAGCTTACCCATGCGAGAAAGAAATCTTAAAAGAACTTCTCCAGAATGCGGACGATGCGCAAGCGACCGAGATTTGCTTCATTAAAGACCCTCGACGTCACCCAAGCGAAAGAGTATTTGCAGACTCTTGGAAACGCCTGCAGGGTCCCGCATTATGCGTGTTTAACAACAAACCTTTCACTGAAGCCGATATTGCAGGAATTCAAAATCTCGGGGAGGGCAGTAAAGGAGACGATCCAAACAAAACTGGTCAGTATGGAGTTGGTTTCAATGCTGTGTACCATTTGACTGACGCACCGTCGTTTGCCTCTAGAGGTGAAGAGATTGGAGACGTTTTGTGCATATTTGATCCGCAACGTAAGTACGTGCCAGGTGCAACCAGTTCTGAACCAGGAAGGATGTACAGAAATGTCCCAAAGTTGAGAAAAGTCTTTCCGGACGTTTTTTCCTGCTACAATGATGAGGAGTTTCCCTTACGCAATTCAACAATGTTCCGTTTTCCATTACGAACTCTGGAAATGGCGGATAATTCCAAGATATCGAAATCACCGGTGACGCTTCAGGCATTAGATGAGATGATGTGCGCACTAAAGAAGGAACTTTTCGAAGTTATGCTTTTTGTCAACAACGTTACAAAGATTACTTTGTGTGAAATAGATCCGAAAACCGGGAAAACTATGAACCACTATTTCGTCGAGTCGAAAATGACAGAGGAGGATGCAGCGAAAAGGCAAGAGTTTGCGAGTCATGTCCGACAGATCGGGAAGTCAACTGGCCAAAGAGATAACATGTTTCCCAACAACATTGAAGGGAAAAAGTGTTCGTATGTTCTGAGGCTGCGAGACAGTAATGGCAACGAGGAAAAGTGGCTTATTGTACAACAGATTGGCTTTGATAACGTAGTGCAAGAAAGTATTACAAATGCTTACAGAATGCGTGATCTGGGAATGCTACCACGAGGCGGAGTTGCTTGCCTTCTGGAAAAGAAACCAACAAAGAACTCGTCCAAAAAAAGGAAGAAAAGGGCTTACTGCTTTCTTCCACTTCCTTTAGAGACTAACCTTCCAGTCCACATTAATGGTCATTTTGCATTAGACCATGAGGCCAGACGAAATCTGTGGAAGGATGAAACTCGTGGTTATCGTAGTGACTGGAACAACGCTTTGCTAGAAGATGTGATTGCACCGTGTTATCTGACACTTCTGGATGAAGTTAGGGAGTTTCTTCACTTGCCATCAGCGCCAGATAAGGAAGAATTTACTCTTCAGTGCACTGAAGAGGCTTTGTTCAGGAAGATCGACGAATACGAAAAGCTTTTTCCATTGGTAGTTTCGGGTGAGACGTACTGGGTGACCCTGGGAAAAGCCGTGTATCAGAAGATGGACGAGAGAAGATTGAGACTTCTGCCAGTGGTGAGAGGTGGTGGAGCAGAAGGTACTGTTTCGGAGCATCGACTGACATGGCTCCCTCCGACAGGCGAGGGGAGAGAAAAAGCGTTCTTCAATAACCTTGCAGAAGGTGGTTCTTTCCCTAGTCATGTAAAAGGTTTCCTCAGTAAAAGCGACATTGAAAAAGAAGACAAAGGAACGCTTGAGAACAGAAAGAGATTGGAAGAAATATTATTGGAAACGGGCTTTAATCTCGTAAAGTTCTCGTTAACTCTAATGAAAGCATTACACAATTCGTGTGTAGATTGTTCTTGTGTATCACCTTCTGCAGTGGTCAGGTTCTACAAGACCTTCGGTGATGCCGAACCCATTTGCAAGATTGGACCGATTTCTGTTAACATTAAAAAGAGTCCATTTAAGAGTACTGACAACGTCTCACTCGTGTTGAAGTATTGCAAGGGGGATATGAACTTCCTTGAAAACCTGCCAGGCCTCCCTTTACTTGTAACACAGGACAATCAGTTACGTGCATTCAGCAGTACTGATCCTAAATTTCTGTCGCGTCATCACAGCATCCTACCGCAATGCAGAGAATTGTTTGTCCACGAACGTCTCAGGATACACATCTTTGACGATGCAAGGAGTCAAGAATCATCGGTGTTTCGGCATTTTGGTGTACAAGACTTCGCCACTAACTTGAATCGATGCCTACCATCGGAGTTTTTTACTGGAGACGACTATTTTAGGTGGTGCCCGACGCAAGAATCAGTGCCTAGTAAGCGCTGGGTGCAGGGTGTTTGGAATTTCCTTTATGAAGAAACTAATTATGTGTTGAAGAAAATGGAGCAGACTGAAAGGGAGAGAAGCACCTCTGCAAAGCACGAAGGGGAAATCAAAAGGATTCAAAGAATACTTCAACCTCTTTCTAAGTGGAGTATCCTTCCGTGTATTGAAACGAGACAAATGACGTCAAGACGTGGAAGCATCGTTGAGACACCAGAGCACTGCCTAGTGCCGTTGAGCCTCGCACAGTCTGTCCTTGACTTTACATGTTACGATGAGAATAGCAAACCTCTTGTTGAAGCTTTGAGGCGGCTCAACTTAGCCGAAGTGAATTACACCATATTGAGGCCAGATTCTTGTTCTCTCGCACGTAAGCTGGTAACATCGCTTAAAACACCAGAATCTCTTCTCAAATGTTTTGAGCAGAAATTGAAGAAAACCCCCAACGCATTTGAAGGCAAATTGAAGTCCTCAGAATGTCGCACTATTTTGAAATGTTTCAGTGACAGCGTCAATAGATTGGAGGAACGTGACAAAACCACACTGAAAAGGCTTCCTTTCTACCAAGCAACACATGGCAAACTAACAAGTGTGGGTAGTGCAGAGGTTTGTGTCCTACCTATTGACATTCCACGGAAAGAGATGGACACTCTTGGACTTCGAAGGAAAGTGACTTTTCTAGAAGCGAGTCGTTCACTGGCTCCCCTTTTTCAATTTCTTGAATTCCAATGCATTTCCTCAGTTGATGTGTATTGCAGCTTCATTTTGCAAACCTTCGACATTTTCAGTAAAGAGGCAAGGTTTGATCACCTGGATTATATCCGTTGTTATATTCTTCCGAGCAGGTCAATCAATGACAACGACAAGAGTAGGCTCCTGGCTTCTTTAAAGAACACGGCAATCATTACTTGCGAAGATGGAAGCTTAAGGAAGGTATCCTCCTTCTACGACCCCCGTAATGAAGTCTTCAGAATTATGTTTGCAGAGGATAAGTTCCCTCCGGAACCTTTTAAGGATCAAAGTTGGCTGTTGTTTTTAGAAGAGACCGGGCTAACATGTGAGGTCTCAAGTAGCCTGTTCACAATCTTTGCCAACGATGTCGCCCTTGAAGGAGCTATACGACGTTCAGAGAATACTGTCAAAAAGTCGAAAGTATTGGTAAAGAACCTTTTTTGTCGACAGGATGTAGTAGCAGAAGAGCTTCTACAGGCTGTGTGCGACATTAGCTTTGTGGCCACTGAACCTGTCGAGGAAAAGTTTCGTCAGCTCCATCAGCAGTTTGGTGAAGTAAGAGGTCAAACCCCCTTCATTTCGTTCAAAGGATCTGTGATTGCAAAGCACACTGAGATAGTTTGGACGGCGGCACCTCTGCTTCCACAATGGGCACATCCTTTGAACTATCAGCACCAGATTACATTGTTAGGTAGAGTAAGTGTCAATTACAACACTATCTGTTCCTGTCTTCAGGTTCTGACAGAGCCCAACCTTGACCTGGTTATCTCCCACTGCCAAAATTTATGCTTTAAGCTGGAAAAACAAAACTACAGAGATGTACTGGATGAGGATAAATGCACCAGAATTTCAGTGATGAGAGGCATATACGCGTTTCTTCAAGAAAAGGCCGTCTCAAACATCATTAAAACAGAGAGGCTGAAGGATACTCCTTGCGTTTTGGTAGAAGAGGGAGGTCGTTTTGTTCACTCGAAACAAGTAGTCCTTGAATTGTACGAAAAAGATGAGATTCGACCCTTTCTTTATGGAATGCCTGCAGAGTTAAGTGAGTTTAAAAGACTCTTCCAATATTTGGGATGTTCCCCATCTGTCAAACCGTCTCACTACGTCATGGTTCTAGATATGTTACACAGGCGATCAATGGAAAATATGTTGGAACCAAATGAGGTTAGTTTCGCTTCAAGAGCAGTGAAAGGTCTTTTTGAAACGCTTCAAGACATTCCAAGTGGAATGGATGGTATATCTAATCTGTACCTACCTTCTACATGTCTATTTAGTAGCAATTTGGTCGTGGAGGTACCACCTATCGTGTTGGCGAGGTCGACAGAATTAATTTTCGATGACGCTCCATATTACCATGATCGAATTCGAGAATTTGACTTTCCTGTTGTTGTTGACCTTAGGAAGGCTGGAGTATGCATCAAGTCCAATGCAAATTACAAAGACCTGATGAAGCTTCTTCCTGCTACTGCCCAACCTCAGATGATGTCCGAAGTTATCGAAGAGAAACTCGTGGAAGATGATAGTAATTCAGTTTTCGAATTTGGAGCTGCAGACTCACTGAAGAAACAATTTAGCTCCGAGCAGTTTTATCGTGGAATTGTCAGGCTTATTCGTCACGCCAATCAAGATGGAGGTCTTGATCAAAATGAAGTCGCAGCTGCAAGGAGCAGTCTGCAAAACATCGAATTCTTTGGAATGGGTCAGGTTGTTACTCACCTGGTTCATAATGGACAGGTCATCCAAGGGAGTCAGCAGGAAGTTCCCTTCTACATGAAGAAAATTTCAGAATGCGGTCAAGAGATGTGGAAAGTATACGTCAGTGCTGCGGAGAACGTTGAAGTAGTCATGTCTGCAATATCAGTAAAGCTATCAGAGGTGATTGAACAAGCGTGCAGAGGACTGCTGGGAAATGCTATTCGCTACATTCCTGAGATGCTTCGTTGCGACCCAACTATGATAAGTTCCATTTTAGATAAGTTTAAGATTCGTTCAGACGACTCCTATGATGCAGAAAAAGGAAATCTACTCCCAGAACCAGGTAGTTTTATTCCTCTTAAACTTCACAACCTCCTAAATCCTGCTTTCAAATCCTTTTTCCCCGAGGAGTATGTTGGATACGAATTGGATGATCCCAGTCTTCAACTTCAAGAAGGAGATGTAACCTACATCTACGCTGTCATTATTGAAGAGGTGACGACTGACACACAAAGCCCCCTGACTAAACGTTTCAAAATCAATATTGGGAGCAAGAGGGAACCTGTAATTGTCCAGGCTTCAGAATTATACCAATTTCACCGTTTTCAAGAAATAGCATCCTCTGCCATGGCTCAGTTTGACCAACAAGAAAGCCCTCAGTCTACAATGGATAAGGGGACGATTTTGAACGCTATATCCGATATGATTGAAGAAGCTTGGGGACTATCAGAAGATATGAAAAAACAGGTTTTCAAGCGCCTCATCCTACAGTGGCATCCAGACAAGAATCCAGAAAACAAAGGGCTGTGCACAGAGGTTTTTCAACATATAATGAGTGAAATTGAAAGATTAGAAAAGGGAGAGTTTCGGAGACGTGAAGGATGCACCCCACGTGACGGGACTTATCAGGGGTCTTATAGTGCCTTCTTTTACTTCTGGGGAGCGCGTGCAAGGCAATATAATTCAGATCGTCAAGAGTATAGTGAAAGATTTGCCAGGCACCGTGGGTCTGGGAGTCGTAATTCATGGTCATGGCGTGTTCCTCCTGACTTCTGTGATACAAATCCCCAGCCAGCAGAGGCACGGCGCTGGTTCAGACAGGCTGAGGCTGACTTAGCAGCTGCCGATAACGACATTGGTACTGCAAAACCTTCGTACGTGTGGGCTTGCTTCAAATGCCACCAGGTAAGAACTCTGCCGATTTAAATCTTACTGACAAGTTGAAAATATAAACTCTCCGGACCACCTTTATATAGCATTAATTTTTACTGTTTTGGTTTTTGAAAATTTGAAAGCGGAAAAAATGGCACAAGCTCCTTTTGCTCTAAGCCAAATGTTTCACATTTATATGCAGAACTGATAACCTACTGATGTAGAAGGTATACAAGTAGTAGCTCCATAGCAAAAACAACCAAAAGAAAAGCGATGAAGGTAAAACCAACAATAGAAGCATCATCCCTCTTGCAACTTATAATAACGTTGTGCGACCAAACTTACCCATCAAACCTAGGTATAAATGTATGTATGCCACGAAAAAGGTCGATCAATTTGAAAACAAAGTATTGTTTGCCTTTAATTGGAAGTTTGGTACTTAAGTGACGCAAAAGCTACCAATAAATAGTTATAACGTCTTCTAGTGTTCTAGCATGATTAGATGACGCTAATTGTAATCCACGAGAGTTTCAGTGTTCAATGGAGATTTCTAATGATTCTGTGCTAATGTTGGAGGAAGTGGAAACGGTTCTTGCGGGGCTGCCTTTGAGCGAGCTTTCTTTTTCCTCTTAACTGGTTTTTCGTAGCGATTGCATTCGTAATAAGTTTGAGAAGGAGGCACTTCGATATTTGGAGAGTTAAGTCGTACATGCAGTTTCTGTGTTGTTTGACCACGAAAAATCCTGAGGATACAGCGAAAACAAACACAAAACCCAACGAAATTAATCACAGACAGTGTACATGTGACATAGTTAAGATATTTCCAGAAAGTAAAGTTCATTCCTCTCCTCATGAACATGAAGAAATAAACTGTGACGTGAAGTTTGAAAATATCCACATAAAAATCCAGATTATTAGAGAAATGCACGTTCTTTGAATGGCCGACAATTTTTTTCACGTCTGGCTAGAATGACCCGTATTTGGAGAATAAATATGTAGATTTCGCCAAGCCTAAAAGAGGAGCTCGCATTTTTTTCCCGCACGTCTCAAGGGCACAGCACCTTGCCCCGGCCAGGACTAGAACCCGGGTCGTCCGACTCGGAGCCCAGTGTACTGACCACTGGACTACTGGACAAAGCCGTGGCGTTGGCGTGCCCGCGGTACAGTTGACCACGCATGTTAAAAGTAGCACCTTGTACGGTCGTACGGTCATACGGTCGTGCATCCAATTTTTTCGGCTTGATGGGTTACTATTACTACTATTTTGTATAATTATGGGGCTGCGCGAACTCCGCTAGAAGTTAGTTATATGAGTTTTTCTTTTTTTAATATTTTACTTAAAGTGTTTTCAGTATAGTCCCTTGATTCTTTTCAAATCAAAGGAAGGCAGTTTATTGTTTGAAATTTCCCCTAGGTTTTCCTGTTTTTGTTGTGGTTTTTTCCATGGCATTGAATGTGCTTTTAAAATGGTGTTAGAAATACGATCGGAAAAGTTCTTATTATGTATATAAGGAATGTAAATTTAATAGTTACTTTTTTCAGGCTGCAGAGAAAGCATTGAAGGCTGCCCAATATTCCGTAGATTCTAACAAAACCAATGTTCATAACCTGGTGCAAAATTCCCTCAAGCTGAAAGATTCGAATCTGACTTCGCTGTCCCGTGATCTTGAGTCTCTCCTGGGTGACTCAACACGCATGCGCTACCCGGACCAAGTTTGCTGTCCTCGTATACCAAGCGACATTTACACTCATGAAAAGGCCTGTGAGGCAGTGCGATTAGCCACCAAGATACTTGATAATGTGAAGAGCAAAGTCCAATAAGGTGCGAGCATTCATGTGCCAGAGTTTATTTCTTTTAAGTCTTTTCCGCTGTTATAGCGCGCGCAAAAAAAAATTAAATACATCCATGTATACATTACAGTGAACAGATTGAACCCAAAAGTTATATTTGATCATGTAGTCAGATCGTCCGGGTGAGAGTAGTCCTGAGAAAGACTGTTGTCGGTAGCAGTGACTGACGTTTCAACAACCTAAGCGGAAGTCATCATTACTGAAGTGAAGAGTTGTTGTGTATGGAAGGGGGGGGGTTAGGTGAGGGTTATAAAGCGGGCTAGTCTGTTTTGCTGTGATGTTGAAAGCATTGGTACCATTGGTCAGTCGATCTGTCGGTGATGTTGGGTCGTTATAATATTGCCGATGATCAGAAGTTAGACAATACGATAATGAGTATAAATTAATGCTCGATAAGTAACAAATTTTAACGGATCTCTAGTCGTTAAAAAATATACCAAAATCTCATAAATCGGTGCACACCTTTGTTTTGTCATTTAAGCTCTTTTTTAACTCCTTGTATTTTGTATTTCATTGCAGAAGGAGCTACTCTTTCATCCTGATGTGGCACCAATTACAAAGATGTTTTGCATGAAGAGATTTCTGAATGTGCTTAGATGCTTTGGCTTAGATTAGAACGATAGCTCTTAGTCATGCTTGTATTGCAATAGTTGCTATGTTCCATCGATGTCCTACAAAACTAGGCTGACAGGTTATATAGCTGAGCTTAAATAAGTGAGGAAACGAATTGAAAATACATGTGATAATTGGTATATTTCATCGTAATTTCAGCGTAGAAGTTTCAGTATCAGTTTTCTCTGTCTAATATCAAAATCCGATTAATTTTTGGTTTTTTTAGTTGTTTGGGAAGGATGGAATTTACGGTGTTTTTAGAATATCATTGGTAACAAGCTAGTCTTTCCAGATCAGATCAGATTTTTCCTTCAGTGTGTTTTTAGTTAAATGTTTACGTTATCCGGCTTCACATTAGTGTTAACTCAATGGCTCCTTAATTTGTGTTCAAATATAAACCAGTCTATTCTTTGATTGGAATGAGCTTTCTAACATTTAAGCAATAATTCAGTTGAGAATCCAGTAATTTTTTTTCTAATTTTTTCATGGATCCAGGTTCGTCTATGCACAGCTTTATGTATGATCAGCGATGTTACAGTAGAATTAATAACATTTTATAGCTTGAACAGTACACTTATTCCTTGCAAATATAACTCTTTAAAGGAGACAGGTGAAAACTGTGAGACTTATAATAAAGAGTTATGAATGGCATGTTTGGACATTTTGATCTGGTTTTATTCAAGGGTGGCCTACGTGTAGCCGTACCCTTCCCTCCAAGGGAAAATCTCAACGTCGATAGCTGTTGTCCTTAGAGTAGGCCATGAAGACACTCCGTCCGCCATCTTGTTTGTTGGTAGGACAGAAAACATTAAGTCTAGCCAGTTAATCAGAATTCACGAAAGTATCGAACCAAACGTGAACCGACACAAAGTCATTACATATTTTTCTTGCAAAGGAGTGACGTCACGGAACACGACTATTTTCAGGTTTTCATAGACGTTCCCTCGCCTCCGTTTCCCCTTGAAGGGGAGGAGAGTATGGCTACACCTAGGCTATTCAAAGGTGGACTTTTCACGTGTGTGCGCGTGCACTAGTTTGTTTTTTGATTTATTTTGTTTGTTTTGTAGATGTGCGAATTCCATTCCTTTATTCAAATAGGTCACAGATCGGAGCTGATTCAAAATACACGTTCTAGCCGCAGTAGATGGAGGATTATTTGTGTTCCAACCTGAAAGAGGAAAACAAAATAGTAAACGTAGACTTTCTTCGCCTTTGCGTCAGCCACACCGGCTTGAACGGCCCCTGCAAGAACTAGCGAACTAAAGTGATCAGGAAATTGTTTTAATACCGCAAAATTATTTTTTTTTCTTCCGAACAAAGTGGTCCTTTAGTTCAATGAATGTAGTGATATCAAAGGTTCGATTGAAAACGAAGCCTTCTATTAACAGGGTTGAATTTTTGTGGGTGAAGTCAAACGGGGAAAAGACGCGCGTTTTCATATGTCCAACCAAAACCGAGCAAGGTGACCCCCCTTCCCCCTTCGATTTCACATCCGACTTCCTCGTAAGATTTTGTACATCTCCATGCATGTTACAACGTATTTAATCAGAAATCTATCAAAGTATAATTTAAGCCTTAGTGTAGGAACAAAAGGCCGTTGGGAACCAATTGGATTCGATTTGTCATTTGCAAATCAATCATAGTAATGGTGATGATTATAGTGGTAATAACAATAGTGAAAATGAAAATAATATTGAAGATTTCCAATTAACAGAGATGTACTTATTTGAAAGGAAAGGAGAAACCGAATAACTAGACGAATAAGGACCAAAAAAAAAAAGAAAGAATTCCTCTGCATTTATGCTGACGAAGGCAACAGATCACGGCACTATATTACGATATTCTGGCCGATCTTTCTTATTTTGCTATTGCTAAGATTACGGGACTTAGCCGCTTTGATTTATGCTGCCTGTTATACACCTCTCTATCTCGCTCAAGTTGACTCTAAGGGGTCCTCGCCTAAAAAGCAACTTGTCTTTTGCAATAACAAAATGCTCACCTTTCCCAGCTAAGAACACACTTGTAAAGTGGAGTAAAAAGTTTTTTTCCTTTTTTTTATATTTACAAATATTCTGTTGTTGTGATATAGCTGGCAAGTGCACTCTGGGACATATAGAGTAAGTCAACCATCAAAGACAAAAAATACGCTTTAACTTATACCTTTGAATTCAGTTCTTTTATTAAATAGATGAATCGAAAGTGTACTCAGTCAAATTCGTGTCACGTATCATGCTAATGATTACAAAGGTGGCAATGATACCGTGTGATATCAGGTCATTGAATTCCTATCGTGGGATATCAGCACACAGAAAACAAGACCTGATTGGCTTTATACAAATTTGGGTTCACTAAGCACGCTATACTTATATACTCAAACCTTCGATTAACGATATATCATGCAAACACACGTGCAATGGCACGTGCAATCGTCCATTGTGATGCCTTTTTTTTCGGCTGATGTCAAACATATTCCTTTTTGACTTTGTACCATAAGCGGCTTTTAGGTAGAATGGACTATTTGCATATCACATGATTTGAAAAAATTTTATTGAAAAATTCAAGTTTTCGCACTTTTGCGCATACTTCTTTAGCCAGCTTGCTATATATGGCGCAATTTAGAAATATCAAAGAAGAGTGAGTTTCTCGTCATTTTCGATTGTTGATGAATTGCGAACATCCGCTTTCTCTTCTTTAATATGGAGATGAAGTTGTAGGTTATTTCAGCATTGCTTTACACTTTTTTTACCTTGAAGCATGCTTAAGAAACGACTGGGGAGGCATTACCAGCCCTGAAAAAGATTCTGTCAAGATCAGCTTGGGTATGTTCACTAAGCACGCTATCCTTGTAAACTCAAATCTTCGATTAACGATATATCATGAAAGTACAAGTGAAATGTACGTGGCTCATTGATATCATTATCTATATTTTGCCTTTCATAAATGCAACATTTAGACAGCACAAGTAATAAGGATTGACGACTCAACTCGGCAACTTCAGAAAAACTAGGGCATCATAACGGTGAGTGATTATATCATAGAAAGAAGCAAACGAAGGGTGCGTTCCTTCGGGAGAATTTGGATCAGGATTTCTGATCTGTGGCGTTCCTTTCGAGCAAATCCATTTTTAGATCAGTGATCAATCAAATCCACTTTCGACAAGGATTTATCGGATCACTGATCTGCGCAATCTAGAGACGGGTCATTGATCCAACGCTTTCCTTTGGGCGAAGGGTCCGAAATTAATCGTTTTTCCCAGCGGTGCTCAGTTTAAAAAAAGTAGGTTCTTCAAATATTGACCGGAAAGATTGTTGGCTATCACTCCACAAATTCTGCGATAAACACGAAATAAACTCGGTTTTGTAATGTTAAATTGATCATCCACTGATCGCAGGTATTCAGGGTTGCCAAGTATCCAGATCGTAGTCAATACTTGCTTCTGTAAGTCAATTGTAGGTCTTCCCCCATTCCTTTGTCCATGAGGCAGACCAGAGCAAGTAGCTAACAGGCGTTCCAAGCTGCTGACTGTAGTTCTTGACATCCGAAAATGACTTCAAAATTCTGAAACATTGTAGAGTGGTTTAATACGTTCGAAATAATCATCCTTGTGGACATGGCTCTGCCTCTCCCCTATCTATAGAAACAAAAGAAATTCGTCATCTTCACAACTTCTCGCTTCTTGTAGTATTGAATCATCGGAAAGTTCCTCTATTAACTAAACAACAGCTGCTCTATACAAGACGGCCATATTGTTTTCCTTTTTGAATTTAGCGCGCGATTCTGCTGATGGTTCATTTCTAGTACACTCTTACCAATTTGATCGATAGACACCGACTGGAAAATAAAATGTGGACCATCATTGCAGGTGTAATTTTCTACAAAAGTATAAAGCTTGGGAAATATTAAAATGTCTTCTCTTTTCGCGAGTGGCATGATCGGTTGTTGCTTTGTTGTTTGTTTTAATTTGTGTTCTGTAAGACTACTTTTTTTTAACTTTGTGCCATAAGCGGCTTTTGGGTAGAATGGACTTTTTGAATGTCACATGATTTGACAAAATGTTATTGAAAAATTCAAGTTTTCGCACTTTTGCGCTTAATCTTTTAGCAGCCTGCCACATACCGCGCAATTTGGGAATAACAAAGAAGAGTGAGTTTCTCGTCGTTTACGTTTGTTACTGAATCGCAAACATCTTCTTTCTTTTTCGTCGATACGCTCTAGAGTAACGGAGAGAAGTAAAAAGCAAAACGACGATTCTGAATTCGGCCTAGGAGAACTAGTGTCAGGTGGGACAACTTTTTTGACCGTTTCATGCTTGCAGAAGAATGGAAGGAAAATTTCAGAATGGGCCAAGACAATTTTTACAAGTTATGTGGTGAATTAACACGGTTCATCGAAAGGAAAATAACGAACATGCGACTTCCGGTCTTTAGGTCAAACCAAAAACACTTTTTTGGTTTGACCTAAACGGTTGGATAGGTTTCGTGTAAACACCTCGAAACCGTGTTGTTTTCGATGCGGTTTCGAGGTCATGAAACCGTTTGGATTGGAAGCTGCGTCCGTGTAAATGATGCCTTAGTACATTCGATTGTAAACTATGATTCTCTTGACTCTGATGATGACTTCTGCTTAAGTTATCAAAACATCAGTCACGTCTAATGACAAAACAGCAGTTAAGATGGAGATAGGTACACTTTATACAGCGGCTGCACATGGTGAAATTCGAGCATTCTTATGCAGCTGAATCCGTGAGGCAAACATTTTCGTATGTTTTCCTCGATGCTTGAAAATATTTTAAAGTACTTAATCATTGAAAAATAAATATAAGAGTAAGAAATTGAATATCCAATAAAAAAGGTAGTTGTTTAAGGCAGTTTTTATAACCTCATTCCCTTTTGAACAACAGTCATTACTTTGTTGTTTATGCGATTCCCAGAAACTCTAAATATCAACCTTCAGACAGAGCTTGTCAATTTCTGGGAATTCGTTTCCTTAATACTCCCCAATTCCGAGAAACAGAACACTGTTTTAATTGTCTTACGTCGGTGTTTTGGAAAGATAGTATGCATCTGATATAAATTCGCGAGGCTCTTCATATATCCAAAAGATTTAATAATTTTGCCTACATTAAATAAAAAGAAACGCCCAACGATCGTGTTAAAATTGTGATATTATATCGTGTTATCATATATCATTTTCGATCACGTGACGTCTGCTGAGCCTGAGGAGGAATAAATAAGCTTCGCAATGCTATAAAAAGCCTCATCTGAACACAATTTAGTACGAGGAAGCAGATGACTACTTGAAGGTAAGTTTACTTCGGAGTATGGCTTAGTATTGAGGTTTTTACTCATAAACACACAGCAGCTCGGACTTACATGCTTAAAATACCAGGCCGCAAGCAGATTAGTAGAACTGAAGAACAGCTTGTCAATGGCGTATATAATGTACGAACTCAAATGGCTGTTTCGATTCGAGTACATGTTTCATCTATAAGTTAATACCAGAGCAAGGAAATAAAGTAAGCAGAATCCTTAATTTTTTTAGGCCTTCGCCCATATATATCATGTACGGCGTTACAAATATGTTGTTTCTAACTTACTCAATGTGTTTAGTGACATAGCTGAGCGAAGAAATGATTTCCACGAAAACCGGCATAAATTTAAACTACCAATTCAATACTACGTCTGACTTGTTTTCAACCATAGTGAACAAAACTGGTCTTTTTTGTACTTGTTTATTTACGAACTCAAATGGCCCGCGATCGGTTTCGATCCAAGTAGATGTTTCATCTACAAGTTATTATCAGAGCAAGAAAATAAAGCACGCGGAATCCTTAATTTTTTCAGGCCTTAACCGGCGTTACATATATACGATGAACGGCGTTACAAATATGTTATTTCTTACTTATTCAACGTGTTTAATGAGACAACAGAGCGAAGAAATGACTTCCACGATTACACGGAATAAATTTAAACTACCAATTCAATTTTACGCCTGACTCTTTATCAACTTCAGGTTTGTTTTCATGTCATAAAAGACGAGTTATATACTCATCATATCGTATGTTTAAAGTCGAATTGAAGGCCGATCCATGGTGAACAAAACTGGCCTTTACGGCACTTATTTACTTCTCCGAGAATGTTATAAAACATCACTCATTACTAAACACGAAACCGGCTCTAGGGCTTCACTTTAAAATTAACACTTCACCGTCACATTATATTATAGAGTTGTGAAGATCTTGCCTGAAAGATCATTCAGTTCGTCGGGAAGGTAACTATTAATACATTTACGCCTAATTTTGAATTTTGCACGAATTTAATTACAAATAATTCGTTGCTGTGTATATTTCTTAGATGGAATTGATTGTGACTTATTTCAATTTAATTGAATTACGGTCTGCTCTTAGGATTTATTTTTATGGATCAAATGGATTGACCCCTTTTATTATGGAATACAAAATCCATATTGGGTGCCTTTTCATAGATGTAATCATGATGAAATTAGTGTTGAAACGTTGGGTCTGTTTTCTATACCTTTTTTTTAAATAAATGAACCCCTTTGTTATAATTTCTTTAGTTTTCTCTCCTTGTGCCTGGAAGGGTAATTATATGCATAAACAGTAGGCAGGATAGTCTATCAATCATCAAATTCAGAAATATTCATGTGAAATTCATGTGTAATTACTGTACTTGTGGTTTGTAGACTACTTCCAAATCAAGAGGATTGACTTAATTCAGTTCAGTGGTTCTGACCTCATTTGTACTAAAAAATTGACTTCATATAAGTCACAATTTTCATTATTTCATACTGGCTCTTTACAAATTTGCACATGGACTCAATCAGGGACAAGGAAAAGTGATGTGCAGTACCATTACACAGCATACCATCCCTAAATCCTTCCCATTCTGCAGCAGAACAAATGAAATTAACGAATAAAAAATGAAAACTGCATCTCTGTAAATTTAATAAACAGTTATAAAGACAGGACAAAACTTTAAGATATCCAAGTTACAATGGCCAGCACACCATCAAATACTAAAAGTTATAATTAAGTAATAAGCTGGTAATGTTGAACTGTAGCCTGGACTTTTCCTTATTGTGATAAAGCTATTTTTTAACATTCAATTTAGATTTTTGTGTTAATCTGTTTCTCTGGCTAAAAATACAATGATATATAATTATTTTTCCTATGTATGAGAACTCACAGAATTTTGCATTTGTTCATCAAAAATTAAACATCTGACATACACAGGGGTTTTTTCAAACACTGGTTATTATTTTTTTGTTAGGTTGGGTTTTTTTTTTGTTCGAAATATACATTCGAATAACTAAGATTGAATATTAGAAATCAATGCTGATGGACATTATAATATTACTTAAAAGCTTCATTTAGTTTCTTGTTCTCTTGGTAATCCAAATTAGCTACAGGAACCAGGATATGCTCTCATAGAAATGGGCCACTAAGCTGTGATCATGCAAGGGTTGCCTGTGAGAGAAAACCCTCTGACCCATCCCTTCCTACACCTTCCTGTTCTTTGCCACTAAGATTCAATCCTCACAGTTGTATTGATTATGGCAGGAGAGTGTGGATTCTCTCCCTCCCCTTCAAACTGCAAAAAATACATAAGTGTGATGGATATATCTAGGAACTTGTCCTGGGCAACCCAACCACACTTTACAGTCCTGGATACATAATGACCTTAATTATCTTTCACATTTCTCTATCAGAGCTGAACCACTTTCATGACCTCAGCAGAGTTATCACACCCTAAGAGTAAGTATTCTTAGACAGACTGCAGTCATCAATATATTCTCAGGAGTGCCCAGTCAACTTTTCATGGTCATTCAGAAATGGATGGATATATCTTGCTTGAGTCTCCATGCTTTGTTTTCGATAGAATTTGCACTTATACTTGACAACAACTTTTTATTACCTTGCTGAGCGCAAAACAGTATATAGTAGTGTCTTCGTGAACTGGAGTATATGTCCTCAGAACCCCAGAATTTGGCTACTTAAATGATTTGAAGCACTTTGGCAATGTTCAATCAGAATAAATTACATTTCCTAATCCAAAACGTTTGTAAGATGGGTATCCCTTCTTCTGTTAGAACCTGTTTGAAGATATTTTCTGTTTTGTTTTCTTTTGATTCTGTTTTCTTCGTTTTTTCTGCAAAGATATGGTTTTCGTTGTTTCGTCTGTTCGTTTATTTCTTGAGAAGCACTTTGTTTGATAATTATATTTCTCAACAGTGGATGTAGATGATGATTATAACAGCGAGAGCGATGATGATGATGATGACTTTAACCTGATCCAGCCATCACTGTTCCAACAAATAAAGACCATCCTCGATCAGTATCCGGATGATGGACAGATATTGAAGGTAATTAATGAAAAGGATTATAATTGTTTGGGTTTTGACTGACAGCTAATGAGTTTTTAATATAATCAAACTTCAACAACTACCACTGATCTACTATTTTGGGTTATCCTTACCTTAAAGAGGTTGCTAAACAAATAATTGTTTTCAGAACAGCACCAAACCTAAAATTTTAATGAGGCTTGAGATACAACAACTGTGCTGATGACCACAGTTTCGTTTCATAAATGCAGTCACGTTCAGATTCAATAATCTCTTTCGTTCTGATTGCCTTTTTAATTTTTTTCAATTAATTATTCGATCGGTTTTTTTTCTACTACTTTTTCTTAAAATAGGAAATGTTGTTGATAATTGCGGGTATGATGTTTTCTTCATTTCAGGAGCTCATTCAAAATGCTGAGGATGCACGTGCGAGCCACGTGAAGTTTCTTTACGACAAACACAGCTACAGCGCTCGAGAAGAGAAGCTTTATAGCGGAGGGCTTCGTCAGTTTCAGGTATGTTGACGAATAAATTTCTCTTTCAAAAGGTATTGATCAAGAGTGCTTTTCACTTAAGTGTGACAGCACAAATCCTTCGGAATAAAAACTTTTTCATGAGAGCAAGGATTAAACTCAAGCGGAGTCATGGAACTATGGCATCGTTCTTTAAATATACTAGAACAGCTGCAACTGCAGAAAAACTATCGTTAGTGCACAAGACGCAAGAACAACATGCAACTGGCTTTGTATCCAATTCTTTGAAAGATTGGCGCGAACTTTGAACATCAGATGCACAGTCATGTGACATAACACTTACTTTAAGTTGAAAATTCCTCTGGTAAACATGGTAGCGAAGTAATGTGATAATTTGACGACGCGATGGTCGTCTATAAGTTTGATTACGAGTAAGAATTTTTTGAGTAAAGTAACCACTTAGACCTTCATATTATTCGGTCTTAGTCAAACCAGTAAAGGGAGTGTTCGGAGAGATACATCTTCTGCGTGGTCTGAATTTCATTTGATCACTATTCCGTATGTCCTCGAAGATACTTCCAGTCAATGGAATGACCCTTAAGAGAGTGGACGTGCGGTATAAAGCTGTGTTCTGCCCTTTTTTATGAATTGTCATAGACGCTACGAGAAAGCATTGTTGTTTGGATTAGGCCACCGCTATCCTGCCTTTCTTAATAGGGCTAACTGTGATAAGAAATTTATGACTGATAATATTTTTTGGATAAAAAAACCGAAAAATGAACTTGCCTTCTCGTTAGCCGTTTGGTCGATGAGATCAATTTGTAACATCTGTTCTTGCTGTTAATCAATGCTGTGTTAACAAGATCTATTTATTAATCTAAAGGGGCCTGCACTTTATGCATACAATGATGCAAAATTCACTAAAGACGACTGGAGAGGCATACGAATGCTTTGTGACAGCGTCAAAGTCAAGGACCCAATGAAAGTAGGACGGTTTGGCCTCGGTTTCAAGTCTGTTTTTCACCTGACAGGTAAGGGGGCCACTGGCACTCGTCGAATATGAATAACAGCCTGGTCCTCTGTTTTGAAAAGAATCAGTTACAGATAAACCTAACGGAATTCACATGCGATGTATATTATTTATTGAATTTGACGATTTCCAAATAGTCATCTACTTTTATTTAAACTCATCCTCGTCAGATTGTTTAAAACGATAGTATGCTTGTAAAATGATTTTCCGCTCTGTTACAATTTAATTGGCTTAGACATGCTGGCGAATAAAACTTAGAATAATAGTTGAATAAAGCATAACTTGTCTCACTTCTGTATACAACTGGACATAGGAATCTGAAGTATCAGAATAATAGTTTGATACAGTAGGAAAACAACTGGGAAACTCTTCCCTTTATTACAGATTTACCGAGTATTCTGAGCGGCACAAAAGTTGGTTTCATCGATCCCCACGAGGACCACTTCAATAAAGGACGAAGAGAAAGGAGAACAGGATACCGTTGGCACCTGCGCAAAGACCGTGAAAATATGAACAGAATACCTGATCAATTTCTTCCCTACAAAGGAATATTTGATTGCACCGAGGACGTCTTTCTTGAGGGACGTTACAGAGGAACGTTGTTCCGCTTTCCGTTGCGTACTGACCCATCTGAGCTGTCCCAAACATTGTACTCTGACGAAAAGGTGGAACATCTGTTTGCGAGTTTTTGCGCCGATGCACACTTTGTGCTCCTGTTTCTTCAGCATTTAGAATCTGTAGAGCTTTTCGTCCGAGAGAAGTCAGAATCCGAGCCACGAAGAATATTCCAAGTTCAAATCAGTCATGAAAGTCTTACATTTGTTCGTGAGAAGAGACAAGAGTTTTACGACGCGATCACACCAGGCAAGCGTATGGCAGAACCTGTGACAGTGACGTATCCAATTACAATGGTAGTCCAATTTTCAAATGAAAACGTAGAACGTCATTCTTATCTCGTGACAAGTTACTGCAGCGGAGGTGAGGTCTCGTCCACGTTTGAAAAGCTTCTGACAGACAAAGAGCTAAGTTATCTACCTTCAGTTGGCGTTGCAATGGCAATTCCATCAGAGTCCACTTCAGAAACGCCCAACATTCGAGGTCACGTGTTTTGCGCCCTCCCTTTACCTGTGCAGAAAAAGAGCTTAACTGGTCTTCCGGTGCATGTGAATGGCTTTTTCTCATTAAGTCAGAACAGACGACACATAAAGACACCGAATGCAGACCAAGAAGATCAAGAGAAACTAACTGACAAGTCTCTGTTATGGAACACCTGCCTTCTGGAAGAAGCTCTACCTCAAGCGTACTCCACATTGATAAAGGAGGCCATTGATCATACAAACTATAATGTTCCACCAGATGCAATTTACAGGTAAACCTTGCACATTAGCATCATTAATGTTCTGTTAAGCAAAGAATCAGTAAACAGTTATTAGATTTTTTTTTTAGAGAGGTCATTAGGAAATGTTCAATGGGGCCGCTGAAATTGCAAAGAAAACTATCACTTCCCAAAGGAACTAAAAGTACAATTCCACCGGAAAATCCAAAGTTCAACGGCTAGCAGCTGTTTGGAAGATGGGCTAAAATTAGTCCTGTCAGAAACTCCTAATGAGTTTTTGGTTGCGCTGATGGCTCCCAACATATTCAAATTTCTCCCTAAATCTTCAATCATGCAAACCATTCGAAGACAGAACATTTTAGTTTCTTGATATATCTGACTAGGTACGGACGTTCCATGACTAGGTTCGGAGTTTGATCTTTTGATCATGGCTTAAATGGATAATGCGGTTTTGAAACATCTATTAGGGAAAGCTAGTAACTATTTTAAGCTTCCCACACACTGCAATAACTGTGCGCCTATGGATAAAAAAACACCAAAGTACTGCTTTTACAGGGTTGAAATTTCATGCTGTAAGACTGACATTCCTACTCTATTTTCACACAGAGCTTGGCCAGATTGCGGGAAAGTGGAACCAACTTGGGAGAGGCTCCAGAATCCCTTACTCCAATCATTGATTACTGAAAGAGTAATATACACTCCTGCCCGTGGGGGGCACTGGCTGAAAGTTGACGAGGCCATATTTGACCGAATTGAAGAGGAGAAGATGAAAGAGTTGATCGTGCGGGTTCTGCTTCAAGCAGATCAAAACATTGCCTCTTTGCCTGACCACGTATTAAGCGCCATAGACCAGTATGCAGCTTTCTCTTCAGAAGTCACACCCTCCTCAATGCGAAGAATCTTAAAGGAAATACCTACTAGCTACAAAAGTATCTGTCACAAGGAAAAGTTGTCCCTTTTAAGCTTTGTTCTCGAAGATGATAACTTTCAAGAGTTGGTTGGCCTTGAACTTTTGCCTGTTTCTGACGGGACGTTCAAATCTTTTACAAGCTCCGAAGTAGCCGTTTTCATTACCTCGCCTGACCATTCTCAAGAGCTGGTGCCTGGGCTTAAGGACAAATTTCTTGACCAAAACGTTGATGAAAGGACTTTAGGAAAACTTAAAGCAGTAGCTGAAAAAGGTATAATACTCCTTGTTATGGGTTCATCAAACTTGGTACATTAGTTTAAGCCAAAGTAGTTTGCTGAAGATTTAGACAAAAACCTGTTTCGTGTAGCACAGAATTCCCTTTGAGGTCTTCATTTTAATCATAGAATCAGAGAGAACTAGAGATTTTTATAGGTTTTACATTAGCTGTAATCGCACTAAGCCCTGAATTTTCTTTTAATACAGACGTAAAAACACGGAAACTCAAACTGACTCACATACACACACACACACACACACACACACACACACACACACACACACACACACACACACACACACACACACACACACACACACACACACGCGCGCGCGCGCGCAGTCAGAACCAAGTAGATGTGATGGCAACTAAAAAGAGAGGAATTTTCGGAGCTACAATCGCTTTCTTCTTAAAAATGACAAGTTGCCTTAGTTAGGAGCTCTAAACTTCGATATGTTATTTTCTTACAGGATGCACTCAGTTAAAACTTCTTTGCAAAGTTGATGTACCTGTTCTGCTGAGGGAGGCCTTATCCCAAGAACTGCTATCCAGTGACAAGGTTCGATGGTACCCCGACAGTCAAAAGTATCGCCATACCTCCAGAGATTGGCTCAGCAGTGTATGGCGCTACCTAAGAGAAAATTTTTCCACCAAAGATGAACTAGCCAGCCTTGACGAATACAACCTTCCTTTGATTCCTGTAGATCTTTACCAAGTACCGTTAACCTTAGTATCACTGAAGAAAAATTCTAAAGTTGTTGCGGAAAGGCTCAATGATGACCAACTTGATGGCGCCGTGGTGAAAGTTTTGATAGAGTTGGGTGTGGTGGTAATGAGCGCGTGCCCTACAAAATTCCATCCGGAGTTAACGGGGACATTTGTTCACCCACCTTCAATCTCAGGGGTCCTACAAGCTATGTTAGTTTCCTCCTTAACTTTGAGCCAAGGAATGTTCTCTGCAATTATGCTTGAAAGGGTAGACGATGCCTCCAAACGCTCATTTAGGAAATTTATTTCGAAAATTTCATCTCTTCGGAAGGAAGAAAAGGATCTTGTCTCTGATCTCCCACTTTTTGAGACTCTCTCTGGGAACTTTGTGGCTAAGAAAGATCACCTTTATGCAGCGCCAGAGGAGATGCCTCCAATTTCTCCCAGAGGAGAGCTCATTAACATCAAAGATGAAGAATCCAAGAAACTAGCACAACTGCTAGATATCAGAATTTTAACGGTAACTGAGTTGCTCTGTGAACAAATTCTTCCTAACATCAGCCAAGGGCATTACTCGGGAAAGGATATTGACCGCTTAATGTTCTATGTTATGGAGCAATATAAATTTCTCGTTAGAAGGGATAACAATTTAGAAGCAATGATGAGAGAGTTACCCTTTGTGCCAAACATCACTGGACGAGTGAAAGCCTCGCAACTGTTTGATCCCCAAAACGAGCTGATGAAGGCCCTTTTTACTGATGAAGACGTATTTCCCGTAGGAAACTTATATACTGACACATCAGTCCTTCCAATTCTAAAGGAACTTGGCTTGAAAAGCGAGGAAATGACAACTGCTCAAGATCTCCACCAGAGTGCTGTAAAGATCCAAAATCAGCCAAGCGTTTTAACAGCAAAGAAGAAGTCTCATGCACTTATGGAACACTTGAGCAAAAATCCAATGAAACTCGAAGATACTCTCTCGGGTAAAACGTTGGGTTCGCTGCTTAAAGGTATTTCGTGGGTGACTGCACTGGAAGAAAAGCCCAGAGATTTTCCAAAATGCGTTCCCTTTTGGGGGGAAGCTAATAAAGGAATGTTATGCACGCCAGAGAACGTCAAGGGCAAAGAGTATCTCAACCTGATTGGCTCGGTACAACCTATCATGGAAGTAGACCAATCAAGTCAGTTATGCAGTTATTTTGGCTGGAATGAGGAACCACAAGTATCTCAAGTGGTTTATCACTTAGGAACTGTCGTCATTCATTACAAACACGAGGAGAGACCGCGATTCAGTTTGCTTGTGAAAGAAATTTACGAATTTCTGTCTAACAAGAACAGGGGTGATGTCGTGGAGGCAATTCAGGATTTGAAAGACCCTGGTTGGATCTGGAATGGCGACGGATTCTCCCCTCCTAATGCTCTCCTCTTGAACGACCATTCCATCGACCTTTCGCCTTACATCTCTGTTCTTCCTTCAGAGATGTCCATGTACTTCGACTTATTTGACTCTTTCGGCATTAACAAAGACTGCAGTGAGCAGTTGATGCTTGATGTTCTTTCCATGATTAAACAAAAGTACGATCAAGGTCTCTATGAGACATCAGATGTGAAAAAAGATCTGTCTTTGTGCATTTCCATCCTGAATGAACTGAAGCCAGATGCTAATCGACAATTATCGCCTGAAGTTCAAGAGAAAGTTCTTCTTCCAACTTACGTAAAAGGAGATACACGTGTTAACCTTGCACCAGTAAAAAATTGCATGTATGGAGAATATGACGGATCAGAAGGAGAAAATGAGGACGAAGAGGTTGAATTTCTGCTTGTGCATCCAAACATCTCTGCAGGAACAGCAGAGCTTTTTAACGTACGAAGCCTCAGTAACTGCCTGCTAGAACCAGAAGAGCTGACGTTGGGAGAAGATTTTGGACAAGAGGAGAAGCTCACTCGAAGGCTAAACAGACTACTGGAGGAATACACCGATGGATTTGCAGTACCCAAAGAGCTTATTCAGAATGCAGATGATGCTGGCGCCACGGAAGTACGCTTTTTGTATGACGAGCGAACTAATGAGGATGCGATAGACGGCCTCATTGACGAAGGAATGAGACACTGTCAGGGTCCTGCATTGTGGGTTTATAATGATGCCGAATTCAAGGATGAGGATTTTGAGAACATTACAAAATTGAATGGTGCAACGAAAGAGAATGATACCGACAAGATTGGAAAATTCGGGCTTGGTTTCAATGCAGTTTACAACCTGACAGATGTCCCCATGTTTGTAAGCCGAAATCATTTTGTTATTCTCGATCCCAACACGTTATACCTAGGGAAACAAATTAGGAACAAAACGAAACCAGGAATAAAGCTTGATACCACCAAAAATTCCAAAAGACTGCGAAAGTTTCGAAATCAGTTCAGGCCATTCAATGGTATCTTTGGTTGTGATCTTCATCTAAACCAAGACGACAACTCGTACAAAGGGACACTATTTCGCTTTCCCTTACGAACTGAGCAGCAGGCTATACAAAGTGAAATAAAGAAACTTGTTTACAACCGGAAGCAAGTTCAGGAACTGTTGAAACGTGTCACTCAAGGAGCTGAATCATTGCTTCTGTTTACTCAGAATGTTCGTCATATCAGCATCTACCATTTACCTAATGATGTAACTGAGCAATTACAGCCCAGGAAAATATTTGAGGTCACCAAATCATTATCCCAGGATGGAGTAAGACGGGAACTGCCTGATAAAATTACTCTTCCAACCACTGCCATGAAGCTGAGCACAGAAGATCAGTTCTTATTGAAACAGTGTAATTTTCTGCGAGCGTCATCTGAAGTCAGCAAGCTAAACCGTGGATACAGCGAGTCCGCTCCTGCTCTACTTAGCTCTGCTCTGACACTGAAGATCAAAAGCACCGTATCAGAATATGGCAGCAGTTTCTTGGAATGTAGCGTTTCTAGTAATGATGACATTTGGCTTGTCGTCTCATCTATGGGCAAAGGTGCAGCGATGCAATTCGCAGAGAAAGACAGTAGTCTTCTTGCATCAGCGGGGGTTGGTGTTAAGTTCTCAACTAAAGATTCTCTAATTCCAGTACCTGTTTGCGATGAAACCAAAGGATCAAAGGCAAATGGCAGTGTTTTTTGTTATCTTCCACTTCCCATTTGTAGTGGACTACCTGTACACATTAATGGAACGTTTGCAGTTTCCTCAAACAGACGCACTTTGCTGGTGAAAACCGAAGACGATAAGGCTAACTTTGGACAAGAGTGGAATGAAGTGCTGTTAAAAGATTGCGTTTGCTCTGCATATCTTGACCTTCTTGAAGACTTAAAGTCCGTTTCACAGGCTTCAAACAACGCATACCAATATCACACACTGTGGCCAAAATTTGCCGAAGTTATGTCAACTTGTGAGCCCCTTGCACGTTCATTCTATGAATATCTTCTAAATGGAAATAAGGCTGTTTTTTCGGATGGTAAGAGTTGGTTGGCCATCAATGAAACTGTTTTCCTAACGCCAGACCTACGTGAGGATTCTCAAATAGGAGACATATGCTTCGAAGTGTTCAAATTGTTGGTTGAAGGTAATGGAGCTGTGATTGACCTACCTAGAAAGGTGTTTGAGTCATTTCAGAAGTATGGTCTTGAAGAAAAAATCCACTGCCGAAGCTACGATAAGAGTAGGTTCTTCTTGGAATTGTTCTTCCCAGAAATTGATTCAGTGCCCCCTGATCTGAGGGACAACTTGGTCTTGTATGCCCTTGATCCTCAAAGAGAAGAGTTCAGTAATGCAATGAAAACCTATGCTTGCATTTCGGTATCACCAGATCGTCATAAGCTTAAATGCCCCTCTCAACTAATTGATCCTCGTAGATCTGCAGCGTTGTTATTTTCTCCTGAAGATGAAAGGTTTCCTGAAGAAGCATTCAGGCACCCTCTTCAACTCCATCAACTAGAGCAGCTGGGAATGTTGACAGACGATCTACCGTGGTCTGACGTTGTAGAAAGGGCAGAATCCGTCCTAAGTCTGAGCCAAACTTGTAGCAAGGCCGCATCGGAGAGGATAAAAAGGCTTATAGAATTTCTCGAAAAAAAGTGTAAGAATAATAAAAAATGCCTTCCCTCGACCAAAGAGAAACAACTCCTTTTAGTGACTAAATTTCTCCCAGTTCTTACGAGGCCTCAAACCTTTCCCTTGGCATGGAAAGGTAGTGAAATGATATACGGGGATAAACTAGCGTTGATATCACCAGCTCAAGGCTTTTTAAAGGATAGCTTGTACCTCGCGTGCTCTTCCGCACCAATCATAGACGCTGCTATCCCACCAAACGTGAAACGATTACTGCAGTTCGATAAACGAGAGGTCACAACGGAGCAAGTTATAATCCAGCTAAATGAGGCCATCTCTACCAAATTTGAAGTCTGTGGTATGGAAGATGTGAGAAAAGTTTGTAATGCATGTTACAGCTTTCTTCAAGATGTTCTTCCCAGCGATGCAGATCAAATAGCCAAGTTTCTTGAAGGAAAAAAGTTCATTCTTGTTGGAAACGTGTTTGTGTATGGAAATCGAGTTTCGTCATCGCTACCCGTCGACTGTTCTCCGTACTTGCATAGGATCCCTGAGGAATGGGTCAAGTACTCAAAGCTCATGAAAGAAGGTGGCATGAGAGAACAATTTGAGGTGGAAGATTTCATATCTACACTCAAACAAATTAAGGAGGAATTTGGAATGCGAAAGGTGGATAGTGGCACGCTGATTGTTGTATGCAACCTGGCAGCTCAACTGAAAAGAGCGTTGGATACTACCGGAAATCATTTCACTCCAGAGCAAAGGAGGAGTTCAATTTATCTTCCCAACCAGAAGGAAATAATGCAACCTGTAAGTGAGCTTTGCATTGAAAATTGCCCCTGGATTCCTGGTGGCCCTGGTATGCAGTTTGTTTTTTCAGGTATTCCTTGGCCAACAAGTCTCGCACTGGGGGTCAAAACCCTCAAAGAAGAGGCAGTAGGAAATCATGCGCGAGGACTTGCGTTTGGGCAAAAGGAGAAACTGACGAATCGCCTAAAGAGAATTCTTACAGGCTATCCTTGTGGGAAAGAGCTTTTGAAAGAACTACTCCAGAATGCAGATGATGCACAAGCAACTGAGATATGTTTTATAAAGGACCCCCGTGTTCATCCACAGGAGAAGTTATTTCACAAAAGTTGGGAACCATTGCAAGGACCAGCGTTATGCGTATACAACAACAAGTCGTTTAGTCATTCTGATATCGAAGGCATACAAAACCTCGGAGAGGGTGGTAAGGGAGGTGATCCACACAAAACAGGGCAGTACGGCGTGGGTTTCAACGCTGTCTACCACCTGACTGATATTCCCTCGTTAATGTCTAAAGGTGACGAGATTGGTGAAGTTCTGTGTGTATTTGATCCACATTGTCAGTACGTTCCTGGCGCCACTCCTCAAGAACCAGGGAGAATGTACACAGAAACATCAGAATTGAAGGAAAACTTTCCAGATGTGTTCTGCTGCTATCTTGAAGAGACGTTTCCCATTGAAAATTCAACTATGTTCAGATTCCCTCTACGAACGCAAGAAATGGCTGATAATTCGGAGTTGTCATCCACTCCGGTTACGTTGGAAGCATTGAGTAAAATGATGGAGGCTCTCAAGAAAGAGCTCTTTGAAGTTTTAGTTTTTGTCAACAATGTGACGAAAATCACATTATGTGACATAGATGAAAAAACCGGCAATGTAACTAACTGCTACTCAGTGGAAGCATCCATTTCCGGCAACGATGCTGCCAAGAGACAGCGGTTTGCTAACCACGTCAGACAGGTTGGGAAGTCAATAGCGCAGAGTGATGACTTCTCGTTCGGCCACGTTGGGGTGGAGAAATGCAGCTACCTCCTCCACATAAGTGACAGCCTTGGAAATGAGGAAAGGTGGCTAATTGTTCAGCAAATGGGTTTCGAGAATGAGGTTCAAACAAGCATAGTCAACGCTTTTCGAAATCGTGACCTTGGAATGCTTCCGCGCGGTGGTTGTGCCTGTCCCTTGGAAAAAGAATCTATGAAAGCACAAAAGAGAAAAAAGAGAGCTTTCTGCTTTCTTCCACTTCCACTGGAAACAGATCTACCGGTCCATATTAATGGTCATTTTGCATTGGACCACGAGGCTAGAAGAAACTTGTGGAGAGATGAGAACGGTGGTTATCGTAGTGACTGGAACAACGCCTTGCTGAGCGATGTTATAGCTTCTTGTTACTTGAAACTTCTGGACGAGGTAAGGGGTTTTCTTCACCTTCCAACTTCGCCTACAATTTCAACGTTTTATCCGAGCTGTAGTAAAGAAGAATTGATTCAGAAGGTGAAAAGTTACGAAAATCTGTTTCCCTGCACCTCTTTCAATCCATACTGGGCGATTCTGATAAGATCTGTGTATCAAGGAATGAATACCAAAAAGTCACGCTATCTTCCAGTGGTAAGAGATTCTCCAGATGGCAGCAGTTGGGATTTCGAACTTACTTGGTTTCCTCCTTGTGGCACTGGAAAAGACAAAGCCTACTTTAATGACATCCAAATTAAGGGTTGCTATTCTTCTCTGCCAGATGGAGAAGAGGATGAAACCACAGAGGAAACAAGATCTTTACAAAGAACTATGGAATCAATACTGCTTCAAACAGGCTTTAATCTTTTGCAATTTTCCTTGAAAATTTTAGATGCGTTTGAGAGTTCTAAGGTTGTATGTTACCGTACATCCCCTTCCGCTGTTATTGAGTTCCTCAAGATTTTCTTCACAAATGTAACTTCTTTACCCACGGATGTCGCGAAAACTCCATTCAAGAACAGCGAGGGTGTGACACTGGTGCTACGGTACTGCAAGGACTCATGCGAATTCTTGTCGAATCTTCCAGGTCTACCATTGTTACTTACCCAAGACAACTGCCTCCGTGTATTTAGCACAGATTATCGCACGTACCTTTCCCACTATTATGACATTTTGCCAGAATCAAAGGACATGTTCGTCCATAAGCAACTTCTGTGCGATATTTTTCCTGAAAGGATGATTCAAAAGGCATCCGTTTTCATGGCCTTTAATGTCTACGCTTTTGCACGGCACTTGAAAGGAACACTCTCGCTGCAACATTTGGGGGAAAGTAGAGTAAAAGTGTGGTCACCAGGTCATCCCGTGGAACCAAACCATCGTTGGATTTTAAAAGTGTGGGGCTTTTTGGCTAAATCATGGAAGGATAACCGGTGCGAAGCCAACAGTTTTGTCATGCCTTTGTCTAACTGGAGCATCATCCCTGCCATTGAGCAAGTTGTTTTATCAACAGTTGATAACGCAGGAGGCAGAGATGTGAGGAAACAACACGTCCTTGTTCCAGTAAAGTTGGCAAAATGTGTTCTTGTATTCACAGAAAATGATCAGAAGCAAAGAGCATCTTTAGTAAGGGCTCTTAGAGCGGTAGGCCTTCTTGAGTTAAACTCGTCCGTCCTTTTTCCCGTAAACACACCTACGCCTGTGTTGTCCGATTCTTGTATCTTAGCAACGCAAGTTGTAGGGTCCTTGGAGACTCCAACATCACTTCTTGCAGCTCTTGGTCACAAATTAAGCTCGAACCCTCGTTTTCAAACGGAAACATTGGAACGCAGTGACTGTCTAACAATCCTTCAGTATTTCAATAACAGTGTTCTAAGTAGTCCAATCCTCGACAAGTCCACACTAAGGCAGCTTCCTTTTTATCCGTCAAAATCTGGTGACATGATAAGTCCTGGAGATCAACGAGTTACCGTCCTATCGTCTGAAATACCACAAATAGGGCTGGATACCATTCAGAAAGAGGGCGATATGGAGTTTCTAGAGGACATTTCAGAGCTATCAAAATTATACAATTTTCTGGAATTTGATTGTCCTGGGCCTGTAGACGTCTATCGCGCGTTTGTGTTGCCACATTTCAGTACTCTTAGCAAAGAGGCGAGACAGACTCATCTTGAGTATATCAAAGACAAGTTGCTGCCAAGTCTGTCAGAAAACAATGGGGACAAGCGGAAGCTATTAGAAACACTGAAAACCACAGCAGTGATTACCACGCACATAGGAACGCTGACAGAAGCATCAACCTTCTACGATCCGGAAAATAAGGTTTTCAAAGTCATGCTTGCAGAGAATATGTTTCCACCTGTGCCACTGAACTCAAAAGCCTGGTTGAAATTTTTGAGAAAGATTGGGCTGAGACATCAAGTTCACCCAAATGATTTCATGAAATTTGCAAAGAAAGTTGCACGTGACGCAGCAAAACAGCGCTCGATGGAGACAGATGAACAGTCAAAACTGTTGGTGTCTGAATTGCTAAGTCGCTCCGATTTGCTTGGTAAGGGGCTTCTGGAAGCTGTTTGCAATATTGAGTTTGTGATGCTAGAACCAGTCTGTAGTAAGCTTCAGGCTTTGCACAGGCAACATGGGCAAAGAGAAGACGGAACACTGCCATACATTGCATTTGAGAACACAGTTGTTTCTGACCATACTAAGTGTGTTTGGACATCGGCCCACCCCCTCCCTAAGTGGGCACATCCACAAGATCAATCAGATTTGAAGGTTCCCTCCCGGATGTCTAGAGAAGAATTCTGCGTCAAAATCCTCGAGCACCTCAAAGTCCTATCAGAGCCAGCCTTGGAAACAGTTACATCTCACTGTCGCAATATTTCCTATCGACTTGTGGAAGAAAATGGCAGCAACGTCCCAGATGAGCAGTGCAACACGAGGAAGTCTGTCATGAAAAAAATTTACAAATTTTTTCAAGAAAGGGTCATCTTGAGAAAGGATGGAAAAGTAGACCTGCAGGATGTCCCTTGCATTGTTGTAGAAGGGGGAGCACGCTTTGTGAGAGCTGAGCAGGTAGTCCTGGAAATGTCTGAGAACCTTGAAATAAAACCACTTCTTTATCGAATACCGCCTGATCTTGGAGAGTTTCATGAATTGTTTCTTCATCTTGGTTGCTCCAAATCTGCTACAATGTCACACTACGCCATGGTTTTGGAAATGTTGCAAAAGCAGAGTCAGGGCAATAAACTGCACCCCAACGAAATCAGTAGTGCGCTGGGTGCTGTACGAGGACTACTGGAAGGCCTGCAACAGGATACCACTACAGAGATACGTTTTCAACAACTCTTCTTACCAGCGATGAATCTCAATAGTAGCCCAACAGATTCACCTCCAGTTTCTCTGCAAAAGTCTTCTGAGCTGGTATTTGATGATTCTCCTCATTTTCTTCCTCGGTTAAAGAAATTCAATCAGCTATTTGTCGTTGACCTAAAGAGGGTAGGTTTAAAGAGTAGTTCATTCATAAACTACAAAGATCTTCTCACGCGCCTTCCACCTTCCGTTCGACCCCAGATACTGTCACAAGTGGTTACAGAGGAATTTGCTGACTCTTCAGAAGGCAGTGAATTTACAGTTAAGCTTCGCATTGCAGCTTCATTGGAAAGACAACTCAGCTCGGAGGAATTCTTTCGTGGAATTGTGAGGCTTATTCGACATAAGAACAAAGAAAATGAAAATCTTAATGAAAATGTTTTCACTTCCATAAACAACAGACTGAGAAGCATCGAATTCCTTGGGCTAAACAGAATTGTAACAAAACTGGTGTATCAAGGTGATCAAATTCCTGATAGCGAAGGTGAAGTTTCGTACTTCGTAAACAAGGTTTCAGCACCAGCCGGCAAAAGCATTTGGAAGGTCTATGTTAGACCTGATGTAGATGAAAACCTCTCCAAATTATATTTGGCCGTAACTCAAGTGATTGCAGAAGTATGTGAAGGATTGCTGGGAGAGGCAGTGATGTTCATTCAAGAGATGTTACGCATCGATCCCAGTCAGATCTGGTGCATGTTGGATGAGATGAACATTACGCAAGACGATTCATACAGAGGGTCAAGCAGCAATCCCCTACCACTTCCCGGAAGTTTTATCCCTGTAGAAGACCACCATCTCTTGAACGAAGATTTTGAGAATATCGCACCAGGGGAGTATGTTGGTTATGAAATGGAGGATCCAAGCATGCAACAGAGAGAGGGAGATGCAACATTTATTTACGCCGTGATATTAGAAGAAGTAAATGCTCAAGAAAACAGAAGCCTTCTTTCAAAGTATTACATGGTCAACGTAGGCAACGACAAAGAGCCCCAAGAAGTCGAGTTTGCAGACTTGTATAAGTTTCACCGACTCCAATCTTCTCCATTAGGCCTGTCAGACGGGCTTGAGAAAGGTAACACTAAAGACAAAGCGATGGTTTTGAAGCAGATTGCAGAGGTCCTGGTGGAAGCATGGCAACTACCTGAAAAAAGGCGCAGGAAAATTGTCAAGCGACTCTTCCTTAGATGGCATCCAGACAAAAATCCTGGAGAAAAATCATTGTGCGACGAGGTTTTACAGCACATCCAGGAAGAAATAGCAAGGTTAGGAAGAGTCCAAGGCGACGTAATAGATGGCCAAAGCTGTTACAAACCGTTTTTTGATTTCTGGAGAGTGCGTGCCAAGCGTCAACACATGCATCGCGAAAAGTACAAGAAGAACTATCGACGAATGTACACCTCCAGTGATGAAGCCCTGAGAGGCGATTCACCTTCAGGTGTTCCTCCAAGTTTTTGCACGAAGAATCCTCAGCCTGGTGAGGCTAGACGATGGCTTAGACAAGCCGAGGCTGACCTGGTAGCTGCTAGTAATGACTTATCTAGTGGAAACCCATCTTATGAGTGGGCGTGCTTTAAATGTCACCAGGTGAAAAGATTTATTTTCATTTACTTGTTACTTTTATCGTAAATAATGATGAAGCTAGATAATGAAAAAGAAAGGTTCCAGCTCGGCTACAACGGAATGGAATCAGAAACTGAGGCTTTATAATTAAATTTTCTCGTTAGTATTGTTTTCTCACAAGGTAGGAAGATGTGGGGTGAACGAAACAAACAAAATAAACGAACTGAATGATCCCGACGCACCTTATTTAAAGAGAGAGGGGTATTTTTCAGTGATATCGTGTTTTTAAAAAAATTATCCTCAAGAGCGGTATTTTTGAGGTGGATGATCTTTCCTCTTAGATTAAATATATTGATTTTGTTTCCTTTAGAGTGCCGAGAAGGCTCTGAAAGCAGCGCAATATGCTGATGACGCATTCAAGATAAATCGTCACAATCTCAGACTAAATGCTTCACGGCTGGCCGACTCCGAACTGTCGGAACTTGCAACTGAGCTGGAGGATCGATTGGTCGATTCAACAAACATGCGCTATCCAGATCGACTGCGCTTTCCTCAGATTCCAAAAGATGTTTATTCATTTGAGGCAGCTAGTGAGGCCCTGAGACTAGCGAGAGAAATTCTACAGAGAGTTCGAAATTTGATACCAAAATAGACGTGGCGTTAAACACATATCATTTCTAGAAGTACAGTAGGAATGCCTTTGGTAGGAATAAACCTGTCTAGCTGTTAATTCAAACTACTAAGAGTAGATTTAAGGTAAGATAATCGCAGTTATTCGTTTCGTTCTTGATTGCTGATCAACAACCGCCTGGTTTTATTCAATGTTTGCTTACAATCCGTTTAATAGGTATCTACATTAAGCGAATGTAAAGACAGCGGTACTTTTCATCAATGGTAATTGTATCATATAATGACGACATTACACAAGCATTTATATGGAGAGTTCATGATTCTTACCTCAGGTCGTAGTCTTAAATTGTTACGCCATGGAAAGTCTTGCTTGGTAGTTTAAACTTTTCAATTTTTTTCTTTTTTGCTTAAAGGTGATGCTAGGAAAGAAAACTTTGTTAATGTCTTAATTAAGATCAGAATTTCACAACAACGTTTAGCATAAAGAATTAGTTAAGTATCGTTTTTTGCCGTCCTTTCAGATGAGCATTATTGACTCCTGCTATACGCCAGTGTTGAGTAGATGTAGTTCAATCAGTATGCAATTCAAAGCAGTTGTTCACCTCACGCTTTGATTGTTTTCGTGTCTATTTGACTCTATGGTTAAAAGAGTAAAAGTTACTTTAAGATCACTTAATTACTGGAGTGAAACAAATGCGTGGAGTCTATGGTTTAATCTACTAGTTAACCCTAAGAGTGACAAGCATCTTACTTGTCCTTGATATTATTCAATCGGTACAGAATTCAAAATAATTGTTTACTTCTTTGCTCGTTTTCATGTCTACATCTATAGTTAAAGAATAAAAGTGCCTTTAAGATTACTTACTACATTAAAACAAATGTGTGGATTTTATTATTTAATCTTCAGGTGATCACCTAGGAGTAACTAGCATCTAAATCTCTCCAGAATTGTACCCCTGAGTCAAACATTAAGGTCACAAGAATAAAGTAAATAATCTCCTACTGAAATCGTGAAACCCTTGATTGTCGGCAACTCAAATAAATGTATAAATGAAACCTAAATGAAAAAATACAGCCATGATTTTTTCTAATACAGGCACACGTCACAAAAATTGTCAGAATTAGCATTTGAGTCATTTTGGCAAATGTGACTGTAGATGAAGGCAAAAGACTAGTAGGTAATGGTGCAATTTATCCCATTGTAAGAGGTAGAGAAATTTTGACAACAGCACACCCACATTGCCCTAAATTACAATTTTAGTGAGTTGAAAATCACCATCTTGGATGTTTGGAGCAACAATATCAATGAAGTTATGACAAGCTTAAGGCCCTAGGCAATATTACCTATTAAGTAGTATCTCAAGAGGACTGGCCACAGATTATCATGAAATTCTGTTATTTTGGTTCATTATCAAAAAAAATTCATTCAATAAGGATAAAATTATCACATGGGGGAGGGCATTACCATATAAGCTTGTGGGAGGGGGTCAACAGCAGAAATATCAATGCTTGAATCTGCGGATTTAAATACTGTTTTTTTTATGGTAGCATTTCATACAATGCAGCAAATCATTGTTTTGCCAATAAGTAGTTGTTGTTTAAAGATGACAGATTCTGAATCTTCTGTGGTATTTAGGGTTGTTTGGCAGGGCCTATCTATGAACAAAATTAAGGGTTGAGGGGCACACTTAACCTTTCAAATATATAGATCCTTTTATTAATCTATAGGAAAAAGTTCTTATTCTGGCAAGTAATGTTCCACATTCTGCTAACCCTTTATTAATGAAACACTACCTCCAGTATAAATTTACAAGATTCCTCAACTCAAGTGGTATCCAAAAGGACATCCACACTTTTTCCACTGAGGTGCAGATCTGTAATTCCAATTTTCAATCAAGTTATTGCACTCTTTAAACACTTTTAAAACCTTATTTTAAACAAATTTGCAAACAGAAAAATTCTCCCCTGCAAGCCTGAATTTTTCTAAGCCTTTAATTTTCATCACTGCATAAGAAGTTGTGTTCATTGCTGCAAAGATTGCTTCCATATTTGCTTCTTTGTCTGCAGTTCACAAATATGATTTTCATCTCCATTGTTCATAATCAAAGTAACAGGCTCATTTTCATAGCATGGCATGACTGCTGTGCAAAATTTTATAATCTCAATAGTAATGTGTTGGGGAGTTGGCCTAATTCTTCTTTTTGAACATTGCAACAAATAGAAAAAACCCTTTTCAAAAAATTAATGTATCTCCTATGATGAATAAAACTGGCTTTTTAAAAAAAGTCCTCAGTTGATTGTCCTGGTATATATTTGTTGCTACATCTTTTAAGATTATTTCCATTGGCTTTCACAGCTATTCTCAAACAAGAGACTGTGTCAGGACATTAAGTCTCACCTGTGTGGACTGGTAATTCAGCAACTGCTTCTTCCTTGAACATCATATGTGCCATATTAGATATCTAGTTTTGATGACAAATAAGCTTTAACTTAAATCCATAATAAACATAGTTTCTAAATTTGTCTCCCACCCTTCCCCATGTCCCTAACTGTGCCAATTTTCCCACCCCTCCCTGCAAATTAAGGGTATCTGATTTAACCTATCTTTTGTCATCTTGCATGCAAACAGGAAACAACCAATCACAATCCATAAAATATACCCTCTACCTTTAATTCTCAGCAGGAAATCATCCAATGATAGTTGATGTTAGTTCTTTCAATTCCTTATATCACAGTTACTAGCTGCTGGGTTCATTATCACACATACAATTACATTGTACTGCTTTGAAGAGATACTATGTCAAGCCCAAAAACAACAAAAATGACATATTTAATTCTGGCACATAAAAATCAAAATGCAAACATCTTGACAAATACATAATTCTTATAGGAAATTTGTATTGCCAGAACATAATAATAAAATTTTTTTTAAATAAAAATTAGGCTGCCTGACAGAAAACCAGCTAGCTTAAAGACAGATATGATGACCAGCAAAATAAGATACTGGGAGGGATGGGAGGGAAAAAAATAACTTCTAAGAATCCAGATGCAGTATATGTATATGTAGTGCTACTAAGCTCAGAGCAATAGAGCAACTGATCTAATTTACTAAGTCATAACTAAAGTACCTATCATGACATCTTTGTACTTTTCCTCACAAGGGAAGTTAACTTAAGCAGGACAAGTCTACCCAGGTTAAATTACTTGTATTAAGTAGGCTATCTTGATCACAATTAAGAAGCACATCACCCAGAAGTAGGTGATATATTGTTTCCCATAAACTGCGTAAACTGCTTTAACACCAAGCAATGATTGGAACAGGGAAAGCCCTTATTGTCATAAGATTACTTATTAACTAATATTTTCACAAATGCACAACTCTTATAGGATATATATAAGCTGATAATAAAATAATACTCCAAGCCTATAAAGCTGGAGATTGTGGTTTAAAAGGTTGATTAAAAAAACTAACTACTGGAAAGGATTGTATTAATGGCAAGGATATTTACAGATTCTGACTGAACAGAAAGTGGAACCAAGGTAAAGGAGTACAGAGTATCAGAGTGTTAATCACCAAGAATCTTAATGAGTTCCACATGCACCTCAGAACGAAAGGCAAAAAAAGGCACCCCCGCCCCCTCTCCCACCTAAAGGAGTGACTGGCAAAGTCCTTGGTTGGCAAAGCAAGGGAAGTGAGGATGTCCCCAATGAGCTGCATAAGGGAAATAGGGTCTTGCCATGTAAAAGCCTAGGAAGGAAGGGTGGTGGTGGGAGAGTAATGAAAGATGAGGTCCACTGGGTAGCTGTGACTGGAAAAGGGGGGGAACCTGGTATGAGGCCCATTAAGGGGATTTGTACCACCTTTTCTCAAAATAGAATGATTTTGCTTCAGGGGATAGTCGCAGGAGCCCCCTGACAAAAAAATGGAAAATCCGAGCAAAGGAGTTGTTTGAAGGGGTCAAAGGAATGTGCAGAACTAGCTCACAGATGCCTTTCCTGGAGCATCCCAAAAAAGGACACCAAACCGATTGCCCAGAAAGAAGCATCAAAGCTAGAATGTGGGCTAAGCTTCGAGATACGAAGAAGAATGTCTGGGATGATAGGATGCTTCTGAGCAGGCACTCACCCTTTGATTTAATGTGATATCAGGATAACATCCTCGACCCTTTTTGTGGAATAAACTATAGTTATTGTGAGGAGAAGTTGAAAGTTAATCAAACAGTAATTACTAAAATCTACCAAGAGTAATCAGTACTAAGGATAAAAAATTTACCCAGGAATTAGGGCCAAACCAACAAATATCAATACCATATATTTCAGTTTGAAGAAAGTTTTGCTATTTAGGCAGCCTGAGGATTTCTTGAATTTCTATAGGCCGACGTAAAAGAAATTAAATCTTCAGAAATAAAATGAAATTAAGAATTTAGAGGCTATAGGTTTTGTTTAAAATGGAATATAAAATATTCCATATTTTGTTTTTTTTTAGAGAGAGAGAGAGAGAGAGAAGAATTTGAACGGCTGATCTTTTATTATCTCCGATGAACGTTCTAAACTTTTTCTCTTCATCGATCCCGTACAAAGTTAGTATTCTACGAAACATTACATTACTTCTCACTAAAAGTCAACTTAAACTTAAAATTTTACGTCCTCCTCAATACATGTAAGCTCTCACAAGATCAGCCCTAGCTTTTACCATACATTTGGCAGATATACGGTATCTATTTGTCACACATTCCTTCATGCATCTCCTTTCCGTCCCCTGACACGAAGTAGCAGATGAAAACATGGCCTCCAGGGATTTTCAACTTCCCGCGGATTTGACCTAAACAGTAAAGCAAAATATCTTTCAAGCAAAACATCACACCACGTAGGATACACATTTTTAGGATAGAATAATATGATTTATCATTAGAAACTACTATATCTCTACACAACTCACTTAAGACATCGAAATTACTCACCTTTAAGTACTCAAAGTACTCAAGTACCCAAAGGTTTAACGAGTTCCACGATGACTCATGACTCGTGGTGACTCCAAGTTTAGGGAGACTCTACCAGCTACTATGGGGGTATAACGAAGTAGTAAATTTCTAATTTCTGGGGAAAATAGAGGAAAATATTGCCTACCAACTTCAAAAGAAGGAAGAAAATTATTAAATGTTGCTCTGCCGACAGCTCCGCCATTTTTCATATCAATAATGTTGCATGGAATGCTGGGAGCCAAATCTTTTTTAAAATTACTTTCTCGGGGGGAGGGACAAAACTTAAGTACTGAGTACTTAGTTGGAAACATTTCAAAACTTACACAAAGTTGTCCAAAATATAGTTTGACAAAGTCGTGAAGACCGAAACCAGAGAAATCTTTCTACAGTTCACCGGGTAAAACTGTCAGAAAACAAGAGGAACATAACTATGCTCGGCGTGATCATTTGAAATCGGAGAGATCTTGCGAAAACAGAGGGAAATGTCTGTCTATGAGGGTTTAAAACGCGCACATTGAATTTTTCCTTAAATTAGACAGAATATTCCCATCGAAATCAGACACAACCAATCTAAATGGGATGAAAACTTGCGAACTAGGGCCGTTTCCTAACCTGTTCCACTACAGAAAATCAAAGATATGTAAACATAAATTGTTCAGAACACATTTATCGCTGCTGTTACGCGAATGGCGTCTATTTGTGAACTAAGCCTTACAGTTTTAAGTGTGAAGCAATGATATTGGGGTTTTTTTTATATAATAAGGCGTCCATCGTCGAATATACTGTGGCCGCACGCTAATTTTTTTTATTGGGTTTAAGTTATAGTCTGTGACTAATACTATTAACTACATTCTAAGGGGAAAGAATTTCGGGACTTTGACAACTCACCGCTTAATAGAGCATAAACGATTAGTGAAGTGCCGCTTAATACAGGTGCGGCGTTAATCACGTTTTTTCTGAGTTTAGAGCGAGGAGCTTTTTCTTTTTGATGTCTTCAACCAAAACTGTAATAAACAAACAAAACAGGATTAAAAAAGAAAGACTTTCTCTCAGAGCAATGTATTATTCTAATTAGAGCGGTAAAAGCAAATGGGACGCGTGTTGTATTGCACACACCTATACAGCCAAGTATGAACATTTAGTCCGATAGAATCCATCGGAATTCCATGATTTGTACATCGATTGAAATCAGATGAAGCGCATCAGAATCCATCAGAATTACCCGAGTCTATTCTATTTCGATTCGAGCTCGTTTCTCGAAGGTTCCGGTGACTTAACGGTCCCGAAAAGCTGTTCAGTTTTCCCTCAAGGTGGGGATTTCAAAAGAATTGTAAATTGTACATTAAAATTGTAAGCGAAAGAAAAATGGACGGGTTAGGGCGTCACAATCTCCTTCTTCAATACAGCCCACTGTCATTTACGGAAGAATGCTTTGCAAGTTGTGATAACATCTTTTGGTTTATATTCAATTAAGAGAATATCAGGGTAGGAGCCAAACCCACACGAAATAAATTAACAGGATGTTTTCAAATTCGCGATGATTTCGTGACACGTTTAAAATCCTTACTGATATGTCACGCGACAGTTGTGACATTTATCAAGGAAATAATATCCTCAACAGTCGTCCCCTTGGTGTTTGAAGCTCTAAATACTCAGGATTTGTGACATACACATTTCTTCTTTCTTTCATTTTTTGGCGGTACCTACACTCCCTTATCAGTGACTCGTCTGGCAGTCGAAAGTCAATCTCTAATTTCGATTCACTTGATGTCGTAGTGATATCAAAGGTTGAGATCCCTACTCATTCGGTAGCCATTTTGGTCACCAGCGACGTCAAGACGCAATGGCTTTTTATTGGAGCCTTTCCTCGCCTTTAGTACTTGTGTTTTTTCTAGGTTTCATCCATTTCTGGCCTTGCACAGCGGCAGCTGGTAAGTTACATTGTGTTGCTCGGCTAATTACGAAAGTAGTGAAGTGTCTCAAGAAGTGTCTCATTTCACCTTCATATTTCCTATTTCGTGTTATCACGATCACATTCTGATATTCTCAGCAGAGATCACAAAAGTATCGTTTTGAACCAAAACAGCATAAAGTTAATATGCTTCCGATCGGACTAGCGAGACTTGTGGTAAAATAGAAACCACTCTGATGTAAATTTCCCTTGTGAAAGACAGGAAGCGTTAATCCTATCAAGAACAGACACGCAACTTTAATTGTTGACGAATTTTGCGGGGATTTGAAACTTCCTTATATTTCAAGTAACAATGCACTTACACGTTACGAATCGAGGCATGCACTCAGAAGCTAACTTAAAATTTTGCAAGCTGGTTTGCAGATACAATTCTTGCTCCCGGATGTTAGATGAGAATTTGCATGTGTATATAGTTCTGTAGACATATTCTAGCTAACTACGCCGTTCAGTACAAGCCGACCTTTTAATATCTTTTATCTCTATGTTTCGTAAATGACATCAGCGCTAAAATATTGCTTCAGGTGAGAAGGTCAGTCTGTTAAAAATACGCTATGTTCAACAGCGGCGAGGTTCCCGAAAGCGGAAGAAACCTTTCACGCACGACATTAATGATAACCGAAGCTCTCCCGAAGGGGTTTCGTTTGTCATCGAGTATATTCAATCGATAGTCCCTTAACCCTGTTTAATTTTATTCATTTAATCGCTAGCAAACTGCAGTAAATACAGCGGCATGTCGTGTAAAGAATGCGTCGAACAATCTGGGGTAAGTTCACCATGTAATGAAAATATTTATGTGCTTGAATGTAGTCAGAGGCATCATAAAAATTCAGCCGGAATCTGAAACCTCCGAGAAACAGAGGCATGGTCAAACAATAAATTGGCTCAGGAAAATAATAAATCTAACATATTAAACGATTATTTGTATTCTCATCATCTTTTGTTTTTCAACATCAAGCCATTTGTAAATTATAAATTATAATGACTAAATTCTAGCATTGGTAAGGAAGTAAAAATCTGAAACTACTTGCATTATACAGTACATGAGAGTTATGAAATTTGAAATTTCTATATACTTTCCAGAGACCCTATGATACTTCTGCACAGCCTCCCCTTGATTGGTGGTTTATAGCTCTTCACTCAACATAATAAACAGCAATCTTGAAATTTTATCTTTTTAATTACCTTGAAAGTCTCGTTTCGCTAATTACAGTAAACTCAGCAGCCAGATCTCAAAGGTCCTCTGTAACTCAAATGGGAGAGCATCCTTTCGTTCGGTTGACTGTTTGAATGGTGAATTTGTCTTAAAAAATATTGTCTAGAATTTAATAAATTTATGGTGATAAGTTATCACATTTATTTACAGTTCTACTCTTAGTCTTTTCGTATATTCAATTATTTACTTATAACTTATTCAGTTATCTATTCATTGTTTTTTAGTGCTTTTACTGCAAGCCAACCAAATTATGCGAGGCTGGTGATTTGGTGAAGAGCACTCTCCAAAAGTCTTGCGAGGGTCAGGAATGGATGACAGAACAGTGTCTGGGTAGGAACTGTTGCTCAATTTAAAGCAATAGGTTTCTTTTATATCTTTGCACATGTCTTTTCTTGTTTTCCCCCCAAGCACTCAGACTTATCAAGGGGGATTTCAATCATTATCATTACCGATGACGGCATAGTTACCTTTAGTTTGGCTTAATTATCGTAAGAGGAGACCTTCCAGTGATGACATCCTCACTTTATTTGTTAAGACATTATTGCGTTTTCCCAGAAAACTCTTCGGTAATCCAGACAATTTGATGTAAAAAAAAAACATGAGAAATATTCTTATTCGATTAGTTGCCCCAACCAAAGCTTCAAAAGGAACGATTTTAAGTTTTTTTCAACAATTGTTTTCTGGATATTAAAGATTGTATTGAAATGTATTTCTTTTAGTCACTGGAAAAATTCTTCTCATTGCCCTGCCTGTGGCGGGTTTCGTGTTGCTTGTGACAATAGGATGTTGCATTTACTGCTGCTGTTGTCGAAAAACGAGAGCAAGGGGAGGGTAGGTATTGTGTGATTATCGATATCTAAGAGACTCTCCTGTAAACGTCGTAATCTATATGCTAGCGTCTACAAGTACTTTGTAAAATATAAAAAACTAACTGCAATGGCCAAATTGTGGTGAGCAGTAGTAATGATAATGTAAAATAATAATATCAACGATAATTATAATTTAGCAGTAGACATTTCACGAGGTGAAAGAGATTCCCTCTTTCTCCCGTGTACCCCCATCCACACTAGACTCTTTCATTACTGTAAACGGCGTAACTGAATTTTTATATGATCCAGGGGCGGCAAAGCGTTTTGAAACGTGGGAGGGGAGGGAGGAGAGGGGGTTCATCGCACAATGAACTTAGTGTATAATCACAGTCAAACTTAGAAAATGCCCTTGGCGTAGTTTGTCGGCACAAGCAAACCTCTTCACGTTGCGCCGGTAGATCGATAAGTCCTTGAACATGTTTCGCTAGGCGCGATCCGCCATGTAAAACGATTTATGAGGGGATCACTTTGGGTTGTATCTTTCCGAGACAATTTTCTGGCAATAAGCTCTGCATTGTCGTAAAGAGAGGAATCTGGCTCCTCGTAAAAATTTTCGTGTTTGTTATGTTTTCTAGGAAAGCCTTTTCCTGCTCACCCTCTCTGCTAATAATGTTTCTGCACTCGTATCTTTCGTTTTCTGTGTGAGCATGCGAGTAAAGATCACACCTATCCTTCATTGTTCAATCAAAACTCCTCAGGTGAGAAGTTGTCTTAAGATTGATTTTCTTTATCTAGGACTGACAAAGATGAGGTCAAGTCTCATCAGAAGAGAAAAAAAATAGCCGATAAACACAAGGAAAGGTACTATATATATGATACACAACCTTCAAGTTGATGACGATTTCAGTTATCTTTTTTGTTGTAAGATAATTTAAATTAATTCTGCCTTCTTTTAGGGAAAAAGAAAGGCAAGAGAAACGTGACGAAATCAGGAAAAAATACGGTAAGTGAATAGATCGTTTGAAATTCAATCAAGTAAAATAAATTCTGGTTAGGAAAATTATTATATAAATAAAGAGGAGGGCATTATATCTCCCTGTAAAGTATGCAAAGTATGTAGTATAATCACACTCCTGTGTTGGAAAGTAAACACCTCATCCACATCAGCAAAACATTCTTTGTTAAGTCTGGTGTAACTGAATGGAAATTGAAAAAAAAAAGAAATGAAAAAAATGAGTTTTGCACAGGTTTTAAGTAGTCGCTTAACTTTATTTTCAATGTATTAAATTTGAGGTCGATAAACATCTGTTTAAGCGACTTCAAGGAAAAAAAATGTCAAACAGGTCTAACTGAAACAACTTAAAAACATTTTAAAGCTTTGGTATGAATGGGGTATAAGTCATTTATTGTATCGCAAATAATACACTTTCTTACTTAATTTTCAGGTATAGAATCTGTATGAAGATGGAATAAAGTCACAAATTCAGAAGCTTCTCTTACCATTGTATTTGTTAATCAAGGCTTCGCAATGACGACATATTTTAAGATGTCATTAAAATGCCATTAAAATGGCTTTGCTCAGGCTGCATCTTTGAGTCAGGAGTCTGAGCTTCTGTAGTTTTCTTTGCTTTATTAACAATGATGTTGTGTGGAGACTGTAATCCAGCAGTTGAACCTATCAGCTGACTTAGCTTTTGTTGTTAGCATATATAATAAACCCCAACGAAACCCAAGTGCCGCGAGACAACATATAGCGGGTTTTTTGGGTTAACTTTGTGTCAAATGATACAAGTGTACTTTTAATCAGCAGGAGATGTTACAAATAAAACTGCGCTAACTTTTCCTATCTCTCAGCTGTTTTCTGATGTCGAACCGCCTGCTGGGATCGGATGATGTTGTTATTTCAAAAGTTACACATCTTACATTACATTGGAAATATCCACAATGACTGGTTAACTTTCTGACTGGCTTTTCCTTGACAGAAAACATTCTCAAACCGTGGAACAGTCGAAACATAAGAGTTATCAAACCATTGGAAATAATCCGAAAACAACGGATAAAACCGCTCCGTTTTACTAGCTCGACGCTTGAAACAGGCTCTTCCCAGAACACACAGAACTGTTCGAGATCAATTAAAACCGTCCGAAATCAGAACGTTGGGGAAAAGTTCGAAATTAGACGACCCATCCGAAATCGGACTAAACCGCCCAGAACTGGTCGGAGCCTTTGGAACCCAGGAAAAATCGTCCTAAACGAGCTGAGATGAAAACGTGAGAATTGAAATTTGTCAAAAATCAGAATGAACGTTTAGAGCTGTTGAGCTCTGGAGTTTTTGCTATCAAACGCAAAAATTATATCGAAATCGGACAGATCTGCCCAAAATGAGACTAGATTCGGTTTCCGAACGAACAAAGATATATCCAAGTTTTGAAAACTGAGATTATGACTCAATTTTCGATCAAATCTCAACGGTTTTAGTGCAGGTAGCACTGCAAGGTTTAGCGATTACTAGTTGCCAATGAAAAAAACCCCATCTCGTAGACTGGGTTGGCCTTCCCCTGAAGCAAAGGTCATCAATGATTCTGTGAGAAGAACGTATTCATTTCATTATGTTTTCAATGGGTAAGTTTTTTTAATCCACGCCGTTTGTTTTATAAGCCTGTAGTCGAATAAACATTGACCTTACTCAACATGTGGATCAACGCAAACGAACGAAAAGTTCAAATCCTTTTTTTTCAGCGCGAAAGGAAAAACAAAGAACCAAAATGTCAGAGTTCCGGTTTCCTCCAGGCGCGTTATTTTGAGGAAAACACACACACAATCGCAATGAAATAAAATCAGACACTCTTTGGAGGGGTGAGGATGAGTGGATTGAGGTGGGTCACACACGCTTCGGTTTTTCCCCAGATCTCTAAATTCCTGGTTGTGCGTGTGGTTCAGTTGTTGCTGAGCATTTTGTACAGATCCCACGCATACCGGGAGCTTTCTTGTTTGCCATTAGTGTGGCAAGAGCCAGGGAAGTCATAGTCTGAGTCGAAGGCCTAAACGTGAGAGGAGCGCTTTGACTCGCTTTTGCCTCCATGACACTCTCCCTCGGCTAAAAGAAATCAAGAAAGACTGCTTTTCAGGTTAGCCAATATTGCATTTCAAAGAATCTACACGAAAGATGTCGTTTCAATGGAACCGCAAATAATGAAAAAAACAAACAGTTGTCGGTTTTGGCCAAACCATAGTTAATGTCTTTATTTTTTGCAACTGAAAAATTCTTAATTCCCTTGAGGAGCCATAACTCAGGCAAACACAACTAACGCAATCTATCTAAAAATTTATCATAACACCGGGAAAATCAGTTTTATTCTTTCAGATGGGATGTAGAAACTACAGTTTTATGCCTTGAATGATAATGGAACAAATACAGAGGTCAGCCAATCTGTTTCAGACATCTTAGTTTGTTCCTAGAGCAAAACGAATGATTCCTTGATGTTAAGTCCGGGAACAACTAAATCGAGCGCAGGCGAGTACACACAGGCTGTAAACAATCCTTAAATGTGGACTATTATCAATATCATCGGTCGAACTGTGACAGGACATTTAACAGCTTTAAACCTGCTCGCCCTTTCCCGCAGAAATGCCGGATGATGTCACTGAAGTTGTGATCACCTCTGCCGGCTTACTTCGTAACTTGAGACAGTCTATAAAAGAGAAAAGAGAGAAAAATGAACCTTCTTGAGCTTGTAAGCAGCAAAAATCAAATAAACCAATAAAGACAAGACAACAATAATCCTGCCGGAAAAAGAATCCACTACGCAAACTTTACTTCGATTGTCTCTTTACTTAAAGGCGACTCCAAAGACTTTGAGAAAATTTTCAAAGTTGTTTGAGTAGTCCTTCATTTAGTGGTAGTAGAATGCTTAATCCTCAGATTTACGCCGTTTTTCCTTGTCTTGCGTGGGAAATGAACGCGGGCTAATTTCCCAACAAGCGGTTGATAATCGAGCCTAAAACTTAAAAAAGCTTTCTTTCAACGAGCGTTTTCTTGAAAGATCTCTGACAATCAAAACTTATTCTTGCGCTGGCTCTCAGTTAGAAATTTTCTCTTACGACGAAGAGTAATAAATCTTCATTTAAACACTTAAATAGTGACTAAATACACGTCAGTTTGAGCAGTGAAAAGGAATAAATATAAATGAAAGTTGTTAAGGCGTTTGACTCATTAACTTTACGCACCTTTGCAAAGGCTGAAAATCTTACCACGAATAAATTGGAATACTGCCATGTAACCGTCTCTAAACTCCTGGAGAAACACGGCGAAGAAAACAGGGTTGAGACTAGGTGACAAAAACGATACTGCTATAACATATTGGGAGAATTCAGCGCTGATCTGATGACCGGACATAATGCACCCGACAGCAACCTGGGAAAAGCAAATAGTCAAAGTAAGTTTGAGATTTTGCTGGAAGTTAATTCTTCGAGCTAACTTGAGACCGGAAAAATTAATTTCCGGAAAAAAAAAAAGAAAAACCAACGCAAACATCCGAGTAAGTAGATTTTAAGTTGGCATAAATTCAATGCACTGATCTTGTTTCATTCATCTCTGGCCAAATATCTCATAGTTGTACTGAGCGGATAACGGATGGCGTTAAAGGGGCGCTCTTATGGGCTACTCGAACTTCGAATATCCGTTTCTATTCACCAGCGAGCACTGAACTCGCTATTACATCCCATCGTTTTAGTGTTTACTAAAACAACTGTACATTGGCTTTAAGCAAAAGATTATGATCTCTGACTGCTTTTAACCCTTTAACTCTTAGAGTTATTAGTATCTAATTTCTCCTCACAATATCATCCCTGAATCAACCATTAAGGTTATGAGAATAGATGGAATGATCACCAACTTGAGAAGCACATGATTGTTACATTAATTCTCCTTTTCAGCACCGAAGGAGATGTGTGGAGAACCGAGTGTGGAGAATACGCATTCTGATGTTAGGATGCAAGGATTTAAAAATCCGTCTGTTATGCCGAGCTCCTAAAACGGGTTCTTCCCATATTTTTTGGCAATCACACACATGCAGGCCTGACCAAACATTAAAATTGATTATCAATGAATTTTGATATCAACCGATATTAACATCAGAAATCGATGTACAAAGGTGAAAGAGAAAAGTTATTGCACTCCAATATAATCGATATTAATTGTTTGGCTTCTAGTGTCATTGATTTCCATCGGTTGTTTTCCAGTTTGCATTGCTGATATTTATCACAGCTGTTCTTGGTCAATTCACGCCGATATTAACAGATTAATCGATTGGGTCAGTTAATTGATATCGAGTATTATTGGCTAATGAGTAGAACATCAACCTACATGATTTCCGTGACCGATTCTTGGCGATTGACAACCACCAGCTTTTCAAAGTAAGACTCAACAGTGGTGAACTAATCAATCTCTTCTCTTAAAGTTCCTGAGTTGTGAACAGATCTGAGAGGGTGAAGTGTCATAAAAGAAAGTGTCTTTAAACAAAATTTTACTAATTTTACATTTGGAGCCTCTTTTCCACAAAATTTTCCTTTATCTGTCTTTCGGAAGCCTTCCTGAAATTTTCCTTATAAAAATTTCTCACGCGAATCCAGACAACGAGGAAAACATCGAAGCTGGTGCATCTTACATTTGCCTGAAAACAAATCATGTCGCAAAAGAAATTGCAAGAGAAACGCTATCTTGGAGTGCCCATTTCTCTTTCAAGTTCTTGTATGTGGATGAAGTTATAAAACAACTCCATTCTTATCGGAAAAAAAAAACTTTTTTTGGTTCGTCTTGTCACGAGCGTGGTACAAAGAAAAAACTCTGAGACCCCAACACGAGTCGAATTTAGACCTCAAGTATTTTCAATCTATTTCATGGCTAACTGTTTAAAAGTAAATAACAAAAAGTACTAAAAAATGAATAAAGATTGCGAAACTTGGTGAAGCAAATCTCCGCGCGTGGGTAAAAAAACTAACAATGATAATAACAGTGCGTCAAAGTAAACAAGAAGTGGCGCCGGAATTATTTGTGAAACTAAATCATAATCTTCCATCAACCAGAATATTTTCGTCCACAGGTATTAAGTTAAAAAACTAGATCAAAATGATACCTACCATTACAGGAATCCAGGTCACGTGAAATGTCAGACCCAGCACACATATCATCTTAGCAAAGTCTCTCTCAGCTCCGAGTCTTCGACTGTACAGGGCAAAAGACGTGGACATGCGTATCGCAGAAGTATCGCCCAGAGAGTAACCCGAACAATTAAAACAACCTAGAACATTGTGGACAATCTGCAGTAATAAACAGGCACTGCTGCTCATCAACAGAGCGAATAAAAACGTATAATCAGAGTTCTGTCTTGGATAGCTTATTTGCTTTAGGGAACAAAATAAAATCGTTAAGTTTTCTTTAGGTAAAGTTTTAGAACTGTGCAATTGCGTCGTCAGTGTTTTCCCTTCCGGACCGAGGCCGATGTAAGGCAACGAGGCAATTAACAAGGCCACAATGGCTATGCCTACAACTAAATTAGCAATAACGAGGGACGAGTTTCTCAAATTTTCCCTGTGTTTTTGCTCGTGCCTCGAGCAGGCTAAAGATGACGAGATTCTGTCGCCTATACTTCGATAGATTCCTCGCGCAGTCATGGCTAAGTAGGAGGTGTAGTTGAGCGTTGTAATTATAAACAGCGATGCCAACTTGAACCACATAAACATCAGGTGAAATATCTCGCAAATCGCCGGTCTTTCAACGTGGTTTGACCGCTGACTTCTAGGGCAGTTGTTGTACAGCAAGAGGTATATCGGCAGTGGTATACAAACAGTTAAAAAGTCCACTAAAATCAGTGACATCAACAAAACGTCTCTGCTCGTTCGACCGCATCTCGTGCGAAGCTTCGCGTAGCACACCACACATGGAAAAATATTTAGGAAAAAACCAAAAGCTCCTACCAATAGCAAATACAAATTCATGGAGCTTAGAAAGGAGCACTTTAAGTTCATTTCAGGTGAGTCGTGGTGGTGATTTTCTATATGAGCCATTCTGATCACGTATAATTTCTGGTGGCTATCGATCCTTCTTTATCGTTTGGTCTCCACAGCAGAATATCGACTCGTGCGGTTTTGATGTCGCGCCAGATAAATGTCATATATCGGGTAAACAAAGGATCGATCAAATTGCTTGAGGCCAGAGGCACTAAAAATACATCTTTCAAATACCCTTTTGAACAGAGGTTTTCAATGTCAACAAACTTCTCGACAGGCTCACAAAGCTCAAAGTCTAGAGCGGAAATGTTCATGAAAGAATGAGTAAAAATAATGAATATGACGAATGCAAAAAAAAGGTGCATGGGTGGCCCGGGATAAACGAAATATTTTCCGCACAATAATTCAATAATTATGAAAAAGAAAGTTGTTCCGGACCTGTCTTGCCTTATAGTCTCGCTACCCTCTCATTTTAAGGAACTTTTAGAAGCTTTCTAAAATGTTCTGAGTAATTTCAACGATTTCTGATCTGCAAGCAGCACATGACCGGGTAAAACTTCAGATGGTATTTGTGGCCGCATATTTTGGACTCTGCAGTGTTCGCTAGGAAAGTGAAAAATAGGAACAGTAAATGGAGAAAAGCATGTAACCGTGTTCCTTTTTTTTTTTTTTTTTTTATTATTACTATTTTTTTACTCTTCTCTGACAGGTCTACAAAGAGCAAGAATTGAACCGATGAAAGACAAACCAGCTAAACAAGGGTTTGTTATGATAACAAATTAGGTCAATGTTAATCCACAAAGCTTGCATGGAACTCATAGTAACAATGATAGTTTGCTTTGGAGACTCCCTTGTCATAATATCTTACCATAACATTGAAGTTTTGAGTATACATTTGAAATGCAATAGACGTTTACTTTTACAACGTCACTTTGACACATGGTCTTTTAACTTTCAACAACTATATATTTCGCCTTTGAAATTAAAAACGTCCCTCTACCTGTGGATAAACGGCTTAAAAAGTCGCAAAAGATTCTATGTGGGTAGCCATAAGAATTAGTCTGAAATCTCTTATGTTTTACAAAGATACAGAAGAGGGCCAGCTTAAAAAACAGCTAAAACCTGAGACAGTAGGCGATCTAGCGAACTTCCGCTCATGATAGTTCACTGGTTTTACATCATAACTAAAAAGTTTTTGTCATCAGTTGAGCCTATTAGGTCTTATTGGCTGATAAAAATCGCCTTCCACGTAATTATTAGTTAAAGCAAGAATGAGCTTTCACAGAACAATTTTTTCTCTGATCTAGAAAATCAGACATTAACACTTCTTCCTGCACAGTTAAAGAAGATGTGGGCATAAGGTTTAGAGCCACCTTGATTATCAAAACCCTTACGGTGGCTCTGAAGCGCATGTATAAGGGCCGGATCGCATTACGGACCAATTTTAATTTTGGCTTAAAAAAAATTGGCCGGAAAATCAAATTGCATCAGACTAGAATTGAAAATAAACTTGAGCTAAAAAAAGGTCGCATTTCAACAAGTGAAATGCAAGCGTCAATCACTCAGGGGAAATTTGAGCGGTGAAATTGTGTTCAGTAACGACACTTGCCATGCGGCCAAACAGGGTAACAGTAACTCTCAGGTTTGCTTTGTTCGGCGCTCACAAAAGGCCAAATTGGGGCTGTATTGCCCAGTTCCTGAAGGAAGGAATACCTCTCACTTCTTGGCATTTGATGGCCGTAGTAAGCAAAGGGAAAATCTCGCCTCTACATGCTGTCGCTTCGAACTGTATGCAATGAAAACGACAGTGTAAATGATGAAATGTCGCGCTCTTTTTCACGTTCGTGACCTTGCCGTCGATATTGGGAGTCATTCTTTTCAACTGTTGACAGCTTTAGCGGCGGGCTCATTTGGTTTTTCGAGATTTGGAAAAATTGGTCCAGCTCGCCCAAGCACACCGGCGTCTTTGATGTTTTTTCCCGATTTTGAAATTTATAAAAAATCACAAATGAGGGGTCGCATTTGAAAAGAGGTGTGTTGACAGATTTTAGTCCTTAGAGTAAATAATTATCTGCAAAATCGTCTCTAATGCGACCCGGCCCTAAATCAAAACCTTAGATTGGCAGAAAGATAAAACTGGATATGCTGACTGCAATTCAATAATAGGGTGTTTTTAAAGGCTATGGAGGTGCAAAGGCCTTGTCTGTCACAAAAATGATCAGAACATGTTGAGAGATCATAGAGCAATTATGAAATCATTTCAAGGGAATGCACGTAAAATTGTAGTAGTATCGATCTATCGAGGAACTGGTCTTTAAATTAATTTATACCGCCTTTTAAGGCAGATCCCTGTATTGGTTGGAGTTTCTCTAACAAACTTTGCGTCATACTATAGATACATTTTATTCTATAAAAATGATGCAAACACCTACGTTTCTAAAGATGCACATTAACAGTATCGAGGCTAGACAATTTTTAAAAGAAATATATTGATTTTAAAATTAAAAAAGGAAACTCGGTCCTTCTACCCAACTCATAATGAAAGCTAGCTATCTACAAAAAATTAAGTATTCGTGGGATACAGCTTTTCCTGTTAGAGGCTTTTTACCTAGCGCTGAACACATCTATAGCCAGTTTAGTATTCTAGAGTCACATAAAAAAGCTGATTTGATCTGATCTAATCTCAGATAAAGTAGATCAAGATAAAGTCTAATACGTAGTTTTAAAAAATCTGCCTTTGGAAAGGGAGGTTTTTATATCAAGGGCGTTACAATTAAAAACAAGTTGTACAGTCGTGATCAAAATAATTCTGGTTTTAGAAGATGCACGAGATGGTTGTAACATTGCGGTACATTAGACAACCATGCTTGAATTCCATCCTTGCATCGAATCCTGATCAGAGTGACCCTGTCAAATGAAATTCATTTCACACCATTGAAATTTATATAATCTGCAGATGGAGAGTGATGATTGGTGCGAGACACATACCCTAATGCGGCGATCTGATAGGTGCGAGCACCATACCAATCTATACACTAACATAGAGTTCTTTTCATAAAAAAAAAAATAACAAAATAAAAATAAAAAACTCACAAAGGTGGCAGCAATGACCTAAATTTGAACTGCATGTTCTCTTGAATAAGATGCATTCAGAAAACATACGTTTCCCACTGAGTTTTGTCAATTTCTTTTAAGCTCTCACCTTAGGTTATCCTGCTCTGTACGCATGCAACAATTTCCTTAGCAAGCTGCAAGGCCTGTTGCGCTAATTCGGCAGAGTACACCTCGTTTGGAATCTGGGGGAAACACATTCTGTCTGGGTAACGCATGCGCGTAGAACCACCAACTAGACGCTCTAATTGCCTTGCTAGATCTAGTAGCTCGGGATCATTTAGATCGCAGCAAATCTCTACAAGGTCGTGGACCCTTGTCCTGTAAGTATCTACTGTATACTGTGCCGCCTTCAAAGCCTTCTCTGCTGCCTGTCAGGAAGAACAAATAAAAAACTCCAGCCCTGTCAATTTTTGAGTTATGTTCAAGATAATCCCTGTTAAGGTTTCTTTCAGAAGCACCTCAACTAAAGATGGAGAACGATTCATGTGTCTGTAATATAACTGTTAGCTGTTAACAGAAAAAAACCTAGGAAGAACAACTAATAACATTCCATTTTCGCTAAGAATTGACAAGCATATCTGGTCACACGAGACAGCCAAAGAAAAACGATTAGTTATGAAAATAAATATGGCTTAACTTAACTGAAGGAATTCTATCATTATATCAAGTTTTATACTTCAATGTTAAAATAACGATGGCAGCACATAAAAACTATTTAAAGTGATGAATAAAGGGGGTAAGTTTCTAAATGAACTGGGATGCTGCGTCGGTGGGGTAGTATAACAGGGTAATTAAGTATTATCAACTGAGTTAATAACGTAAATTGGCCACCGTAAAGAGTTTCAAAGTTGACGTTTCGAGCGTTATCCCTTCGTCGGAGCGAAGGTCTCTGACGAAGTGCTAACGCTAACGCTCGGAACGTCAGATGTAACACTCTTTACGGTGGCCAATTAAAGTTATCAACTCAGTCGATAATTTTAAATTACCTTATAATAACTGATGTTTACTATTACCTGGTGACATTTGAAGCATGCCCACTCATACGAAGGTCTCTCATAAATTATATCGTTGCTTGCTGCCTGGATATCTGCAACCGCTTGTTTGAACCAACGCCTGGCCTCCCTTGGTTGAGGATTTTTTCTATGACATGGTGATCTTCCTCTGTGTTCCCGGCGCTGCCTGTAGTGTTCCCTTGCAAGCAATGCCCATAAAACAAAGAAGCTTCCGTAGGAACCACCCTTAGGCTCCCCTCTTTTTAACCTTGAAACTTCGCTCTGTATGTACTGACATACCTCTTTGCAGAATTCCTCATCGCCTAAGTTTTTATCAGGGTGCCACCGCAAATACAGCCGCTTGGTTATTTTTCGTCTTTTTTTTTCTGGAAGAGTCCACGCTTCCTCTAGAAGGTCTGAAATCTTATCGAAAACTCCCTGTCTGCTTCTTGGGGTAGGGGGCTGCCCAATCCTATCACACGGGACCATCGCAGTTGAAGATGACTCGGTCAAACGGTGGAATTTGTACAGGTCCGTAGCATCGACAACTTTCTCTTGGTCATTTCCAATGTTGATTCTGTAACGCCTTGTCAGGCGGCTGTTGCATTCACTCGTTACTTCTTCGATAATTGTAGCGTATATATAGGTAGCGTCTCCTCCTTCTCCAACTACACTTGGGTCGTGAAGCTCATATCCAACATCATCGTCTGGTACAAACTCTTCAAAGTCGTCATTTAAGCGATGGTGATCTTCTTGGGGAATAAAACTGCCTGGCTCAGGCGGAATTTCTAGCTCTTCTGCAGAAAATGAGTCATCCGGTCGAACACCCAAGCTATCTAAGTGGGACCATATGGCACCTAGGGGACATCTCAGCATATGAGGAATTAATAAGGCCCTTCTTCCAAGACGTCCTTCACATATTTCCTCAACCGCATTAGCTACAAACAACGAAGTCATGCCATCTTCACTTGTTCCTTTTAAGGAATCGACGTATACCCTTGATGTTTCCTCACCGGAAACCAAAACTTTTTCAACGAAGTACGGAACGTCTGCCTCGCTAGCTGGGATGGGTTCGTTGCTGCAGAATAGTGTAGTTTTGAGACGGTATACGGAATAAACCTCGAGGCTGCGAAGCCTCATCTTGATGTTTGCAATCATGCTGTCATCACCCTCTCTTTCTATTCTACAGTTCTCGTCGCGAATAAGTCTCGCTATGCCGTAAAAAAACTGCGGAGATGAAAGCCGGTATCTGAGATGGGTGATTGCAGTATTCGGTAGATTTTCAAGACTTGAAGTGATTTTTTCTTTGATAACAGTGGACAGCATTTTTGGCCTCAAAGACTTGGGTAACTTCATCACGAGCTCTTTGTAATTAATGCTTGTAGTACTGCAGGTCACTTTCATTTGGCGAAGGTCAAGAAAGAGGTTCTCTCGGAAATTGTGCAGTCGATCACGGATAGAAGGCGGGAGATCATTGAAAATTAGCTCCGAGGACTTGTGCAAATAGAGAGGTATTACATTGGCAGTGCCGTTCGTTCTCACGTTTGTGAGAGTCATTCCTGGTAAGTAGAGCTGAGAAATGTCTTTAACCTCTTCATTATTTCGCTGAACTTCATTAAAGAAACCTCTTACTGCTCTTTCACACACGTTAACTGCATTCGGGTCCAGTTTGGAACTGTGGCACCTCTTGTGCAGTAAGTCCAACACCATAGCATAATGACTCAGAGTGACAAATTCTGAGCAGCCAAGGTTCAGGAACAAAGGATGAAACTTACCAAATTCCTTGGGAATTCCATACAGGAACGGTCTTAATTCAAGGTGCTGGAAAAGCGCAAGGACTGCTTGACGAGGTAGAATGAATTTCTTGCCATTTTCGACCAAAATGCAGGGTGTATTTGCAAGTATTTTCCTTACGTCCCTCCCTCTGATACAGTTGCTATTCAAGAATGAGTAAATGCATCCCATTACTTTCATCAATGCGCAACGTCTTTCAGGGGAAGAAACTGTTCCCTCATTGCCTTTACCAACTTCTAAACATAAAGTTTTGCAATGAGCAACCACAAGGTCCACTGAAGGCTTTTCTTGAATCTGAAGTTGGGAGACAAATGAATCGTAGTGTCGCTTCATTTCAGCATCCGAAGTAAAGTTATGAGCAAAGTCATGAGAACGATGTCTTGGATTCGCCCACTTTGGAAGTAAATTGGCTTCTGTCCAAACAATTTCGGCATAATCGACTGGAACTGCCCCCTGGAAGGCGAAATGTGGAGCCTGACGACCAGTGAAACCCCCAAACGGCAAGCAAATTGCTTGGAGTCCTTCTCTGACTGGATCCCCGACTACAAAAGGGATGTTACAGATGTCTTGTAACAATCCTTCAACTAGTACGTCATCTCGGTTGATGAGATGATTGACCAATACTTGAGATTTCTTGCGAGTATTATCACTTGGGGCTGATGCAGCCTCCCGTGCAACTTCTGCAGCAAGCGCTCTAAAGCAATCTTTGGAAACGATGTGAATAAGACCTATTCGCCGTAAAAACGTCAGCCATTCCGGTGTGTCGAAAGGGTCCATTGGAAACAGACATTTTGGAAGCATAGCGCTAAAAAATTTTTTTTCAGGGTCAAAAAAACAGGATGCAGTCTTCAGACTTCCATCTGCAGAGGGAACTAGCGGAATATCTCTCAAACATTTCAACAATTTCTGCTTCTCTTCATCCTTTGCGTTTTCTAAGGTTTTTTTCCGGATGTATGTCAGGTGAGATTCTCTTCCTTCTTTACTAAGGACGGAAAAATTTGGCAACACAAAGATGCAATAGAAGTCAACAGTAGAGAAGAATTCCAGCGCGAGAAACTCGAAAAGCTCAGAAATACTTGTCTGAAATTCCAGAAAAACGATATCCAGCTCATTTTCCAGTACATCAATTTCGTCCCGTGGTATTTCAGTTGGTAGGACACAAATCTTCCGATCACTGAGTCTTATTAATCTACCTTGGGTTGCTGGATAAAAAGAAAGTCCCCTTAAGGTTTCCCTCTCGTTTTCTCCCAAGCGTTTCACACTTTTGCTAAAATATTCCAGGATGGTAATACATTCCGAAGTATTCAGTCTTCCCTTCAGTGACTGCGGCTCAAAATCCATCTTATCGTCGAGGGCAGTAAGAAGTGACGCAGGAGACTCCAAAGATGATACCAGCATGCGAGCAAGATAAATAGATTTTGAAGGCAAAAATAAATCTTCGCTGCTGGATGAAAGTGCACCTAAGTTAAGTTCAGGCAAGCCAACCTTTCGCAAGACATCAACAAGGTTAGAGCTTGAAGAATCTGCACTTCTGAAATCCAGGGCAGATGCCGCTCGCCTAAGAGGCAACAGATAATGTTTGGTGGGAGGAGGTGTCCTTTTGTGAGAGAAGGAAACCAATGGTTTATCTTCGTCTGTTAAATCTTTCACGATAACCGGAAGAATGCACCAGTTGAACAAAGGTTCGAGCATTTTTCGGATTTCTTGGATCTTTCTCTCTTCGTTCACTTCTACATTAGTGATAACATCCTCGACAAGCTCGGACAGAAAAATCCAGGCCTTGAATATCCATTTTCGGTTGGGTATCTCTCTCTGGTTTGGGTACCACTCAACAAATCTTCTACTTCCATATATGTCTATTGGTAGAGTCTGAGGTAGATTGGCGGCGAATGAGGTGGCATCCAGATGTTTGAGGGAAGTTAGTTTAACTTTGTCAGTGTCGTTAAAAACACAACGATAAAGAAGGTCGTGAAGGAAAATTTGCGAAGACCTTGGTAAAAGATCGCGGTATTGTGAGAGGAATTTGGGATGTTCACTCGAAAACAATTGGAGACGCTGGTCATGCGTAAGTAGGAGTGGAAGACCAGGTAAATCGTTCAGGAAACTGACATCACAGCGGCAATACAGCAACACGGTGGTTACTCCAACAGCACCGTTAAGTGATGTTTCCTGAACGTCGCAAGGAATTGGTCCAATCGTGCACAAACGATCGTCGCAATTAAAAGTTTTATAGAAATCAATTACCTTACGAGGAGAAATGCAGCAGGTCGCAACTCCAGCTCGCTGAAAAGAATCATGTAATGCCAACGAGAAGAAAACCAGGTTGAAACCACTGTCAAGTAAAATGTCCCTCAACAGCTTGCGTTGTTTTGCTTGATTCTCCTCTTTACGCTTCTTGGGCGATACCGCAAAGGGCCCTTTTTCTTCAAGATCGTCAAAAAATGCTTGATGCTTCCCAATACCTGTCGGTGGAAGCCAAGTAATCTCAGCAGCTGGGCTTTTTCCAGTGATCTTTGATGAACAATTGAGGGATCTCTTTCTAACCACGGGCAGAATCTTCAATTTCATCCGGTTCATTTTATAATAAACAGAATCAACCAGTGTCTTCCAATACTTATCAGTAGGTATTTGACGAGGAAAAAATGATTCGTACACTTTTATTTTGCTCAGGATTACACTTTCAGTTTCAGGGTTCGAGTCAGGGGTGGTGGACAGTTTGAGAAAATCCCGCACCTCAACCAACATCGTGATGTAGCATGACGAGACGACATCTTGCAACAAAAGATAATTCCAGTCACTCCGATATCCACCACGGTTCTCGTCATCTCTCCACAAACCTCTTCTTGCCGCGTGGTCTAACGCAAAGTGGCCATTAACGTGAACTGGGAGGTTTGTCTCAAGTGGAAGAGGTAGAAAACAGTAAGCTTTCTTTAGTCTTAGAGAAGAATAACTAGGTTTCTTCTCCAAAAGACAGGCGACACCGCCGCGAGGAAGCATTCCAAGTTCTCGCTTCGTAAAGGCATCAATGATACTTTCTTCTACATCTTTTTCAAAACCAATCTTTTGCACAATTCGCCACTTTTCCGCGTTGCCAGTAGTGTCTCTTATGTCCAAGACGTAGGAAACCTTTTTTACCGGTATCTTTCTTGGATCAATTCCCTCTCCCTCTTTGGATAACTTTGAAATCTGTTTGATGTGATCAGCAAATGCTTTTCTTTTGGCCTCATCTTTTTTTGACATCTGTGCCTCAACTGTATAGGAATTCACTAGATTTTTACTTGCTTCATCAACCTCACAAATGGTTATCTTCCTGACGTTGTTCACAAAGAGCAGAATCTCAAACATTTCTTTTTTAAGCCCTTCCATCATAACATCAAGTTCTTTGATTGACACAGAGTTTGAAGAAATTTCCGATTCGCGAGCCATGTCTTTGGTCCTTAGCGGGAATCTGAACATGGTTGCGTTGTCAATCTTAAAGTGATCTAACAAGTAGCAAGGAAATACATCAGGGAACTTCTTACTTAGGGTGGCTGTATCGTTGAACCTACCCCCTGGCTCTGAAGGAGTGGCGCCCGGAACATACTTGCAATGTGGGTCAAATACACACAGAACATCGCTAATCTCCTTTCCCTGGGACATAAAGGACGGCACATCAGTCAGGTGGTAAACAGCATTGAAGCCCACCCCGTACTGGCCTGTTTTGTTTGGATCTTCACCCTTAGTACCCTCTCCGAGATTCTGAATGCCTTGAAGATCAGAATTGGTGAAAGGCTTGTTGTTATACACACATAAAGCGGGGCCCTGTAGAGGTTTCCAACAATCCCCAAACACCTTTTCATCTGGATGGTGTCTTGGGTCCTTTATAAAACAAATCTCGGTTGCCTCTGCGTCGTCTGCATTTTGAAGAAGTTCTTTCAAAATTTCTCTTTCGCAAGGGTAACACCGAAGTATGCGTTTCAGGCGATTTGTAAGTTTCTCTTTCTGTCCAAACGACATTCTAACCATGTGGTACCGCAGAGCTTCATCTCTTCGAGTTTTTACACCGATAAGCTCACAAGTTGGCCAAGGAATTTTTGCATGAACAAAATGCACTCCTTCTTCGTCAGGCATCCATGGACAATCCTTAATGCAAAGCTCGGATATTGCCCTCATTACTCCCGATGAGTCAGGAAGGTAAATGGTTCCTAGCTCTTTTCGCGATGAAGCAGGGTCACTTCTACTTGCTTGTAGTCTCTCTCCAAGTTGATCTGCCAGACGTGCTGCTACTTTAAGGTTTTTCTCGTCCAGTTCGTTTTCAGGAAATAACTCCTTGATCTGCCTTAAAGCTAAAATAAAGTCTTTCTCGTCAAAACATTCTTTGACACCGGAGACTCTCAGTAGCTTGGGAAAGTCTTCTGCCAGCCGTTTTGGAAGCTGGTAAAGATATGGTGCACAGTCATCGTTGAGATTAAAAGCCACCTGACTTGGGTAAAGAAACTCTCTTTCATACAAAATAAATTTCTCGTTTTGTGGAATATCTTTGATGGTTGCACCCTCACTGATGTCCCTTTCTAGGTAGGAGTAGACTGCTCTACATACTGAGTTAATTTCTTCGATTGCCTTGGCGTTTGACGACTCAACTTCGGAACACATCGCTACCTTCAGTTGCAAGATAACATGGTTTAGCTTTGCTTCTTTTTCGCTAAGCTTTAGAAACTCTTTAACACCTCGAGAGATAGACAACCCGATGAGCGGTTTTATGCTACACAAGCGATACTTTTCACTTTCCAGAAACACATCTTTTGGAGCGAAGAGCACATTTTCATCATATTCATCGGCCTTCCAAGGTAAAGGAAAGTTAACTGGTTTACTAAGAGCAGGAAGAAATTGAGCCTCCAGTATTCTTTGTCTTGTGATGTCTAAAGAGCTTTCGTCTTTGCGCTCAATCTTCCTCTGTAGAAAATTAACAAATTCAATCGCTCTCTCCTTCGCTGCTTCACTGTTTATAGTGTTTAGTCTATTGATACTTTCAGCTCTTTCTGCCATTTCCTGCCAAGGAAGATAATCGGATGCCATTCCCAAAAGCTCAAGCTTTGCAAGTCGTCCAGGATTCAGAAAGGTCTCTGCATTTCCACATGGAAATCTGCCATCCTCAGGACGAAAGAGCCGAGCAGCGTCTTTGCCTGGGTGAATGAGCTCAGAAGGACGTCTAAGAGAGTTTCCAAGTGGAGATGCCGGAATACAAGAATAAGCTTTGACCAAATCATCACAGCTGTTATCCATGGCATGCAAGACAAGTTTATCTCTCATCTCTGAAGGAACTGCGGCGATATTCGGGAAAAAGACCTGACGAAAAAATTTATTTTTGTCGTAGATCTTTGAGTTAATAACCTCCCCACTTCCACAGCTTTGGAAGGAATTCACGACAGACAAAGGGACATCAATAACCACTGCGCGTTTGCTCATTAAAAGCTGGAAAACTTTGAATGAAGTATTGCCAATGAAAGGATCGTTTCGGAGAACTGGATGAAGAAGTACCACCTCATTGACAGTAAACCAGTTCTCTCCATCAGAAAACAAAGCGTGAGTTCCAGTGGATATTTGCATGTAAAATGACTGCATGAGGTGTCGGAGGTTTGGGAATACTTTATCGGCTTTCGGCCACAAAGAATGGAACCTATAAGATCCGTCAGTGGGAGCAATTGACCTTACATCTTCTAGGAGGCACAAATAAGCTGAGCAAATTGAATCCACCGTCAGCGCTTTGTTCCAGTCAACCCCATAGCAATCTTTGTCGCCTTCGAGTTTTTCTTGTAAATGGCGTCTGTTCGCAGCTAATGCAAAAGCCCCATTTATATGTACTGGAAGCCCACTGTGGATAGGAAGAGGAAGGTAGCAGAAAAGAGTCCCATTGACATCAATTCCATTATCATTCTTAAAAACAGGCACAGGCACAAATTTGTCGGCGCCGCTTGTAGCCAGCTGCACAGCCACCCCTCCTGATGGAAGAAGGCTAAAATCATTCTCAGCAAACTTCAGTGCACGTCCGTCTCCCATGGAGGAGACTACAAGCCAGGTTGTACATTCGGGATGAATGGTTGCTACATCAGGTTTAAAGAAACGTAGACCGCATTCCGTGAAGACGCAGTGGACGTTAACCTTCATAGAGGACTTTGTCAGTTTAAATACCTGTCCCATTCTAAATGCTCGAACAACTCGTGATGATGCTTGGAGGAAACTGCATTGCTTCAAAAAATTCTGGTCATCGAAGTTCAAAATGTTCGTGGTGGGAGGAAGGGAAACAGGGGCGGACAAGGCTCTTACTATTCCATCCTGAGACAATGATTTGGTGATCTTGAACGTCAATTTGACTGTTTCGTCTTGAACTTCGGGTGTGTTCAAAGAAAAAATGCTCACGCGGAGGACGTTCTGTGTGAAGAGAAGTAAGGTTTCGGCTCCTTTAATTAGCGTAAGCAGTAATTCTCGCATTTGCGAGACGTCATACGCCAGCTTCTTTATCTCACTTTTCAAAGCCTGCTCACTTGTTCTCAACGGAAATCGAAACAGAGTACCATTGAAAGAGTTGTCCTCTTTTTGGAGATTTAAATCGCAGCCAAATATACCATTGAATGGTTTGAACTGGTTTTTAAATTTACGAAGCCTGGTCACATCTTTGTTGACATTGATCTTCATTCCAGGCTTCGTTTTGTTCTTTAGAGCCTTCCCGAGATACGACGTATGTGGATCAAAAATGACAAAGCTGTTTCTGCTTATGAACATGGGAACATCTGTTAAATTGTATACTGCATTGAAGCCCAGTCCAAACCTGCCAATCTTTTCGGTGTCGTGCTGTTTCGTTGCTTCGTTCAATTTTGTAATGTTCTCAAAGTCTTCCTCCTTAAATGTGGCATCATTGTAAACCCACAACGCGGGGCCTTGGCAACCTTTCATTCCCTCGTCAATCAGACAAGTCATTGCTTCCTCATTCGTTCTCTCGTCATACATAAATTTTACTTCTGTGGCGCCAGCATCGTCGGCGTTTTGAATTAGTTCTTTCAGAACTGAAAAGCCATCCGTGTACTCTTCGAGTAGGCGATTGAGTCGGGTGGTAAGTTTTTCTCCTTGTCCAAACTCTTCTCCAATGGCCAGCTCATCAGCATCAAGCAGTCGGTTTGTTATACTTGGCACACCAAGACGCTCAGCGGTTACATTTGGGACATTTGGGTGTACGTAAAAGTAGTCGATTTCTTCGTTATCATTTTGTTCTCCATACATGCAACTGTCTACAGGCTGAAGGCTGACATATGAGTTGTCTTCTTGATAAGTTGGGATCAGGATGTCTCCTTGAAGCGCCTCGGGTAACTCCCCACTTGCCAACTCATTCAGGATATTGACGGATAACTGAAGGTCGTGTTTAACTTCTGAAGGGCTCATGACACTTCCGCCGTCGTGTTTCGCCTTGATCATCCTTAGGACCTTTACCAGAACAGATAGATCGCATTCCTTCTGCATACCAAGGTAATTAAAAAGACGACAGTGGTGCCGCAATTCCAGAGGAAGACAATGTATGTAAGGTGTGAGATCAATCGATGGCCTTGTAGCAAGTAAGTGAATTGGTAAGGAAAATCCATCTCCATTCCATACCCAAGGAAAGACGTTAGTGGCATCAAATGCCTCATCCACATCATGGTGGTGCTCACCAAGAAACCTGTATATTTCGTCGAGCATCACAATGAAGTACGGTTTTTGCTCTTGCGAGTAGCACTTCACCGCAGTTTCTAAATGCTGAACTACTTGGCTTATAGGGGGTTCATCTTGCCAGCCGAAAAACTGACCGATCGATTCGGTTTTATCCACGTCAACAACAGGCATTACAGTTCCAATAAGGTTTGCAAATTGGTGACTCTTTAATTCAACAGGCTTGAAAAATCTTCTATTTTCTTCTTCTTCTGTTTTCCAATATGGAAGGCTGGGAGGGTAATCATAGGGTCGCTGTTCTTGTCTTGAAACCCAAGGAATAGTTCTCAGTAGAATCCCCAATGGTTCTCCGCTAACCAGGTCCAGCATCTTTTGAGGATCCTCGTGGAGAAAGCGCAGGATTATTTCAGATTTATCCTTTAATGACGGAAGGTTGGGAAACTTACTTATCATCTTTGCACTTTGATAGAGGTCGGTCACGGTGACGTCATCCTCGCCTTTCATTCCCAGTTCTTCAAGAACCACAAGTACTGAAGGGCTACCGTATGTGGAGGAAGGGAAAACATCCTCATGGACGAACAGAGTTTTAACGATGGCGTTTCTAGGGTCAAAGAGCTCACAAGGCCTTGCTCGACCTTTCTGCCTGGAAACGAAAGCTAAGTCCTGCAAATTCATCTTGAAACAAGCATTCTTTCGAATAGTACTTGGATAACGATCCAACACATGCTCCATCAGCTTGTCAATTTGTTTTTCCGAGTAGCATCTCCGCTTGATATCTGGAAATACAACCTGACAAAGCAGTTCGACGGGCGTTAGAATCTTAACTCCTAGGAGACATGCAAACGCCATTGAATCCTTTTGAGAAACATCAACGAGGTCTCTTCTCAGTGTTATTGGAAGGGGCTCAGGGGGTGCAGCACACAGACCATCCTTTGCTGACACGAATTTCTTCGCCAAAGTCTCAAAAATTGGTAGGGAGCGCAGAAAATCGTACGCTACTGGACCCAAATGCGTGTCTCCGACGCTGACCAAGAATGATCTCAGGACTTGTTTTTCCCTGGTAGAAAGTTCTGAACGTACAATTTCGGAAAGTTTTCCGTTAGTCATCATACTTGAGGAAACCACCATTGCTTTCAAAACACCGTCAACGAATGGCGGATATACAAACCTTCCTAAAACGGCTGGATGGTGGCCAATGAATGAGGGATAGTCAGTCATGATAAGCACACCAAGCTTGACGAGAATATCTGAGACATCATCGTCTAGGCAATGACCATAAAAGTGTTTGACTACTATTCTGGAAGGCTCACAAAGTCGTGCCAAGGTGACTGGTGTCTTTGACATGCTTAGCGGAATCAGCGGAAGTTTACCGAGACTAAGAACATCGCCTGCATCGGCCAAAACAAATTGCAGATATCTCCACACGACCCTGATCCACTCTATGGGTGGATGCTTATGGTTTCGATCATCAGGATACCACAAGACGGTGTTTCCCTTCCTCCACTCGAACGGTAATGCTTGTGGAAGAAGGGATTTTACATCATCTTTTCGGAGTATCCGCAACTGTGTGAATCCTGAAAGAAAGTTGAACGTATAAGATTGACTGCATCCTTTGTGAAAAACCAACCAAAACGGAATTGGGCACACAATATAAAAAAATTTGTATAATTGCAAAGAAAATAATAAAACTAGGCTTAACGTCTGACGCGCAATATGTACATGTTTGTTCGCTGACTTTTGCCTGACAGGGGCAGCTGCTACAGATTTTTTTAGTTCGGAAACCATGCCAGAGGAATCGATAGTCTTAATTCAATAATTATCAAATGAGAAAGTAGTTTCACCTTGCTTTCCAACAGATACAAGCCTCTGAGTGATTGTCTCATCGATCGTCTCATCCAGGAAACGATCTTCTAGTCCAGGAAAAAGTTCTCGAGGATGTTCCACTGAGCAGATATACACGGGTTTCGATTGACTGGTGAATTTGATGAATTTCCCATCAGAGAGGGGCAAGAGCTCCAAATCAAAAAGCGAGTCAAATTTGCCATCTTCAAGACAAAAATCAAGCAGCAAAAGCTTTTCATGCCTGTTAAGGTTCTTGTAACATGACGGAATTTCCTTCATGCTCGATCTTACGAGGCTGGGATTGACTTCCTTGACAGAGGTATAGCAAGTTATAGCCCTTATAACGTGTTTTGGTACAAAAACAACGGGCACATTAGCAGCCAGCAACACTCGAAGAAGCACTTCTTTAGTTTCACTTTGATCGAGCTGGTCGAAAACCGCTTCTCTCACTGTAATCCAGCGTCCAGAACCTGCATCTGTGTAAACAGCATTGTGCTCTAAAAGTGTACTGAAAAAAGGATCGATGAGCTTCTTCCACATCGGGTCAATGCAAATAATGTTTGGCCACGCACTGCAAAACAACAACCAAGGTATCTTGATCACATTCTTTAATTTAAAACGGTAAAGTTGTCGCTGTAAAACATATCAAACTTTAATCTCTTGGAGACTGATATGAAAGATATTACAACTTACTTGTAAATTGATGCTCTTGATATAGAACAAGAGTCCCATTTTATAGCTTGCAAAATCAGGGTGGCATATGCCTCGGGTGTAGCCTCCTCTATGAGACAGTTATTCCACAACAGTGACTTGTCTGTCAGTTTCCTCCAAACCATCCTTTCTCGATCTTCTTGACCTGCATTTGGAGACTTAATATAACGCCTGTTCTGACTCAAAGCAAAGAAGCCATTTATGTGTACTGGCAGACCTGTCAGGCTCCTCATCGGAACTGGTAATGGCAAAAAACAAAACGCTTGGCCTTTGATATCTGGCGTCTGTATTTCAGGATTATTAGGCAATGGCATGGCAACACCCACTATGGGTAGAAAGTTTAGCTCTTTATCTGTCATCAACCGTTTGAAGTTCGATGAAACTTTTCCTCCACAAAAGTAGTTGGTGACAAGAAAGGAGTACTGCTGCAGAAGGTTCGTTTCGTGAGATGTACCGAACTTGATTGTCTCTATGGTGACTGGATACGTCACTGCAACAGAGTGGGGCATCAATTTCCCGGGCCTAATCTTTCCAAGGAACTCCTTCCTCTTACAGCGAACTAATTCCAAGTCTTTGGCGGCAACTCTAACCTGAAAGGTTCTTCTGGGACTAGCCTGTAACTCTTCTCGAACATAGAGTTCAATTGATTCTAAGTGTTGAAGAAAGAGAAGAACCAAGTGGGCATCAGCTTCAAAACTTTCAAACAAAGTGTCCATTTTCTCCTCGGTGTACAGTGTATTCGATAGATCAGAGGGTGTGGTCCTCAGGGGGAAACGGAACAGGGTACCATCGTAATAACCGTTAGAAAATACTTCTTCCTTACAGTCAAAGATTCCTTTGAAAGGAAGGAACTGATCGGGTATTTTTTTCATCTCAGCACAGTCTCCGTCAAGTCTCCAACATCTACCGATTCTTCTATTCCGTTTATCAGAAAAGTAAATTCCATGAGGGTCAATAAATCCAATTTTTTCAGCACTGAGTACACTTGGTAAATCTTTAAGAAAAGCGAAACTAGATATCAGCTGTTAATTTTTAATACCGTGTATATTGCCATTTAATTTATTCCAATATATCAGAGATGTTAAAAATGTACAAGGTGGATCTTGAAGAAAATGAAATAATAATTTGAATGTAAAATTAGTGTCAATTATACAAGGCGCATCTTGGGCAACCTTATCAATAACAGTTATAACTGGTAATTTCTTATTAGAGTGTTCACAGTAGCGTAGAAAGACTCCATTACAGGATACAATAACTTTCAATATTTGAAATATAAGTAATTAAGCTAGCAGGAAACCGAATAGAGTGAAATACCATGGCAGAGATGTCCTGGCTATTTTGATGATACATGCACATAAGGACCCACTGTGACTTACCTGTTATATGCAGCACAGACTTAAAACCCAAGCCGAATCGACCAACTTTCATGGGTTCTTCCACTTTGATACTATCGCTAACAAGTCTTATTCCTTTCCAGTCTTCTTTCCTAAACGTTGCGTCGTTGTAGGAGAAAAGTGCTGGACCCTACGACGAAAACCGTGAATGAAGAGAGATAAGAACTCAAACTTGGCAGCAATGTAGATACAAAGGGGGCATGTTTATTGGTTCAGAGGATTCCTGGTCAAACGGTTTGGGTTTCTAGACCTGTACGAGTATATATGTTTTTTTTTTCTGAAAAAACGCTTCACTTTTACCGTAACTCTCTCCACTTCCGAATCTAAATGAGGACAGGCAATATTCCTGGTTGCTACCGCGGGAACGAACATTTCAATTCCAATAATCTCCTTCGGCAGACAGATCGTTAATGTCTATCCAGGATAGTTTTACGGATAAACCCCTTTGACAAAAGTAGTAGCTACTCGATCTTGTTTTAAACTCTCAAACAAGTTTTTGTCTACTGTTGTAAAACATGAAATCGGCTTCAAATAGTTTTAAGGTCAATAAGATAGTTTTTTTTATAAACTCGTATTTACAAAGAGTCAGTTATCACCTGAAATTGTGCAAGCTCCTCATCAAATAGATGTTCAGTTCCATAACTGTTTTTGTCATGCAAAAACTTTACGTGTCTGGCATTTGCATCTTCCGCGTTTTGAATGAGTTCCTGGGGGAAACAGCAATTTAAAATTGTGTCATGCGGGACCAACATCGACGGAAAGTGTGTAATCTTCAGATGAAACAGAAAATAAAAGAATAAAAGTGGAAATGGGGAGTAAATATCCATCACTTTCAACCACACCGAGGTGAAAAGTTGTCTAAGTATATACTAATACCATACAGAAACCAAAAATTAGTTTTATTTCTGTCAGTCTACCAATAGACATATGGTCAGAAATAAATAAACTAATATACATATACATATATATATATATATATATATATATATATATATATATATATATATATACACATACATATATACACACACCCGTTTTCAAAAACGTTGCAATTTGAAAAATTATGAAAAAATATACACCTTTTGTTTCCTAATCAAAGTGTCTCTTTTTGATGAGAAAACAAAATATATATGTGTATTTATAAAATGATTCAAATAGTACGCAGGCTCTGATTGGCCATAAAACCATTTTACATGAGCGTATGTAAACACGGTTTTCGTTCCTCTTTCATTAGTTATTTTATAAAAGAAATGTAAAATGGTTTCCGTGTTTACTCGATAAGGTGGAAACCACGACGCGAAGCGGAGTGGTTTCCTACGCTTATCTCGTGTTCTCCCAACCTCCCGCGTGTTTACATCAGGCTATGTAAACACTGAAACCATTTTACATTTCTTCAATATTTCATTTTAGTTATTTTTTTTCAAATTGCAACGTTTTTGCAAACGGGTGCATATGTATATATACATATATGTATATATATATATATATATATATATATATATATATATATATATATATATATATATATATATGTATGTATACATATAGGTATTTGTATATATAGCTATGTGCCTGTGTGTGTGCTTTCTTCACCTTTAATATCTGTCCATCATCTGGATACTGATCTAGAATGGTCCTCAACTGTTGGATCAGCGATGGTTGAATCAAGTTGAAGTCACCATCATCATCTGACGAGCAACCAACAACGAGAATACATAAATGGAACACCTTCAGCCTCCTGATCGTCCCAATCTTATCAGAAGGATGTCGACAAGGCTTTCAGACCACGTCTAGGTGGTGTTTAACCTTTTTGTTTTAAATTTCGGGATTTTTTTTATGAACTCAGAAGGTCTGTCTCACCCAAGAGCTTCTTACAGGTGATATTTTATATAAATATGTACCTACCCATCTTTACCACTTCAGCCTCTTACACTTTCAGTACATTTTCTGAGGAGAAAGTAGAGACAATAACTAAGTATGTACCAAAACGTATGTCTAGCAAACAATGTTCAAACATTGATCATGTGTGGGAACTTTCCTTTCAATGTCCTACAATATGTTCTAGATCGTTTGCTTCGGTAGGAACCCGAGAACAACACAAATTTAAAATGCACCAGTACTATCTATAACTCAGTTCGATGAGCTTGATCTTTAACAGTACTTGTTATCCATGGTCAAGTAAGGCTATCCCAAGGTTAAGCTAATGCACAGGTATGCTGCAAGAAGGTCAAACAAGTTTTACTATCCAAAACGTCCATTAGAAAGATGATCGAACCTGTGCATTGCAGACTTGTACACAGCATCAAAATGTTACAGATTCAATCAACAAGGCTTGTCTGACCTTCTTCAAACTGTTCCGTTTTATATTTTCCAAATTAGTAGAATATTGTGGCCAAGAATATTGTGGTCAATCGTTCTGAAGAGAAAGAACATCGATAATAATATAACCTGCAACGGCTTCATCCAACTTTTGATAGATCTGAAAAAAAAAACATACAAACAAACCAACTTAGTTCAGAATTTAAGAATTCAAATTGAAATATCTTGTGCAACACTTGAGAGCTCAGTAAAAAAAACAAGTGAGAATTTTCATATGTGAAAGTGAAGTACACACAATATTCTTTGACGACAGTCATTTAAATAAATTATTTGCAGACGCAAACCAGAATATGTTTAGATTCTTTCAGCGAACGGTAGGTGCTTCCAAAGAACTTCACACCAATTGATAGGAATTTCTAACTAATGCTAAGTAGCAGATCATCACCATAGCATTCTATAGCTACCTTAAGAAGATACTTGAAAAGCGATAAGAACCTGGCTCAAAGGATATTGAAGGAGCCAGAAACATACGCGGCTTTTGTTGAAAAGAAAACTCTGGGAACTCTACGTTATTTGCATTGCTGAATTTTATCAATTATTTAGTCTATATTGTTATAACTTCTTAACTTATCTAATGAAGCATTTCGGTTTTGAAATATGTCGTGTCTAGCCAAGAGAAGATAGAAATTTTTGATAACTTGTAGTATTCAGGGATTCAGCTGCAATTTCCAACGGGTAATTTAATAAAGAAGGAGCTGAGGAATCAACCAAAATAATTAATTATTTAATCCTTAGGCAAACATGAGACAATGACGAAAGTAATACTATTTATTCAATCTTAAGAGGACATCCGTGCAAAAATCAAACAAAAATGAAATTTTTATAGCAAGGGTTGAAAACTCAAATTGTCTCAATTTTTGCACACAAGTAGACCCTAATAAGACAAGAAAGGCTGTGTATTTTTTTTCCTCAAATGTATTTTGACTTTCGAGAAAAACGAACTTTTCGCTTTCACCCTCCGGAATCGATGAATCGGATCATAACAGGTCGAAAATTGAACACTTTCGCTCGCTTCGCATTTCAAAGATATTACGTCTAGGGAAATATAACCAACGTGAGCTCTTTTATAGACTCTTCGTCTTCTGTAAAATGTAAGTTATGTAGAAATTGGTTGCTTAGAAGCTTTTGGCCATGCGAAAAAGCAATGTGCTCTCTTCCGTTACAAAAAAATGTCGGTGAAGAAAACCTCTTTGTTCACCATGTGCCATTATTCAGAATTCCACAAAATTACGTATGTAAATTTCTGAAGGAATGATCTTCAAAATGACGTAAAGTTTTCTTTGGGAAAATGTTTTCTTGCGACGCAGGAAACTCTTCTAAGTAGCGCACGGAAGACATAAAATCACGCAATATGTTGATTGCGTGACCAAAGAGTTAAGGAGCATTCCTGCCTTCGAAATGACTTCGGATTGAACAGTAGAACTTTTTCAGAAACAAATGACATAGCCATAACCAGTTTTGTCAAATTACTTTGCCCTTTATCATTTGAAGTTTGTTTCTACAGACATGTTCCGCCATCGTTCTGTCTGGTACGATTATGCACCAGTGCCAGTGACGGATACGATTAAAAACTTTGCTGTTCTCTTGCATACGAATCTTAAGTTTCTGCCCATTGTTTAACTTTCTCTATGTGCTTACCCGTGCCTATTAACTAGCACTCGATAAAAACCAAAAGAGTTTTCAAAGGGAGGTTTTTGCAAGAATTAAGTGGACTAAGTGAGGGCTTGCATGACCTAATTAGCATAATTGCAGTTATGGTCGCTCGACGGTCATTTTCTAAAATAAGCACAATTACGTAAAAAAGAAAAAGCAAGTCTAAATATCTATTTGGCTCTGATTTTGCCTTTATTTTTACCCAAGTTGATTTTTTCTGCTGGAGTGAAAACACTTTTTAATTACCGCAATGTCTGTTCGCTTTGTGACGTACAGGCAAGACAATTAAATTTACAAAACTTAATTAACCGCGAAAGAGTCAATATCGCTTGTCTTAACTGTCACTGCTCTTAACAGCAAATAACCTTTTCGGCGCTTCTAACAAATTTCAGCAATTTAAGAAACTCAGAGCAGTTAAATAGCTGCTCGCCGTTTTCGTCTTTCTCAGACCTCATTAATCTTGAGACACTTGCAGCATGTGCCTTTTGTCCCGTTTGTTCTCCAGTCTCAAACTTGGCTATCAAGTAGTCCTTTTGTTTATCAGTGAAACGGGATTGCGAGAACGACTCTGCTTTAGGGCCTATCCCATTTCAAGAAAAGCTACAGACGATGACGGGTGGATTCCGTGTCCAGCAGTTGCGGCACAGCACTCGGTCCCTTCTCCAGTCTAAAGGCATACCCAAGCACGGCGCGGTCATAAAGAGTTTCATATTCAAGAACATATTTGTGTCTCCCACATTCGAGATGCTTCTGTTAAGACGAATGGCGTTGATAGGACTTAATGCAACCCTCTTCCGAGCAGAAAAAAATATTTTAGTTGTGGAATCGCGCGATTCTTCACTTGAATCATCGGTACCTTCATCAGTGCTGTCTTAATGCTTTTGAGATGTTTTAGCAAACTCAGTTCGTCTCGGCTTGATAGGAACAAAATTAGCTTTTATGTTTTCGCTTGCTGCACTGCATTCAAGTGTTGAAACTTCGTCCTGGTCAGGAACATGAAACTTGCTCCAAGGAATGAATTTTGTAGCCGGATCTCCATACTCTCACACCTTCCTCGCCATACTGAACGTTGTTGACAAAGCTCACAACATCCCATTTCACTGGCTTTTTGATGGAAGACAAAGGAGGCCTGCACAACACTGCTTCTACTCCAGGGACACCCCAAATGATTCTATTGCCTCCTGCATTTGAGATAACGACTCTATATCGTGGCCTGAATTCAAATGGATGGACATATGGGATTTGATCTTTGCAGCTTTCCGATCGCAAGATCCCTTCCCTCCTTGGGGATCTGAAAAATCCATTCTGCGTAGGAAGAGATTGTTTTGCTCTGCTACTTTGCTGGCTGTAACCAGGGTTAAAGCGCAGTGGTAATACCCGGCGTTGTCTTGTCTAAGATAAATGGATTGTAAATGGGCATGACATCCTTCAGTCGACGAAAGACGTCGTTAAGTATGGCAAGAACTGCAGAACTGTCCTGGTTACACGTCTCAAATAAGTGTACAGATGTCATCATCTCAATCTTGCCATCATTTCCCTTTCTCGTCGCAACCGTGATATGCCATGGCAGATCTCTCCAACCAAACCAGTCTGTTTGGCTCTCCCTAAATTTCTTTGGTAGATATTTCATTGCCCGGTCTAAGACCAGCAAGGCAGAAGTTTCATCTAGCTCATCGATGACGTCTGGTCTGGACTCGTCCTGGTTTGTTGAACGCAGTTAATGCGCTTTCCAGGAATTTATGCTTTGTTTGGACTGTAAAGTCACAAAAGCCAAATCCTCTTTCGTATCGGTTGTGCCTCCCACTTCCTGTACAGCTCTCTCGATTTCTAGAGAGATCAGGGCTGACATCCCTACAATCATTTGGAATTCTGAAGGTATTCTGGCTCCATCGCCAAGCTCAGAACGGTGGAAAGGACAGATTGTTAAGGCGTTTATATCCTTTGCACTCATGTAAAAAATACCTGCTCGGTCACTCTCGTTCTTAACTCCGACAAAACACCAAGCACTTTTATGACCCTGTACATCCTTATTGCACGACACCAAGGGGACCACCTCAAATAATTTACTCCTGTCTTGTCGGTCGTACGAGCAAGCACTTCCAACCATAAACTTGAATGAGCTAGAAGCTTCCATTTCATTCACAAGCGAGACCTTCGATTTAAAGGGGGCGGGAAATAATTCTTTTTCTTAGTTTCACTTGTTTATTAAGTTTTGTTAATTCAATTAATTGTCTCGCTTTTAAGTAGAAAAGTCAACAAACATCATAGTTTTACTCACGCAGAAAAAAAATAACACGAGTACAAATTTAGGAAAACTCAGAGCTTAATGGATATCTAGACACATTATTTCTTTTCCTCGTATTTGCGCCTATTCAAATGACGTCGACCGACTCCACTTGTAGGTCCAAATTATTCTGTCACACGAGCACGACGACTCGTACCGCAATTAAGCAAATTAGGTCATGCAAGCCCTCGCTTAACTCCTGCAAGGGCCACAGTAAGGTAACATTTTGTGGATTTTCGTTTTCTATAGGCTAGTTAAAAGGCACGGGTTAGCAAGTCAAACAAGGGGCAGAAACTTAAGATTCGTATGCGAGAGAACAGCAAAGTTTTTTAATCGAATACCGTTGCTGGCACTAGTGCATAATCATACTAGACAGAACGATGGCACAATATCTCTGCAGAAACAAACTTCAAATGATAATAGACAAATTAATTTAACAAAACTGGGTATAAATTTGTTATTTGTTTCTGAAAACGTTCTCCTGTACGATTTTGAGTAATTTCTAATGCAGGAATGCTCTTTGGTCACGCAATCAACATGTGGCGCGATTTTGTGTCTTCCGTGTGCTACTTTGAAGAGTTTTCTGCGTCGCGAGAAAACATTTGCCCAAAGGAAACTTTACGTCATCTTGAAGATCATTCCTTCGGCAATTTACACACGTAATTTTGTGGAATTCTGAATAATGGCACATGGTGAATAAAGAGGTTTTCTTCACCGACATTTTTTTGTAACGGAAGGGAGCGCATTGTTTTTTTACATGGCTAAAAGCTTCTAAGCAACCAATTCCTACACAACTTACATTATACAGAAGAAAAAGAGTCTATGAAAGAGCTCACGTTGGTTAGATTTCCCAAGACGTAATATCTTTCAAATGCGAAGCGAGCGAAAGTGTTCAATTTTCGACCTGTTATGACCCGATCCATCGATTCCAGAGGGTGAAAGCGAAAAGTTCCTTTTTTCTCGAAAATAACAACATATTTGAGGGAAAAAAATACACAGTCTTTCTTGTCTTACTAAGGACTACTTGTGTGCAAAAATTGAGACAATTTGATTTTTTGACCCTTGCCATAAAAATTTCATTTTTGTTTGATTTTTGCACGGATGTCCTCTTAACACAAAAGATGTATACGGTTTCATATTGCAGGCATTAGGAGAGCCCGCATTCAAAGAAACCAATTTAGATCATAGCATGCATCACATCCCTTTTTTACTCTTACTCCCTGCGTGTTAAGTTCCTTTCATTAATAAAACTGTAATAACTTTTTCGGATTTGTTTAAATCTATTCTTATGACACGAAAATTATTTTAACCCAGCTTATCAACGACAAAAATAAATACATCCGGCTTTCCATGAATTATCAAAAATTCTTGCCTTTCTTTAGAGGCAAAGTTCCCGTCGGTTAGATTCATTCAATAAAATCAAATGTACTTGCAAACCAAAACCTAATACAATGACACAATGACATGAAAAATTAAAAAAGCAATGTTTTTAAACTACACCAGCAGGAAAATCAGCAGAAATCCAGAGTGTTTTGATACATCACACAGTGTATTATTTATATCATACTTTTTATTTTATTATACCATTTAAGATAAAGAATTTTCTTTATCTCTCCATGATCATATGAAAGTTAAGCAGGTTAGTCTCTCATATTTGCATGCGGTGAGTATTTAAAATTCAGAGCAGGCGTAATTTTGGCGAGTGGGTGCTCAGTGGGTGGTTTTCTTAGCGGAAATTAAAGCATTAAATTCGGAACAAAAAGAAGCAATTTCTATACCGGTTCTGGGAAGGATCTACTGGCCGTGTCGCCAACTGACTTAGGAAAAAGCGTGATACTTCAGGTGTTGGTTCGTATGAAAGAAATTATTACGAGGAAACCTTTGAGTGTAGTTGTCGTTTGTCCGCCTTAAGGCATTGTTTATAACCAAATGGAATAGGCGTCTTCGATCAGTTATAGAATGCGACAAATATCAACTCGTATTTGCATAAGCAGAGAACGCTTTCGTGGAGCCATTTTTTTCCTTGATGAAAAAAACGCCACACCGTTTCGCCAGAAAATGCCGGTTTGCATCAAACAAATTATGGCGTGTAAACCTTCGAGTGCAGCTGTTTGTGCTTCAAAGTATCGTTTATGATCAAATGGAAGAAAAATCGTCAAATAGACTAACGGCAACTTTACTCAAGAATTGTCGTTTGGAAAGTATAGAGTGCAGCAAATATCAGTTCATATTTGTGACCGCAGCTCTACGTGTGTTGATTTTGCTGAAAGACAATGCTTTCGGTTGCCCATTTCCGGAAATACATTGACGCGTAATTAATCCGGAGTTGTTTTGCTGCGCTGCAGGCTATTTCAAAAGTTGCTGCTTCAGCTTTAAAGCTGTTCCATACTAGCTATAACATCTTCTTAGAACGTAACCCAAATTCCGAGAAAACTGTCGAATGGTATTTAGTTGCGTCATAGCATTTCTTTACTGATCACTTTTTACCACAAAAAAGTACGACATCAGCACCTTGACGTGGTTTCTCTCTGTTCACGTTATGAAATGGTGGCGGTTCGCAACTCGCGCCAAGAAATTGTCTCAGCGAGCGGTGTCGATGGTCGGCGAATTGCAACGAAAACTGATCGCATGAAGGGAGTTTTAACTCACAACCTGGCTATGATGAACTTTTCTAAGTGACCGTGATGATCACGTGAAAATTTGGATACAGTCGTCATCTCTCAAATTTTGCATCTTTCATTAGTTGCTGAGCAGTATTACCTCAACAGTCAGCGGTGGGATTTCACTTGACTGAGAATATCAACTTCCTCGTTGGCTGGAGGTTACAGAAACCACCACGTTTCTGTTCATTCAGAATTTATTCTTAGGCGGTAGATTTATGCAAATATTTTTATCATGGTTCACTAAAAAAAGGAAAGATCGCAGCAAATTTACATTATTTTATGAGGCAACAGCCGATCTTTCGCAACTTGAAAGATACTTCTCGAATTCCGCAATGGTGGTCCCAAATTTTATCGTTAGCAGAGCATGTTTCAAACCCTGCTTACTTTGCTTTTCATTCAAACGCTTCCAAAAGTGTTCTTCATCTGTGAGATAGCGGCCAATGCATCAACATTTGCATTTCACGAAGAGAATTACATAAACATGACCCTTTCTAAGAATTCAAGGATTCTAGGAAATGAGCTCTAACTTCTGGTCATGTCTTCTCCTCGAGAGAGGGGAGAAGGTACAACTCGGACTTCTTCGTAGGGATCTACCGTCCATCTCTATAAATCCAAAACCTATTTCAGAGCAAAAATTTCCATTTCCGCTTTATGTTCAAAGGCCTGGCCAGTGATTTCATGCTCATTTTCAAACCTAACGTTTGAACGGTGCACTTGATCTAAGAAGCGATTAATATTTGTGCAAGTCGAGTGTTCATAAGATTTGTATCAATGCCAAAGCTAAGAATGAACTGACTCACACTCATCGTATGTAGACGAGACAAATACGTTAATGTGTTCTTGAGGTACCGCTGAAATCATCTGCATTCTTTTTTTTAAACGACTGTAGTATATAGCTGCAAACAAATATTTAACTCATCTTCTGCCTCCTTTCTGACAGAACACTAATCAAATAAGGTTAATTTTGCAGCGACTCGTCTTCATCCCGTTCCATTTCAGCTTCAAAACATGCTGGCGTCTAAAGGTAATTAGAAAGATCTGATGCTGGTCTGATTTGACATGGCGTCGCTCTGATTCACCACCACATTCTAATATTCCGAAAAACAACCTGGTTTCGCCGTACAGAAATCTTTCCCTCTCAGGATACTCAGCCATGTTCACACTTTACTCACCTTGTATAAAACGGATGAAGTAGCCCAAACCAACTCCTCACGATTTACGAAAATGTCTAGTCTGGATGTGGAATGGAGACCTTCGATTAACAAATGTTGACTGGTTTCACGTGATCATCACCGATCCAAGATGGCGGATACCCGGAAGTGAAGTTAGTTTGTCTTGTCACGCAATTCAGGAGAACCTTTTCCTCGCAAAATGTGGTTAAAAAGGTGTCATTCCTGGATAAAGATATTGTGTCCTAAAAAGACAATTTGAAGCGTACGGCGTTCAATTGGCCCGTTTACGATGCTGTCTGCTTAAAAGTACGTGAAAGGTGATAGCAAATCGTTTAAAAACTCTTCCAGTTTGCTGATTGTTTATAAGGATACCTTTAGTGATTATCGCTTTCAGCTGCTCGGGTAAGAACCGAAATTGTAAACATTCAAATTAACGGTGAACAAGCATGGAAGGTTAGGAGGTATTCAAGTGTCTCTCGCAAATATTTCCCTTCCTCTATTTTTGCCCAAAAAAACAGAACGTAACAAAACAGACATAATCGATTGAAGGCTTGATCATGTACATAATGATACATCATCTGGGTTGTAGTATCAAGTCCAAATTCCAAATGTCATGGATTAGCTGGGGGCGAAGTTCTGTCTAAATTGTCTCCGCAACCCCTGCAAGAGGATCCTCTTTGTTTGATGATCATCTCTTAGTAAAATCTCAAGTCTTCTTCTTCGGGCCTTCAGTGTGGAACTGAGTGCTTCTTTCAGCGCGTCGTTTTCGTCTTTCTGGATGGCCAGCCTACACCAGAAAACGAACATATCTTATCAGTCGAACCTGAGAATTTTCCAGTAGGGTTATGGCCTACTATAACCCTTACCGCAAAGAATTCAGAGTAGTGTAACCTGGAGAAGCTTCTCCATCATTTTAGGAAACAAAATACGCATTTCGAATATTGTACAGCATCGAAGTTTGGCCACAAGAACACAGTCATTCAAAGGAGAGTTAATGACTAAATTACGCTACGCTCCTCAGCACAGCCCTTATTCCAACACTTTGTCGACCATCGCCTTCAAGCTCATAAAGTGCGTCAACAGCGCTATCAAATTTTAACAAGCTTTTGGTGTTTGCTCCTCATCTGAGCAAATTGTGACACAAGCTAGAAACCCCATCAGAAACTAACTACTTTGTTCATTTGACAATGCCGTTGGCTCACCATGGATTTACAAAATTAGACCGAGTGGGGTACTTACGTTGGTTACATGTTGTTCCTTACCTAGTTGCAAGCTCTTCCAAGTCCTCTGGCTTTCCTTGTCGTTCAGGACCCATACCCTTTGCCTCACCCTTCAGCCACGCCTTGTCCCGAATGGACTCTACTCAGCTGCCTCTCCACGTGAACGACTTCACGTCATTCCTATTGCCATTTGTTGATTGCCTCTAACATATAATAAATCCAAAAAAAGTTAGCTAAAGTAATTTTAAATCACAAATGACCTCTTCTATTTTTAAAGCGAATTTTACGTATGAAATAAAAAAAAGAAAAAAGAACCAACGAACGACGGAATCAAAAGCTCAGGGGAAAAGTGTTCTAGTTCCGGTTGCAGGAAGGCCATGTTCAAGCATCGCAGCAACTCCTACTTGCGAACCGATTTGTCACCTCTACACCTCAGCAATGAGTTTCTTATTCACTGAATCATCCGTTAGTTTCCCAAACTACCGCAAATCCCTTCGTGTTCCTACTGCCAATTTGTTCCTGGAGCATAACGAATGATTCATTGATGTAAAGTCAGGGAACAACTAAATCAAAATCATGTATTTATCAGTAGCAGTTACTAAGACAACCACCTCCCACCCCTTCCTGCATACTAATAGTTCGTCCTCCACTCCTTCCTCAGTAACAAAAGTCTGCCTCCTACTTCTGAGTACTGATAGACTACATCCTACCACCCCCAGAGTACTAATGGTCTGCCCCCCCCAACAAAATGGTCCGATACAAATGGTCCAAAAGTTGGTCCAAAAAAATTTAAAAAAAAAATTGTCCAAAAAATGGTCCAATAGCCCAGTCAATATTTTACCATATGCCATGCCCACCTGACCAATCGTGAAAATTGATAATCAATGAATTTTGATATTGACGGAAACCGATGTACAGAAGTGAAAAAGAAAATGTTAATACCTTCTAGTATGATCGATATTCACTGATTGGCTCCTATCCGTTGCTTTCCAATTTGACCACAAGTATTAATTACAGCTGTCCTTGGTCAATTCACACCGATATTAACAGATTAATCGGTAAGTTCTGTCAATTGATATCCAGTGTTATTGACAAATGAGTATAACAACAACGTGCACAATTTCCGTAATCGATTCCTAGCGTTGCCAAGTAAGACTCAATAATGACTCAACTGGAGGTCACAGTCGCAACATCGGCTAGCAGCTCAAGCTATCAGCAAACAGTTGTATCTACATCTACACTGCAGCAGGCATGGATTAAGAAAGAAAAAAAGAAGGTCCATCATCAAATACGGAGTGAGAACATTAACTCTCCTTCAGCTCAGCAAGGAAAACTATTTACAAAAAAAGTTCCCCGTTGATGATGACACCATTACCCTGCTATGGATAAACAGAATGAAGCATTTACCGACTGATTTGCGAGCTTTCATCATTGAATGCCCACTCGTTGTCAGCGCAGACCGAGAATTTGCGTTCACGCTTTCGCCATATTATCTACGAAGTCCTCAATCCCCTTGCAGTTTTTAAAGTACTTAACTCTATTTCACGGCTAATTGTTTAAAAGTAAGTAATATTAAGCACTAAAAATTTAATAAAGGTTGCAAAACTTTGTGAAGCAAATCTCCGCGCGCGAGCAAAAAAATATATAATAATATAAGTGCGTCAAAGTAAACAAGAAGTCGAACCGGAATTATTTGTCAAACTAAGTCATAATTTCCCATCAAACAGAATATTTTAGTCCACAGGTAATAAGTTTAAAGCTCAATCAACGAGGGAGGAGTTTCGAAAATTTTCTCTGTGCTTTTTCTCGCGCCTCGAGCAGGCTAAGGCGCCTATATTTCGATAGATTCCTCGCGCGGTCATGGCTTAGTAGGGGGTGAGGATGAGGGTTGTAATTATAAACAGTGATGCCAACTTGAACCACACAAACATCAGGAGAAATATCTCGCAAATTGCAAGTCTTTCAACGTGGCTTGATCGCTGAGTTCTAGCGCAGTTGTTGTACAGTAAGGGGTAAATTGAAATTGGTATACGAACGGTTGAAAAGTCCACTAAAACCAGTGACGTCGACAAAACACCTCTGCTCGTTCGATGGCATCGTGTAGGAAGCTTTGGAAATATTTTCCGCACATGGAAAAATATGTAGGGGAAAGCCAAAAGCTCGCGCCACAACCAAATACAAATTCATAGAGCCTAGAAAGGAGAAATTCAAGTTCATTTCAGGTGAGTCGTTGTGGTGATTTTCTGTATGAGCCATTTTGATCATGCACAATTTTTAGTGGCTATCGATCCTTCTTTATCGTTTGGTCTCCACAGCAGAATATCAACTCGTACGGTTTTGATGTCGCGCCAAATATGTGTCAATTATCGGGGAAACAAAGGATCAATTAAATTGCTTGAGGCCAGGGGCACTAAAAATACATCTTTTGAATGCCCTTTGAATCAGAGGTTTTCATTGTAAACAAACTTCTCGACAGGGCCCCAAACCTCAAAGTCTCGAGCGGAAATGTTTAATAATGAAGAATGCAAAAGAAAAGTCCATGGGTGGCCCGTAATAAAGGAAATATTTTCGGCACAATAATTCAATAATTATGAGAAAAAATTTTTTCAGACCTGTCTTGGCTTAAAAACTCGCTGGCCTTTCATTTTCAGGAATTTTTAGAAGCTTTCTAAAATGTTCTGATTAATTTCAACAATTTCTGATCTGCAAGCAGCACAGGACCGGGTTAAACTTCAGGTGGTATTTATGGCCGCATATTTTGGACTCTGGAGTGTTCGCTGGGAAAGTGAAAAATGGGAACAGTAAATAGAGAAAAGCATGTAACCGTGTTTCTTTCTTTTTTTTTTTTTACTCTTCTCTGACAGGTCTAAAAAGAGCAAGAATTGAACCGATAAGGGTTTGTTATGATAACAAATTAGGCCAATGTTAATCCACAAAGCTTGCATGGAACTCATAGCAACAATGAGACTCCCGTGTCATCAGGTCTTACCATAACATTGAAGATTTGAGTATACATTTGATATGCAATAGACGTTTACTTAAACAATGTCACTTTGACACATGGTCTTTTAGATTTCCACAACTATATATTTCGCCTTCGAAATTAAAAACGTCCCTCTACCTGTAGATAAACGGCTTAAAAAGTCGCAAAAGATGCTATGTGGGTAGCCATAGGAATTGGTCTGGAATTTCTCATGTTTTACAAAGATACAAAGGAAGGCCAGGTTAAATCGACAGACATGAATGGGGAATATGAAAGCTTAAACCTAAAACAGTAGGCAATCCAGCAAACTTCCGTTAATGATAGTTTACTGGTTTTACATAATAACTAAAGAGTTTTTGTCATCAGTTGATCCTATTGGCCGATAAAAAGCGCCTTTCAAGTAATTATTAGTTAAAACAAGAATGAGCTTTCACCTCCTGTAAGTTCTAACTGACATGACCAAACGTATGACTAATCTGAAACAGAAAAAATGCTGCTGCTGACACAGGTTACGAATTTCAAAGCGGATTAGGCTAGTGCCAGCTACTTTAACTCTCAAATGATTCCTGACCCTTGCGATAGTAATGTAGACTATCTGGATGAGCCAGTTTCGTTATAAACGTTTTGAGTAGCCCAACTGATCGACGGAAGAAGCAGGAGTCTTATTTGATTGAATAGGGAATAGCGTGAAGAAACCTGGTCAGTTTTTTTTTTTTTTGGTCTGTGTTTTTCTCTTGCATTTTTTTTTTTTTTTTTTTTCGCTTGATGGGGAAACCTTTGCTTTCAGTTCTTTCCTCGATTTTTTTTTTTTTTTTCTCCTGGGGGAATATTTTTTCTTTTTCAGTTTTTTTTTCTTTTTTTTCTTGCTCCTGTTTTTATATTTTCTTCTTCAACCTTTTTTCCAGGAAATAACAGAAACCAAAATACAGTGGCTCGATACCTAGGTGAATAGGTGAATTGAAAGTACATGCATTTCTGTGGAACGTTTCAGGGGAATTGTTACGGTCTGCTTTTGTAGTAGTTGATTGGTCAAAGTCGTTCCCGTAGTAGTTTGATATTTAGATAAAAATTCTGTAGAACAATTCTTCTCTGATCCAGAAAATCAGACATTAACACTTATTCCTGCACAGTTGAAAAAAGATGTGCACATAAGGTTCAGAGCCACCTTAATTATCAAAACCCTTACGGTGGCTCTCTAGCACATGCATTAATCAAAAACTTAGATTTGCAGAGAGATGAAACTGGATATGCTGTCTGCAATTCAATTATTAGGTGCTTTTAAAGGCCAGGGAGGAGCAAAGGCCTTGTGTGTCACAAAAATGATCACAACATGTTGAGAGACCATAAAGCAATTATAGTATCGATCCATCGTGGAACTAGTCCTCAAATTAATCTACGCCACCTTTTAAGGCAGATCCCTTTATTTTGTTGTAGTTTCTCTAACAAACTTTGCGTCATACTATAGCTAATTTTAATCTATAAAAATGATGCAGACACCTACGTTTCTAAATATGCATATTAACAGTATCGAGTCTAGACAATTTTTAAAAGATATATATTGATTTTGAAATTAAAAAGGAAACTCGGTCCTTCTACCCAACTCATAATGAAAGGTAGCCATCCAAAAAAAATTAAGTGTTCGTGGGATACAGCTTTTCCTGTTAAAAGCTTTCTACCATGCGCTGAACACACCTATCACCGGTTTAGTACTATAGAGTTACATTAAAAAAAACTGATTTTGGTCTGATTTAATCTCAGATGAAGCAGATCAAGATATATTTCAATGCTTAGTTTTAAAAAATCTGCCTTTGGAAAGGGAGGTTTTTAGATCGAGGTCGTTACAAATAAAGACAAGTTGTACGGTCGTGATCAAAATAAGTCTAGTATCAGAAGATGCACGAAATGGTTGTCACATTGCGGGCATATTAGACAACTATCCAGGTGAACTCTATCCTTGCATCGAATCCAAACCAGATTGACTCTGTAAAATGAAATTCATTTCACACCATTAAAAATTTAGTTTAATCTGTAAGTGGAGAGTTGTCAGAACTGAGGAAAATAGTATTTGGTACTTGAAAAATTGTTGCAATTTCATGCAAATCTATCTAAACTTCACACTTTTCAGAAAGATTTGCTATTAGAATAGTGTCATGATTGCGGGAAAATCGAGATAAACCGTGAAAGAGGAGCCATACTCCCAAGGCCCCGTATTGCATCATAGACTATGTATGCTTGAAAACAAAACTTTGTTACAATAAATAATGTATAAGGTATGCTTCATAATTTCGTACTTTAAATTTTTCCAAACATTTATTGTTTTTTTTTTCAGACTTCGTTCACGGATACAAGAAAAAGCAAAAGTGAAAATTCAAATGTTCTGATTATACATAAACAATCATTCCACCCTAAAATAAATTTGTGACATATTTTTCCCAACTGCTTTTGATCGCGACCAGTTAGGCATCCACAGACAATAAAATGCGCAAAAGCTAAAAGGTTGTTGTACCGATATAGTGCAGTTTTTGGCTTTTAATTCTGAAGAGTTACATGGACTGGTTGCACCCCAGTATCTCAGTCGTTCAGTCAATCTAACGCAAACGGCCTAGCTTCCTTTCCACTTTCGTTATAAACCGTATCGCGCCTGATTCTTCAGCCTAATGCTCCTGAAACGCGCAGTTTCATGAAATGTTGCCTCGTCTTCGTAACTCATGACCTAAATTTGAACTGCATGTTCTTTTGAATTAGATGCATTCAGAAACATACGTTTCCCAATGAGTTTTGCTCATTTCTTTTCAGCTCTTACCTTAGGTTATCCTGCTCTGTACGCGTGCAACAATTTTCTTAGCAAGCTGCAAGGCCTGCTGGGCCATCTCGGCAGAGTACACCTCATTTGGAATCTGGGGAAAACACATTCTGTCTGGGTAACGCATGCGTGTAGAATCACCAACTAGACACTCTAACTGCCTGGCCAGATTTGATAACTCGGGGTCGTTTAGATCACAACAATTTTCTACAAGGTTGTGGACCCTTGTACTGTCAGTATCTACTGCATACCGTGCCGCCTTCAAAGCCTTCTCTGCTGCCTGTGAGGAAGAAAAATTATATTCCTTCAGCCCTGCCGATTTGTGAGTCATGTTCAAGATAATCTCGTTAAATGTTTCTTTCATTAGCACCTCAGTTGAAGATGGAAAACGATTCGTGTGTGTAATATAACTGCTACCACTTGGGAGAAAAAAAACCGTTAACACTTAGGAAGAGCAAATAATGAAACTCTATCTCCGCTCACAATTGACAAGTATATATATGGTCGTAAAGGAAACCAAGAGATACGATTAATTATCAAAATAAAAATGGTTCAACTCAACGAAAGGAATCCTTTCATTATACCAAATGCTATACCACAACATTGATATAATGATGGCAGCACATCAATACTATTATAATTGATAAATAAAGGGGTTAAGTTTCTAAAGAAACTGTGGTGCTGCGTCGGTGGGAGAATATAACGGGGTTTTTAAAGAAACAACTGAGTTGATAGAATCGTTATCGTTAACACTTTTACGGTGGCCTTCCAATTACAAAGGGCTCTTATCAACGCTCGAAACGTTGAAAATTTCACGGTGGTCAAAATCAACTCGGTTGATTATAATTGATGTTTACTCTTACTTGGTGACATTTGAAGCATGCCCACTCATGCGAAGGTCTCTCGTAAATTATATCGTTGCTTGCTGCTTGAATATCTGCAACCGCTTGTTTGAACCAACGCCTGGCCTCCTCTGGTTGAGGGTTATTCCTACGACGTCGTGGTCTTTCGCTGTATCCCCGGCGCTGCGCGTTATGTTCCCTTGCACGCCCTGCCCATGAGTGAAAGAAGCATCCGTAGGACCCGTCTCGATCTCCAGCTTCAAATCTTGAGCTTGGGCTACCCCGTGGCTCCCCTCTTTCCAACCGTGAAACTTCGCTCTGTATGTGCTGACATACCTCTTTGCAGAATTCCTCATCGCCTAGGTTTTTATCAGGGTGCCACCGCAAATACAGCCGCTTGATGATTTTTCGCCTTTTGTCCTCTGGAAGAGTCCACGCTTCCTCCAGAAGGTCTGAGATCTCATCGAAAATTTCTGTCTGCTTCTCGAGTTAGGGGGTTGCCTAGGCCTATCGCACAGGACTATCGCAGTTGAAGATGACTCGGGCAAACGGTGGAATTTGTACAGGTCTGTGGCATCGACAATTTTCTCTTGGCCATTTCCAATGTTGATTCGGTAACGCCGTGTAAAGCGGCTGTTGCATTCACTCGTTACTTCTTCGATAATTATAGCGTAAATATACGTAGCATCTCCTCCTTCTCTAACTAGACTTGGGTCATGCAGCTCAAATCCCACATAATCACCTGGTTCAAATTCTTCAAAGTCGTCATTCAAGAGGTGGTGGTCGTCTTGAGGAATAAAGCTACCAGGCTCAGGTAGAATTTCTACTTCTTCCACAGGGAGCGAGTCATCTTGTCGTATATCCATATCATCGAGCAGGGACCATATGTCGTTCAGGGAACAGCTTAATATATGAGAAATCAACAACGTACTCTCTCCGAGAAGTCCAAAACATACTTCATTGACCACGCCAGAGACCAACAATATTATCCTGGTGTATGTAACCGTTCCTGTCGCGACATTGACGTATACGTTTGAAATGTCTTCACCGAAGGCTACAGTCTTTTTCACGAAGTATGGAACTTCTGCTTCACTCTGAAGGATGGGATTTCCGTCGCAAAAAAGTGATGTCTTGAGGTTATTTACGGCATAAAGCCCGATGGTGCAAAGCCTTTTCTTGATACTTTCAATCACTGTGTCATCAACATTCCTCTTTAGTCGACAGTTCTCGTGTCGGATTAACCTCACAATGCCATAAAAGAACTGTGGTGACGAAAGCTGCCGCTTAAGTTGGGTAATAACAGTACTCGATATAATTTCAAAACTTGGCGAGCTGATATGCTCTTTGACAACAGAAGATAGCATTTTTGGCCGCAGAGATTCTGGTAACTTCATCATGAGCTCTTTGTAGTTGGTACTGGCATTAACGCTATATACATTCATCTGGCGTGGGTCGAGCAAGAAATTCTTTTGGAAATTACACAATCGATAACGGATAGCGGGCGAGACATCATTGAAAATCAGCTCTGAAGACTTGTGCAAATTGAGAGGCATCACATTGGCATTGCCGTTCATCTCCTTGCGTGTCGCAGACATGCCTGGTAAGTGAAGCTGAGGTATGGCATTTACTTCTTTATCATCCTCCTGAAGCTTATCAAAGAATCCTTTGACTGCGTTAATGCACACTTTTACTTCATTCGGGTCCAGTTTCGAACTGTGACACCTGTCATACAGCAAGTCCAACACCATGGCATAGTGGGCTATAGTGACAGATTTAGAGCAGCCAAGCTTCTGGAACAAACTATGGAACTTACCGAATTCCATAGGAATTCCGTAGAGAAATGGCCTAATTTGCAAATGCTCATAAAGCTCAAGGACTGCTTGACGCGGTAGAATGAATTTCTTTCCACTTTCCACCAAAATGCAAGGTGTATTTTCTAAAACTTTCTTTGCATCACTGTTCTCGATTTTGTTGGTTTGCAAGAAAAAGTAAATACGTTCCATTACTTCAGTTAGAGTTAAACATCGTTCTTTTGAAGCATTTGTTTTTTCACTGTTTTTTCCAACTTGTGAACATACATTTTGGCAGTGAGCAACCACAAGGTCCACTGTTGGCGCGTCCTGAATCTGAAGCTGTGAGACAAAAGCATTGCAGTAACTGTTTAACTTGACTTTTGGAGGACAGGCATTGCGAAGATCAGAAGAACGATTCTTTGGATTAGCCCACCATGGAAGTAGATGCGCTTTAGTCCAGACTATTTCGGAGTGACTGGCAGGAACTGCTCCTTGAAAGGCAAAATATGGTGTCTGACGACCTATGTAGCCTCCAAATGGCAGGCAAATTGCTTGTAGGCTTTCTTTGACTGGGTCCCCGGCTACAAATGGGATGTCGTAGATATTCTGTAACAATCCTTCTGCAATTACGTTTTTTCGGTTCATGAGATGATCGACTAAAACTCTAGATTTCTTGTAAGTGTTTTCATTTGGAGCTGATGCAGCTTCTTGTGCAACTTCTGTGGCAAATGCCCTAAAATGGTCTCCAGACACGTTGCAAACGAGACCTATGCTTTTCAACAAAGGTAGCCATTCTGCTGAGTCAAAGGGCTCCGTCGGAAAGAAATCTACCGGGAGCATGATGCAAAAAACACGGTTTCGGGGGTCATAAAAAGGGATGCGGTCTTCAGACTTCCATCAACAGAGGGAACAAAGGGAGTATTTTTCAAACAATTTAGCAGTTTTTCCTTTTCATCATCCTCAGGATATTCCAAAATCGTTTTGCGGATGTATGTCAGGTGAGACTCTCGTTCCCCTTTGCAGAAGATTGAGAAATTGGGTAGAATGAAGGTACAATAGAAATCAACAGCCGAAAAGCAATGCAGTGAAAGGAACTTGAACAGCTCAGAAATACTTGATTGCTGTTCTAGAAACACTATGTTTAGCTCACTCTCGAGAACGTCAATTCCATCTCGTGGTATTCCAACTGGTAGGACGTAAACTTTACGATCATTGAGTCTTATCAAGCCACCGTGCGTTGCCAGATAAAAGGGAAGTCTTCTTAACGTCACTCTGTCGTCATCTCCCAAGAGTCGTTCACTTCTGCTGAAGTATTCTAGGACTGTAAGACATTCCTGGGGTTCCAACTTTCCTTCCAGTGACTGCTCGTCTGATTCCATCTTATGGTTAAGTGAGATGAGAATTGACGAGGGAGACTTCAAAGATGATACAAGCATGCACACTAAGCTAACTGAATTTGAAGACAGAGAGGTATGTACGCTGGTAGATGAGAAAACACTTACATTAAGCTCAGGCAAACCAACCTTTCTCAAGACATCAACAAGCTTAGCGTTAGAGGAATCCGCAGTGGTAAAATCGATAGCAAATGCTGCTTTTCTTAGAGGGAGCAGATAGTTTTAATAGTTGGAGTTGTGCTCAAAGGAAAGAAAATAGCCAATGGTGACTTTCTTTTTGCTTTCTTTGTCTCGGTTACTGGAAGAATGCTCCAGTCCATTAAAGGCTTAAGTGTTGTTTGGACCTGGTGAATCTTGAGTTCTTCATCTTTTTCAACATCATTTATGACACTTTTTACAAGCTCAGAAAGGAACATCCAGGCCTTGAACATCCATCCCTGGTTGGGTATTTCCCTCTGATTGGGAGACCACTCAATAAACCTTCCACTTCCATAGGTTTCCAGTGATAACGTGTGAGGGAGGTAGGTAGCGAATGAGGTGGCATCAAGAGGCCTTAGACAAGACAAACGATTGTCATCAAACCCTTTAAAAACTCTTTTGTAAACTTCATCATGGAGGAATATGTGCGGAGACCCGGGTAGAAGATCTTTGTATTGTGAGAGAAACTTGGGATCTTCATTTGAAAACAACTTAAGATGTTGGTCTTGTGTAAGAAGGAGAGGAAGACCAGGTAACGCTTCCAGAAAGTTCTCGTCATTTCTGCAATACAGCAACACAGTAGTTACTCCAAGAACACTTTTTAATGATGTTTTATGGACGTCGCAAGGAACTGGTCCAATCGAGCACAAACGGTCGCCAGAGCTGAGCGTTTTGTAGAAATCAATGACCTTACGGGGCGAAACACAGCATGTCGTAACTCCAGCTCGCTGAAACGAGTTATGCAACGCTAACGTTGAAACTACCAGGTTAAAGCCACTTTCAAGTAGTATGTCCTTGAACAGCTTTCGAAGTCTTGCAAGATTCTCGAACGCTTCTTTACTCCTTCTGTGTGATGCTGCAAAGGGTCCTTCTACATTAAGATCGTCAAAAAATGCTTGATGCTTCTCAATTCCAGTCGGTGGAAGCCAAGGTTATCTCAGCAGTTGCGCTTTCTTCAGTTATTTTCGATGCAGCATCAATAGATCTCTTCCTAACCACTGGTAGAACCTTTGCTTCCATCTCGTTCATTTCCTGATACACAGAACGAACCAGTGTCTTCCAGTATTGGTCGGTGGGAATTTTAGTGGGAAAATATGATTCGTAAACGTTTATCTTCCTGATGATCTCGCATTCTGTTTGAGGGCTTCCGTCTTGGGTGGTGGGTAGTTTAAGGAACTTCCGTATTTCAACCAACATCGAGATGTAACATGATGTGACAACATCTGTTAAAAGCGCATTGTTCCAATCACTTCGATATCCACCATGGTCCCCTTCATCCCTCCACAAACTTCTTCTTGCCTCGTGGTCCAAGGCAAAGTGTCCATTTACGTGAACTGGGAGGTTTGTCTCAAGAGGAAGAGGAAGGAAACAATATGCTTTCTTTTGCCTTGAGGAAGTATACCTAGAATTTTTCTCTAAAAGACATGCAACGCCACCACGGGGAAGCATTCCAAGCTCTTTCTTCCTAAAAGCCCTGATGATATTTTCGTCTACATCTTTCTCAAAACCAACTTGTTGTACAATAAGCCACTTTTCTGCGTTGCCACGAGTGTCTGTTATGTTTAAGACGTAGGACACTTTTTTTACCGGTATCTTTCTTAGATCGATTACCCCTCTCTTCTTTGCCGATTTCCCAATCTGTTTGATGTAGTCGGTAAATTCTTCTCTTTTGGCTTCATCTTTTTTTGACAATGCTGCTTCAACTGTATAGGAATTCGCCAATTTTCCATCTGCTTTGTCAACTTCACAAAGGGTTATCTTTCTGACGTTCTTCACAAAGAGCAAAACCTCAAACAATTCTTTTCTAAGTCCCTCCATCATAAAATCCAGTTCTTCAACGGACACAGAATTTGAAGTAATTTCCGATTCGCGAGCCATATCTTTGGTCCTCAGCGGGAATCTGAACATGGTTGCGTCGTCAATCTTGAAGTGATCTAACAAGTAGCAAGGAAATACATCAGGGAATTTCTTACTGAGGGTGGCTGTGTCGTTGAACCTTCCACCTGGTTCTAAAGGCGTCGCACCTGGAAGATACTTGCAATGTGGGTCAAATACGCACAGAACATCCCCAATCTCTTCTCCGTGAGACACAAAGGACGGAACGTCAGTCAAATGATAAACGGCGTTAAAGCCTACTCCATACTGGCCAGTTTTGTTCGGATCCTCACCCTTACTACCTTCACCGAGAGTCTGAATGCCTTCAAGATCGTCGTTAGTGAAAGGCTTGTTGTTATACACACACAAGGCGGGCCCCTGCAGAGGTTTCCAACAATCTTCGAACACTTTCACATCTGGATGGTGCCTTGGGTCCTTTATGAAACAAATCTCGGTTGCTTGTGCGTCGTCTGCATTTTGAAGAAGTTCTTTTAAAATTTCCTTTTCGCAGGGGTAACACTGAAGAATGCGTTTCAGGCGAGTTGTAAGTTTCTCTTTCTGTCCGAAGGAAATTCTGACCATGTGTTTTTGCAGGGCTTCTTCTCGACGAGTTTTAACACCAAGTAAGTCACAACTTGACCAGGGAATTTTGGCATGAACAAAGTGCACTCCTTCTTCGTCAGGCATCCAGGGGCAGTCCTTGAAACAAAGCTCGGATACTGCTTTCATCACTGCCCTTGAGTCAGGAAGGTAGATGGTTCCCATTTTTTTTTCGCAATGAGGAGGGTTACCCTAATTGATCTTGCAGTTTGTCTCCAAGTTTTTGCTAGACGTACTGCTACCTTAAGGTTTTTCTCGTCCAGGTCATTTTCAGGAAATAACTCCTTGATCTTCCGTAGGGCTAAGATAAAATCTTTCTCGTCAAAACGTTCTTTGACACCGGAGACTCTCAGTAGATTGGGAAAATCTTCTGCCAACCGTTTTGGAAGCTGGTAGAGATATGGTGCACAGTCATCGTTGAGATGAAAAGCCACCTGACTTGGGTAAAGAAATTCCCCTTCATGTAAAATATATCTCTCATTTAGTAGAATATCCTTGATGGTTGCACCCTTAATGATGGCCCTTTCTAGGTAGGAGTAGACTGCTCTGCATACTGAGTTAATTTCTTCGATTGCCTTGGCTTTTGACGACTCAACTTCGGAACACATCGCTACTTTCAGTTGCAAAATAACATGGTTTAGCTCTGCTTTTTTTTTTCTAAGCTTCAGAAACTCTTTAACATCTCGAGAGATAGACAACCCGATAAGCGGCTTTAAGCTACACAAGTGATACTTTTCACTTTCTAGAAACACATCTTTTGGGGCGAACAGCACATTTTTATCATATTCATCGGCCTTCCAAGGTAAAGGAAAGTTGACTGGTTTGTTAAGAGCCGGAAGAAATTGAGCCTCCAGTATTCGTTGTCTTGTGAGGTCTGAATAGGTTTCATCTTTGCACTTAATCTTCTTCTCTAGAGAATTAACAAATTCAATTGCTCTCTCCTCCGCTGCTTTACTGTTTAAAGCATTTAGTTTATTGATACTTTCAGCTCTTTCTGCCATTTCCTGCCAAGGAAGATATTCCGATGCCATTCCCAAAAGCTCAAGCTTTGCAAGTCGTCCAGGATTGAGAAAGGTTTCTGCATTTCCCCATGGAAATCTGCCATCTTCAGGTAGAAAGAGGCGAGCAGCTTCTTTGCCTGGGTGAATGAGCTCAGAAGGACGTCGAAGAGAGTTTCCAAGTGGAGAAGCCGGAATGCAAGAATGAGCTTTGACCAAATCATCACAATTGTTATCCATTGCATGCAACACAAGTGCATCTCTCATCTCCGAAGGAACTGCGGAGATATTTGGGAAAAAGACCTGACGAAAAAATCTATTTTTGTCGTACATTTTTGAATTAATCACTTCCTCACTTCCACAGCTTTGGAAAGAATCTACGACAGACAAAGGGACATCAATAACCACTGCGCGCTCACTCATTAAAAGTTGGAAAACTTTGAATGAAGTATCGCCAATCGAAGGATCGTTTCGAAGAACTGGATGAAGAAATATCACCTCATTGATAGTAAACCAGTTCTCTCCATCTGAAAGCAAAGCGTGAGTTCCAGTAGATATCTGTGTGTAAAATGACTGCGTGAGGTGTCGGAGGTTTGGGAATACTTCATCGGCTTTTGGCCACAGAGAATGGAACCTATAAGATCCGTCAGTTGGAACAATTGACCTTAGATCTTCAAGGAGGCACACATAGGCTGAGCAGATGGAATCTACTATCAGCGCTTTGTTCCAGTCAACCCCATAACAATCTTTGTCGCCTTCGAGTTTTTCTTGTAAATGGCGTCTGTTCGCAGCTAATGCAAAGGCTCCGTTTACATGTACTGGAAGGCCACTATGAATAGGAAGAGGAAGGTAGCAGAAAAGAGTCCCATTGACATCAACTCCATCATCATTCTTAAAAACAGGCACTGGCACAAATTTGTCGGCGCCGCGCGCAGCCAGCTTAACAGCCACCCCTCCTGATGGAAGAAGGCTAAAATCATTCTCAGCAAACTTCAGTGCACGTCCGTCTCCCATGGAGGAGACTATAAGCCAGGTTGTACGTTCCGGATGAGTGGTTGCCGCATCAGGTTTAAAGAAACGTAGACCGCATTCCGTGAAGACGCAGTTGACGTTAACCTTCAAAGAGGACTTTGTCAGTTCAATTACCTGTCTCGTCCTAAATGCTCGAACAACATGCGATGACGCTTGAAGGAAACTGCATTGCTTCAAAAGATTCTGGTCATCGGAGCTCAAAACGTTTGCAGTGGGAGGAAGGGAAACAGGGACGGACAAGGCTCTTACTATTCCATCCTGAGACAATGATTTGGTGATCTTGAACGTCAATTTGACTGTTTCGTCTTGAACTTCGGGTGTGTTCAACAAAAAAATGCTCACGCGGAAGACGTTCTGTGTGAAGAGAAGTAAGGTTTCGGCTCCTTTAATTAGCATAAGTAGTAATTCTCGCACTTGTGTGTCGTCATACGCCAGCTTCTTTATCTCACTTTTCAAAGCCTGCTCACTTGTTCTCAACGGAAATCGAAACAGAGTTCCATTGAACGAGTTGTCCTCTTTTTGAAGATTTAAATCACAGTCGAATATACCATTGAATGGTTTGAACTGGTTTTTAAACTTACGAAGCCTCGTCACTTCCTTGTTGACATTGATCTTCATTCCAGGCTTCGTTTTGTTCTTTAAAGCTTTCCCGAGATACGACGTATGTGGATCAAAAATCACAAAGTTATTTCTGCTTATGAACATGGGAACATCTGTTAAATTGTATACTGCATTGAAGCCCAGTCCAAACCTGCCAATCTTTTCGGTGTCGTGCTGTTTCGTTGCTTCGTTCAATTTTGTAATGTTCTCAAAGTCTTCATCCTTAAATGTTGCATCATTGTAAACCCACAACGCGGGTCCTTGGCAACCCTTCATTCCCTCGTCAATGAGACTAGTCATTGCTTCCTCATTCGTTCTCTGGTCATACAGAAATTTGACCTCTGTGGCGCCAGCATCGTCGGCGTTTTGAATTAGCTCTTTCAGAACTGAAAAGCCATCCGTGTACTCTTCGAGAAGGCGATTAAGTCGGGTGGTAAGTTTTTCTCCTTGTCCAAACTCTTCTCCAATGGCCAGCTCATCAGCATCAAGCAGTCGGTTTGTTATACTTGGCACGCCAAGACGCTCTGCAGTTACATTTGGGACATTTGGGTGTACGTAAAAGTAGTCGATTTCTTCGTCGTCATTTTGCTCACCATACATGCAATTGCCTACGGGCTGAAGGCTGACATAGGAGTTTTCTTCTTGATAAATTGGTATCAGGATGTCTCCATGAAGCGCCTCAGATAACTCCCCACTCGCCAATTCGTTCAGGATGTTGACAGATAGCTGAAGATCGTGTTTCACTTCAGAAGGGCTTATGACACTTCTCCTGTCGTGTTTTACCTTGATCATCCTTAGGACCTGTGTCAGAATAGATGGATCGCATTCCTTCTGCATACCAAAGTACTTAAAAAGACGACAGTGCTGCCTCAAGTCCACAGGAAGACAACGTATGTAAGGTGTGAGATCAATCGGTGGCCTTGTAGCAAGTAAGTGACTTGGTAAGGAGAATCCATCTCCATTCCATACCCAAGGAAAGACGTTGGTGGCATCAAATGCCTCATGCACATCATGGTGGTGCTCACCGAGATACCTGTATATTTCGGTCAGCATCACAATATAGTACGGTTTCTGCTCTTCTGAGTAGTACCTCACTGCAGTTTCTAAATGCTGGACTACTTGGTTTACAGGGGGTTCATCTTGCCAGCCGAAAAACTGACTGATCGTTTCGCATTCATCCACGTCAACAACAGGCATTACAGTTCCAATAAGGTTTGCAAATTGGTGACTTTTTAATTCAAAGGGTTTAAAAAATCTTCTGTTTTCTTCTTCTTCTGTTTTCCAATATGGAAGGCTGGAAGGGTAATCATAGGGTCGCTGTTCTTGTCTTGAAACCCAAGGAATAGTTATCAATAGCATCCCCAATGGTTGTCCGCTGACTAGGTCCAGCATCTTTTGAGGATCCTCGTTGAGAAACTGCAAAATTCCTTTAGATTTCTCCTTTAATGATGGAATGTTGGGAAACTTGCTTATCATCTGAGCACTGTGATAAAGGTCATTCGCGGTGATTTCATCCCCTCCTTTCATTCCCAGTTCTTCAAGAACCACAAGTACTGAAGAGCTACTGTATGTATGGGAAGGGAAAACATCCTCATGGACGAACAGAGTTTTAACAATGGCGTTTCTAGGGTCAAAGAGCTCACAAGGCCTTGCTCGCCCTTTTTGCCTGGAAACGAAAGCCAAGTCCTGCAAATTTCTCTTGAAATAAGCATTCTTGCGAATAGCGCTTACATAACGATCCAACACATGCTCCATCAACTTGTCAATTTGTTCTTCCGAGTAGCATCCCCGCTTGATATCTGGAAATACAACTTGACAAAGCAGTTCCACGGGCGTTAGAATCTTAACTCCTAGAAGAAGTGCAAACGCCATTGAATCTTGTTGAGAAACATCGACGAGGTCTCTTCTAATTGTAATTGGAAGGGGCTCAGGGGGTGCAGCACACAGACCATCCTTTGCTGACACGAATTTCTTCGCTAAAGTCTCAAAAACTGGTAGACAGCACAGAACACCATACTCCGCTTGACCCACTTGCGTGCCTTTGATGTCGACCAAGAATGATCTCAGGAGTTGTTTTTCCCTGGTGGAAAGTACTGTACGTACAATTTCGGGCAGTTTTCCGCTAGTCATCATAGTCGAGGAAACCACCATTGCTTTCAAAACACCTTCGACGGATGGCGGATATACAAACCTTCCTAAGACAGCTGGGTGGTTGCCAATGAAAGAGGGATAATCGGTCATGATGAGCACACCAAGCTTGATGAGAATATCTGATACACCATTGTCCAGGTAATGACCATAAATCTGTTTGACTACTACTCTGGAAGGTTCACAAAGTCGCGCTAAGGTGACTGGTGTCTTTGACATGCTTAGCGGAATCAGCGGTAGTTCCCCGAGACTGAGAACATCGCCTGCATTTGCAAAATTAATTTGCAGATATCTCCACACGCGCCCGATCCATTCTTTGGGTGGATGTTTATAATTTTGATCTTCAGGATACCACGAGACGGTGTTTCCCTTGCTCCACTCGAACGGCAGTGCTTGTGGAAGAAGAGCTTTTACATCACATTTATGGAGTATCCGTAACTGTGTAGACCCTGAAAGAAAGTTAAACATTTAAAATTGACTGCTTTCCTCGTGAAAAAACCCACCAGAAAGGAATTGGGCACACAATATAAAAAAAGTAACTTAATTATAATTTCAAGGAAAAGAATAAAATCTCGCTAAACGTCAGACGCGTAACATGCACATGTTTGTTCGCTGACTTTGGTCTGACAGCGGCAGCTGCTACAGATTTTCAGCTCGAAAACCATACCAGGGGAATCGATAGTCTTAATTTAAGAACTATCAAATGAGAAAGTAATTTCACCTTGCTTTCCTGCAGATACAAGCCTCTGAGTGATTGTCTCATCAATCGTTTCATCCAAGAAACGATCTTCTAGTCCAGGAAAAAGTTCTCGAGGATGTTCCACTGAGCAGATATACACGGGTTTCGATTGACTGGTGAATTTGATGAATTTCCCATCGGAGAGGGGCAAGAGCTCCAGATCACAGAGCGAATCAAATTTGCCATCCTCAAGACAAAAATTAAGCAGCAAAAGCTTTTCATGCCTATTAAGATTCTTGTAACATGGCGGAATTTCCCTCATGCTCGATCTCACGAGGCTAGGGTTGACTTTCTTGACAGAGGTATAGCGAGTAATAGCCCCTATAACGTGTTTAGGTACAGAAACAATGGGCACATCAGCAGCTAGCAACACTCGAAGAAGCACTTCTTTGGTTTCATTTTGATCGAGTTGGTCGAAAACCGCTTCTCTCACTGTAATCCAGCGTCCAGAACCTGCATCGGTGTAAACAGCATTGTGCTGTAAAAGTGTGCTGAAGAAAGGATTCACGAGTTTCTTCCACTTCGGGTCAATGCAAGTAATGTTGGGCCACGCTCTGCAAAACAACAACCAAGGTGTCATGATCACGTTATTGAATTTCAAAACAGTAAGGTTGTCGCGGTAAAACGGTATCCGCGGGTTTCGCCCATAACGAGTTTCGCCCAAGAAGCGTTTCGCCCATAACGAGAATGGTTTCGCCCAGGCATAAATTCGATTCGCCCAGACTGACAGTCAGTGATTATGCAGGCTAAGGGCCTCTTTAGACATATGCTTTAGATGAGCCCGGTAACCGGGCTTTTGTTTTCTGTTCATACAATGTTCATACACGACTTTCGTAATGGCGGACGTAGCGCGGGGCCTGGGAATACTAGCACGAAAACGAGGTCGGACAGACCTCGATGCGTGGCGTTTATTCATTGCAGTATGGCGTCCTCCTCAAGTGGTCTACAAAATAACTCTTCAAATGAAATTGCGCACGTAAGATGACATACCACGTGCTTCTGTCCTTGACTAGTTTCTATCTCTTTTCCAATTATATGTTGCCGTTACCTATGTCAGAAATACAATCTTTAACTCTCGATTCCTTTGTTTTAGTATTCACGAAACCGTATTCACATGTATTCATAAGCTGGCGTGCGGAACTTATCTTCCGTGTACAAAAGATTTGCAACGATGATATGTTCCACGCGCAAGTGTTTTCAAAAGCGTTTAATTTAATTCTCGAGAAGAAAAGTGATGCAAAAAAATCATAGCAATGCTTTTACGACAAACGGACGTCTCTGCAGTATTTCGTGCGCGAATTACCTTAACAATCCCCGCTCCACAATGAAAGCTATAATTGACTTGTTCGTTTCAACAGTAACTTGTTCGTTTCAAAATTTCATGATCTCAGGTCAAGTCACTTTTCTTCATTCTGTGCATACAAACGTTTATAAGGTTGACGTTTTCCGAGTGAGAGTGTAGAAGTTTTACTTATGGGCGAAACCTTTATTGTTCTGGGCGAAACCATTCTCGTTCTGGGCGAAACGATATGTGCGAAACTCGTTATGGGCGAAACCCGCTATAACCGGTAAAACATATCAAACTTAAAATTTATTGGTGACTGATTTTAAAGATGCTACCACTTACTTGTAAATTGATGCTCTTGGTAGAAAACACGATTCCCATTTTATTGCTTGCAAAATCAGGGTGGCATATGCCCTGGGTGTAGCTTCCTCCAGGAGACAACTATTCCACAGCAGTGACTTGTCAGTCAGTTTCCGCCGACCCTTCCTTTCTCGCTCTTCTTGGTCTGCATCAGGAGACTTAATATAACGCCTGTTTTGACTCAAAGCGAAGAAGCCATTTATGTGTACTGGCAAACCAGTCAGGCTCCTCATCGGGACTGGTAATGGCAAGAAACAAAACACGTGGCCCTTGATCTCTGGCGTCTGCATTTCAGGATCATTAGGTAATGGCATGGCAACACCCACTATGGGTAGATAGTTTAGCTCTTTATCTGTCATCAACCGTTTGAAGTTCGATGAAACTTCTCCTCCACAAAAGTAATTGGTGACAAGAAAGGAGTACTGCTGCAGATGGTCCGTTTCATGAGATGTTCCGAACTTGATTGTCTCTATAGTGATTGGATACGTCACTACAACAGAGTGGGGCATCAGTTCCCCAGGCCTGATCTTTCCGAGAAACTCCTTCCTCTTAGAGCGAACTAATTCCAATTTATTGTCAGCAACTCTAACCTGAAAAGATCTTCTAGGACTGGCTTGTGACTCTTCTCGAACATAAAGTTCAATTGATTCCAAGTGTTGAAGAAAGAGAAGGACCATGTGAGCATCAGCCTCAAAACTTTCAAACAAAGTATCCATTTTCTCTTCGGTGTAGAGTGTATTTGATAAATCAGAAGGTGTGGTCCTCAGGGGAAAACGGAACAAGGTGCCATCATAATAACCGTTGGAAAACACTTCTTCCGTACAGTCGAAGATTCCTTTGAAAGGAAGGAACTGATCGGGTATGTTGTTCATCTCCGCACAGTCTTCATCAAGTCTCCAACATCTACCGGTTCTTCTATTCCGTTTATCAGAAAAGTAAATTCCATGGGGGTCAATAAATCCAATTTTTTCAGCGCTAAGCACACTTGGTAAATCTTTAAGAAAAGAGAAACTAGATATCAGCTGTAAATTTTTACTACCGAGTATATCGCTATTTATTTGATTTCAATATATCAACGATGTAAAAAATTACAAAGTGGATCTTGAAGGAAATGAAATAATATTTTTAATGTAAAATTAGAATGAATTATACAAGACCCATGGTGAGCGACCTTACCAATAACATAGTTATGACTGGTCATTTTGTATTAGAGTGTTCAGAATGGTGTGGAAAGACGCCATTACAGGACACAATATCTTTTTATGTTTGGCATAAAGGAAGCTAGCAGCAAACTGAATCAGGTAAAATACCGTGGTAGAGATGTCCTGACTATTTTCTCTGATACATGCACATAAGGACCCACTATCAGTTACCTGTCATATGCAGTACAGACTTAAAACCCAAGCCGAATCGACCAACTTTCATGGGATCTTCCACTTTGATACTAGCGCTAACAAGTCGTATACCTTTCCAGTCCTCTTTCCTAAACTTTGCGTCGTTGTAGGAGAAAAGTGCTGGACCCTGCGACGAGAACCGTGAAGAGAGATTAGGACTCAAACTTGGCAGCAATGTAGATACAAAGGAGCGGGGGCTTCTTAGTTGGTGCAGGGTTCTCGGTGAAACGGTTTTGGTTTCTAGACCTGGGCGAGTATTTATGTTGATTTCTATGAGAAAACGTTTCACTTTAACGGTAACTATCTCCACTTCGGAATCTAAATGGGGGCAGGCAACATTCCTAGCTGCTACTGCAGGAACCAAAATTTCATTTCCAATAATTTCCTCCGGTAGACAGATCGTTAACGTCTATCCAGGCTGATCCCTTTGACATAAGCAGTAGTTGCTTGATCTTTAAACTCTAAAACAAGTTTTTGCCAATTGTTGTAAAACATGATATCTGCATCAAATAATTTTAAGGTCAATGAGATTTCTTTTCTAAACTCATATTTACAAAGAGTCGGTCATCACCTGAAATTGTTCGAGCTCCTCATCAAATAGATGTTCAGTTCCATAACTGTTTTTGTCATGTAAAAACTTTACGTGTCTGGCATTTGCATCCTCCGCATTTTGAATGAGTTCCTGGGGGAAACAGCAATTTAAAATTGTGTAATGCGGGAACAACACCGATGAAAAGTGTTTTAATTTTCAAATTAAAAAGAAAATAAAAGAATGAAAGAGGAAACGGAGGGTAAATATCCATCACTTTCGCCGACACTGTGGTGAAAAGTTGTTTAAGTATATACTAATACCACACAGAAACCAAAATTAATTTTATTTCTGACAGTCTACCAAAAAATGGTCAGAAAAAAAATATATATATATACTCTGCGGCAGCATTAAGTGTAGGTCTTGAAAACATTTAGGGCAGTATTTAGGGCAGCATTTTCAAGACCTCGGTCACAGTTTTTCACCATACGAACCGACCCTTAGCTGGCAAATAACATATTTATTTTTAAAAAAAAACTAAACGAAATTCTATCCGAAAGAACCCGAATGATTCAGGGCTGTAAATACGGCAAGATCTTCCATAAACTGAACAATTTTTGAGCGAGAAAATGGTGGTTAAAATAGAGGTGATGCAAATTAAAGAGAGATGCTTCACCGAAACATTTTCATTTGCGTAATGATAAAGGTGATTTAAAAGGCTTCCAAACAAACTTTGAAACATCATTTTTACAATTATCTGTCACAATCTGACACCTGTCAATTACAGAGCGCGTATGTACACTAAAAAGCATATGTACACTTTTGAAAAACAACGAAACTAGTTTGGCAAGGACTGTCACAATAACCTTTTCTTCAAAAACAGTCAATGATCTAACGGAAAGTATTATTCAC